CTGTCATCTCCTGATGGCCTCCTCGGCACTGAGCATCCCTACACTAGGTCACCGGACAAGCAAATCACACCCTGAGGCCATCGGGATATCAGGACGGTTTAGGGAGCTTTAGGGAGTTGAGGGTTCAGGCCGAGTTTACCGGCCGGCCTCCACCAATCGCCGAGGCTGGGCCGCAGGGGTCCCCAAACCCTAACATTCTAGAGCATCCTAAGGCGTCCGAAGGCCTCAAACCATTTGCTGGGACGCATCTTGAAGCCCAGCTAGGCTGCTCAACTCAAGCTCGAAGTCCCCCGACTGCTGTTGAAAGTTGCTGGCAATTTGCAGCGCTATGGTCCCCACGTCCTCCAGCCGCAGCGCCGCCGCCGCGGGGTCCGGGCGCCCACGGTAGTAGCCAGCAAAGTCGGTGAAGGGGGCCTCCAGGCTCGAATCAGGCTTTGGCGTGAAGCGGACTTGGTAAGAAGTCCCCGACTTTGCTCCACGCAGCTTCAGAAGCAGTGTATACTCCCGACCATCCGCATTGGCCACGTGAAGTTGCAGCCCCGTAAAGTCTGTCAGCGGTTTGGGCAGCTCCGCAATGTCCAGGTTAACGCCCGCAAAGCCTGCTTTCAGCTTGCTGGGGTCCAGCGTTCCCTGGAATTTCGCGCCAACCTTGCTGGGGACCAGGCTCGCTGTCGACACCCCGCCGCGGACAGCATCAGTTATCGCTTGCCACTTGCCGAAGTGCCACGACGCTTGCCCTCCGAGCAGCGGCACGGCTGCGGACTTGGAGTCTGCAAGAGCTGTGGTGCAAGTTGTGGCCAGTGCTGCTGCAGCAACGGCTGCAGCCCGGCGCAAACCAGCTGTTGAACGCATGGCTATGAAAGGAAGCTCCCGCGAGTGCTGACGAGCAACGAAGGGAGTCGTCTGCTCGAGACAGGAACCCAAGCTTGCGCCGAACAGTTGCGGTGAGGCAAGTGGTGATCAAACGAATTCAAGGATTGCACAAATGATGACCACCTCCTTGGGCACAGTTCTTGCGACTTTTTTGCGGCCCTGGCCTGGATCTCAGTGACACCGGACAGCGAAGGTCCTGCCAATCACCGCAGCTCAGAGGATCCGAAAGACGACTCTTCAGCAACAACTAAACTCTTTTTGAGATTCAGGAGTGGGGTTGCCGGTGGAGGTTTGTGGCGGCGTGTGCTTGAATGACCCCCTTGCACAAGGCACGATTCTGGAGCATATCATGCTGGGGTGGGTGGACTAACATCCATGCCACCGTGTGCTGCTTTCTGGACCATTTGTTTTGCTTGCCTTTCCTGCTTTGGAGTTTTTGTTGATGGTCTCAACTCGCTTTGGATGTCCGAGCCTTTTGGGACACAATTTGAGGATATTGTGCCACTGGAAGTGCATCTTGACAAAGAGCCGCGTGCTGCTTCAGCTCGCAGCCCACACGCTGAAGCAGCACCCGAAATTGAAGCAGCACCTAAATCGAGGCGGCATGCACTTGGCATGGGAATTTGGCTTGGCATGTTTCTTCTCAAGCAGAATAGCCTTTCTTGCGAAACCCACTAGATTTTCACTGCCCTCGACTGTCGTTCCATCTCAATTTCAGCGTGCTGCTTCAGCGCACAACCCGCCCGCTGCAGCAGCATCCAAGATTGAGGCAGCACCCAAATCGAGGTGGAATGGTTATGGAACTCCTTGACCAACCTTGATTCGGAATGTGTACAACTTCTTTTTTCGGGCTACAGCCTAGTCGACTCTTGCTTGCCTCCTTAAGAAGCTTGCAAGCCGTTGCCGAAACTCGTGTGGAACCGGTTTAGCCGGGGCGGGAGGGGAGGGGGGTCTCCTAGAGCGAAGTTTGATGACCTAAGGAGGTCCTTCCGATTCTATGGGATCCCGCTTAAAGTCAACTTGTCCGAGCCGAGGCAATTTTCTTTCATACGGAAGCTGCGTTGTGTAAATGCGTGCCTGCTTTAATCACCTCATTACAAAAACACCTGGTTGTCTGAGAGGATGCTTTTGTCACTGTTTACCATGCATTGGGAAACGTTGTCGCCATTCGCCAAGAGAAGCAGCACAAATAGTTGTGTATACAGGCGTACATACATACATACACATACATGTGTACATGCGACATATATATATATATACATACACACACACGCTTTTAAATTCTGTTGGTCGGAATATGCATATTTGCATACGTGCTTATAGACTTTCTGTGTGCATACATGCGCCACAAAGCTGCAGTCCTGTGATGGGATCTTCCCTAAGGTCAAGCATTCCCTCTCGGCCGTCTCGTGAGCCGAGATCCCGCAACACCTCGTTGTAGACTTCCACGAAGCAGCCTGCACAAAAATGCATCTGCCCCCGCGCGCTGTAATCTGCACACGTCACCACGAAGCTGTTGCATCATTGCATGGCACTGCTGCAGGCAGGGAGCAAGTGACTGAGACTCCCTGGTCCTGTGCAGAAGCCGACCTGGCAAAGAGGCCCTCGACCGTGCGGAACATGACGCCTGGTTCGCTTGGAGTGCCGATCCTTGGTGGTGGTTTAGTTCTCACTAGCTCCAGAAAAAACGGCACAAGCAACCACCGCCTCTCCATTATGCTTCAGGACGTACATATCTGTTGGCCGCAAGAGTCGCACCGGGTGCTATCCGTGTCTGCACTTGGCTCTAAACATTGAGACCGAGATGCATGGTAAAGGTTTTGCCAGCTCCTGTTGCCCCGTAGGCAAAAACGCTGCAATTCAGACCTCAGACTGCAGGAACCGCAACTAACAGTGGCCTCCAGCCCTCTTTGTGCCACACATGTGAGCAGTGACCTCATCCGCGAACAGCGGACAAGGATGGAAAAACCAAGCTCGGGTTATGCTTCGCATGGACCTTCCTGTCGATATTGCTGCACAAGTGGCCGCCAAGTACGCTATCTGCGGTCGCAGGGGTCATGGCAAGGTGCTGGACACGTATATAAAAATATGAATATAGACAATAATAAACAAATAAATGAATAACAATCATATATATATATATATATACATATTTATGTATTTATATAAATACGCAAACCCGACCTGATGCCAAAGCCTTTCAAAGGGAACCAGCATGAAGCTCAACCACACGTCACTACTTCTGTTAACTGCACCCGTGTGCCTATCAAGGGTTCTGCCGTCGCAGTAAACAGGACACCATTGTCCTTGATTGCTCTGGAGTGGAGAAGCTCAGTTTCCCCAGGGAGGACATCCGCAACCCAGAATTGAAAAGGGCACCGCTCTGAAAACAATGTGCGTTCAAGGTTGCCGTATCTGCGCCGAAGGCTTGATCGAAGGCGAATCGCTTTTCCTGCGGTGTCCGGGAGTTTCCAGTCAGTCCAACAGGGCGTGCCCAAAATCGATGTAGCTCAGACTTTTCACTGTAACTGCAGTGGCCCTACCCATAGCGACGAAGACTAGTAGCTTCTAATCATTCTAGTACAGACACTTGCTGCAGGTGTCTTTTCGAAAAAGCATCTTCAGCATCTGAGCCGTCCTTGGACTTGTCGTGCCGAAGGTAATCGTTCGATGCCTGAGTTCTTGCGAGAAGCGAGGGTTTAGGGTTTAGGGTTTAGGGTCTAGGGTGTAGGGTTCAGGGTTCAGGGGTGCCCAGGTGGCAGGGCAAGCAGCCGGGTTAACCTGGCCTGGGCCCTGGCTCACAACCGACTTCTCAAAGACAACAAAACAACTTGCAACCTGCCTAGCAACACTTCATTGCACTCGTAAGGTAACAAACCCAAACCAGCAACCAAAAAAAAAAAAAACAATGGACAATCAGCCCCGAGGTGCGGCTCCCGCGTCCAAGAGGATGACCATGCGGCGGTCCATGATCTCAGGCAGGGTTGGAGTGAAGGTGGTTGGGTCGGTGATAACTACAGCTCTTCCCTTGCGGACTGCTGGATTCTGTGCAGCATCTTGTGATTCTTTCCCACCATTGAGGTCCGAGCCCTACAGATGTCAACCACTTCATGGTTGCGCTCTGCATCGGATAGCCTTGCCCAAAAATCGTGTGGCACAGTCCTACGGCTTGTCCTGTGCAGAACAGACGGTTCGGGCGAAAACTTCCTTATTCAAGTAGCTCCAGCTAGTTGGGGATCGATACAGCATTCGACCGGAAGCACCCAACACATCGTGACATCGGGCTTCGTTCTCACGGTGCGGAAAGCACCTTTGGGCTGTAGCATACACTTTCTAGCAAGGCGCGGTCGGCAGCGCACGGCGACGCCTGAGTGTTGTGAAGCTGAAGATGTGCCATAGGAGTGAGCTCAAAGGGGCATTGCGGAGCATTCGCCTATACGGACTCTGAACTGCTCCAGGTCACATATCCTGCTCTCATCTTCACCCAGAGAGGTGCTAGACATGTGCCTCGGCTTGCAGTGCCAATTCTGCCAAAACACCGCTCTCTCGCCCTACAGCGCGTAGGGCTGGGCAAAGCAGCTTAGCTATATGCACTGTTGGGATGTACAAACCTGCCTTGTGAAGTCCAAAGTGGCAGCAAACATGTGCACGTGACGACATCTCTTGTAGTACCCTATGGCTCCAGTGCACTTGGCAAGCAAACCAATGCTGCCAGAGTTGCCGATGCTTCTAGTGCGTGGCTTGCCAGCGTCCCGCCGGCAACGAGGAGCGCCATACCAGCGGCATGCAAAAACATGTATCCTGATGTATCCCGTGCAGTATGCCTGTTGCCTATGACTCCTGTAAGTTCGGAGTAATCGCCTGCAATAAGCGAGCTGAAGATGGGTTGGATAGTTGAAAATTCATATGATGTGTTCCAACAACTTGCCCAGTTACCAGGCACCACCTTCCTCCAAAACACAGCGGGCACAAACAACCGTCAGAGTGGTTGTCCAGTAACCTGGGGGAATTCAAGGTTCACCTTTGGGATTATAAGGGGATTATACTACCCCAAAAAGGTTACCTACTCTACTACTCGGGGGGGTGATGTCACAGATGCACCAAAGAGTTCTGCAGGCGTAGCAAGCCTTGGCGGCGCCAGCACCCCGCTGCACCTCGGCAGTAGGTTTAGGTTTTTTTCCCACCCGTGTCGCAAGCGTTTAGGGTTTAGGTTTTTTTTTTTGCCCCCCGCTTAGGGTTTAGGGTTTAGGTTTTAGGGTTTAGGGTGCAAGCATCAGTGAACATAAGATCGGAGGACATACTTTCTTGATCCGGCCGGAGCAGACTCCGGTGACGGGTCGAAGCTAGGAATCAGGCCAGAACCATCTTGGTGATGTTGCCGATGGCAGACAGGATCCCGGCCAGCCTTGGTAGCCGTAGAGTTGAGGTTGATGTGACTATTACACGGTATAAGCCGTATGCCATGGGTGTATTTTGCAACCCTAAACCCTAAACCCTACTGTGCAGTATTGTGGGCACAGGGCAGCGGTTTTTTTCCTTTGCGCCCTGCATTCCTGCAGTCAGCCTTCACTCTCGCCTGGACCGGGCTCCTGCCAGGCTCTTGACTCTTGAAGCAACAGGGTTTAGGGTTTAGGGTACTATTGAAGCAACAGTTGTTTTTTGCCACCCGCGCAGCACTCTCGCAAACCGCGGGGGCTACTTCAGAGGGCCTCATGGGTAGAAGATGTGTAAATCTTTGGGATTCCAGAATCGCGGGCTAGGACCTCAAGTTGTTTCGACCCTAACCTTCAAACGAATGACGCTAGCAAACACCCACACTGTCCAATGAAACAGGGTTTAGGGTTTAGGGTAACAGAGTGGATGAAGCAACACAAGGCAGCCATGGCATGGCGACTAGCATGGCAATCTGCTGTCCTCTTCGATCAATTCCTAAGCTCACTGCTGACAACCATCAACCAAATGAGTCTCTTTATGGCTAGCGTGGGTGAAAGTGAACATCGAAACTATAGTCAAATGCTGCAGTCGGAGTTCGTAGTTAACCGGGCAATCGATCCCGACGCAAGCCACCTGCCCACAGAACAGCTGAGCATTTGCTAGACTGCATCTATGTTGATTGTCAAGACCACATTGCCTTGGTTGGCACGGAGAGACCCTGATGGTATGGCCTTCGTCTTGCCGGAGTTCATTGAGAAATAATACGCGTGAGTGTTTTTCCTTCAGATGCAGGACTGGGTATGGAGATACACAGACAGTGCAATGCCTGGCCTAGCTCAATGCGACGTCAGAGCTGCCCACACAAGACACTACAAAGGTCAAGCATGCCACCGCACAACATTTCTTGAAGGAACCCAGCTCCTGTGGCACTACTGAGCCAGTGGGATTTGGGGTGCTCAGTTTGCTTTCGGAGAATGCGGGGCATTGCAAATACGTATCTCGACCAGCACCCTGCTTCGTTGTCAAGCTTCGTGATTGCGGGAGCCGTCCAGCCTTTTGCTCGCAGCTGCCTTGCAGCAAACTATGCGAACTCACATGTGGCAACGCAACCTGGAATCCAAGTCCTCGATCAGCTTGTCTCATAACGTCTCTCAACACCTTGAAGCGCGGCAACCTTTAGAATCATGTTGTGCCAGGTAGCTCCGCAATGTAATTCAAGCGTTTTGCCTCAGAGCATCTACACTTTTCTCCATAGACAAGGGGAGCAGACACAATCCAGCACTCCGTAGTGTCGAAGAATGTTAAGACGCTAAGACGTGTCTGTCTGCTTCTGTTGCGCACATAGTAAGCACATGCCACACGCAGCACACATCGCCATTCTGCTACAGTTTTGCTACACAATAGCTGACATTAACTTGTGTTTTTAACGCGTATACGGGCATACACACACTGCATATTACATATATATATATATGTATACCATATACATATAAATATATGTATATATATATATATATATATACATATAATTATATGTATATATATATATATATGTATACATATATATACATATATATATATATATATGTATATTTATGTGTAACATACACACGCGCAGACAAAAAAGCGACACACAGACAGACACACAAGAATCAGCCATGGGTCGTTGGAGCCAAAATCAGCCTTGAGGCCGATCCGTCCAGAGGCACGAACTTGAACAGTCCCGTCCTACATCCGAACGCAGTGTATGAACTTGCACTCCGAATGCAGCATGTCGCTGCGGGGGGAGAATGAAGACCCTCTCAATTCCAGCAACATATACGTTTATACTACTAAGGTCCGAAGCTGTTGAGCACGGAGACTGCAAGACGATGCAAAGCCAAACAATCCAGTGCAGATGAGCTGTCAATGAGCAGCCTGTATCACCAGCATGGTCGCGTGAAAGAAGTATGAGTGCAGTGGGACTTGAGCTGAATTTCAAGTCCTGGTTTATTGCGAGCTCAACATCATCAATCTTTCCTTTCCTTGGCCAAGAGCAGTGATGGCGCTTCAGAAGTGCGAATCAAGAATCGCCGGAGTCAGTGCAGAATCAGGTCCAGAATCTTTAAGCTCTCAAACTGGGCGTACAAATAGCCATCGGAACCAGCTTTGACAACTTGGAAGCCACCCCCGTCAACTTTTTGCTGACCTGGCATTTGACATCACGTGTGCTCTAAAGGCTCTAAGTCCTCACATGCAAACGCAAAGAAGGCAGAGAAGCGGTGCAAAAGCCATAAGCCCTCACCTGGCGGATAAGCACGGATCACCTCTTCCAGCTGCGCGGATGCATCTGCCGTGCTAGTGCCGTCCGGTATCTTCCATGGCTGGAGAAGAGTGGTGATCTGCGGATCCTTATAGCAGTCTCTGCGCAAACACCGAAAGCCGAAGGCACTGCATGCAATGTCAGCACCGCCAGCAAAGTATACAAAGCATACTAGTTGCTGGCGGCTGGTGCCTCGGGATCTCCAGTCGTGGAGAAACAGTTCGGTCCATAACCACAGCCCTTCAGCACTGGGCCATCGGATTTATCACCAAAGCGATTCCTGGCTTTGCAACGCACTGCACGTGTCTCCATGCAAATGACAGCGTACATCTGAACGGAACTGTCGTGCTCCCAGGCTTAATGTTCCGAGCTTCAGCGTGCGCGGCTGCAATCCAAGATCGTCCGGCTTGTTGCCAGGAGTTCTTCTCTCGGAGTACTTGGCAACCTCGGGCAGCCTTCCACATCAGGACGAGACTGCAGTGACACAAATGCACAAGATCTTCGCAGCCAGTCTACCTAGCTTAAAACATGCGCTAAACACCTCTAGGCAGGTAGCTGCATGCTTCACGGGATCAAACTAGATCGCAACATTTTCAGAGACATCAATCTCATGCCGATTTTCTCACCTTTGTATGTGTGAATGGGCTCGTGTTTCTGCGCATCTAGCAGTATCGACACCCTAGATCGGGTCTGCATATGTTGATTCTTCTCAGGTAAAGCATCAAACTGAGCAGCGCATGTTCCAAAGTCATGGGCAGCCCGGTAAGTAATCGCTACTCAGCGAAGCCCAAAAACATTGGAGACATGTTCCAAGCAACGCATTTGGGAACGCCGCTTGTGCCGGCAGCGGGAGCCAAAGACCCAGATTCAAAAGCAGGTTTCGTCGCCCTTGCCCACCTGCAGTCATAGCTGGCTTCAGGATGCTTCAGGTTGGCTCGTCTTCATCCCTTTCTCGCGTGGGAGGGCTACGGCTTCTAGATCAAAACGGGATCTTTGAAATAGCTGATATAAGCTGATGACTGAAGGCTGCCTCAGATCCGGCCGAGTGGCTGGTGAAAACGCATCCAGAATCTTTCAGAAGCGCAGATGCACAGGCCAGCCAAACCAGCTGCCTGAGGGAACGTCCAAGGGCCCAAAATCAAGGAGGGAAGCGTATACAAACCGGAAGAGCAAAGCTTCCCAACATCCTTGAATTGGGGAAATCGCCGTACCGGCGTAATGGGTGGTGGCGTAAGCCAAGAGGCCAGGTGAGTTGGGCGACGCGCCGATGGCGTGATCGATGCCTCGACGTCGTCATCCCCAGCATGGCAACCGCCCTCCCCAATCTAGCAAGCTCCAGTCGTGCAAGCACTGCCTCTGCAAGACACCTTGCATCTATGAAGGAGGTCTTCTTCTTTGCAACGTGGCGATCTAGCATCCTGCATGTGTGCTACGGCATGCTTCATGCATGTACCTGTCCACAGGCTTGAGCCATCGCACAATCAAATGGAAGAAAGCTCAGCTACATGACCATGCGAGTTCGCATGTTGGTTGTCGTTCCGCTTAGCCGCTAAGTCATGGACAGGAATGGTCGAGCCGCATCCCAGCCACGTGAGTGGGGCCTGAAGAGCTGCGGCGATGAGAAGATCGCCACGGACAGCGAAACGCCACAGTTGTGGCTGAGATGGGCGATTGCCTGGACTTTCGCTTGCTGGGACGCTGGGAAGCGGCCACTCAAGTACGCCGCTGACACAGGCCGTGCAAACGCGAGCACTCCGGCCATCAAATGCGGTCCGATGAGGGCCAGTGCGTGGAACGGCGCCAGCATCTGCACGACATGCAGGGCCACAGACACCACGGCGGTGAGGGCAATGACCGACTCGGGCCGCTTTCGGCCGGCCCAGGGCCCGAGGATGCCAAGGCTACTCATTGAAATGACCTCACAGGGCCATGTCCAGGCTTGCCAATCTCCAGGTCTCCAGCCATAGACTGCAAGGGTAAAGGAGGCGTTGATGCTGGAGAGCCCTGACGCCAAGGACTTGAAAAGCACGGCCACCAGCCAGACCTCTGGGCTTGTTCTTTAGGTCCCTGTCCGCGTCTCTGCCAAAGCTTCTTACTCTACCCAAAAAGATTGCCAACTACCCCCCTCCCCCCCCCTCCTACCCTTGCCTGGAGAAATCGGCTGGAGATCAGGAAGTGCATCCTTACTGGTCGGCTTGCCAGGAGAGCCTTTAGGTTAATAGGGACCATACCCCCTCCAACGAAAGGCTTAAAGGTTAACGCCCACAAGCTTGAAACTAGACCCACCTGCAACCTCGAAAATTACAATGTTGAAACACACACACACACACAAATTGCCCACATGGCACCCATTCTGCAGGAATCTCTCCGTTCATATATTGTGCAACTCCCTAGCAGCCGTTTTGCATCCAGGCCTGCAGGCCTCTGCAAACAAGGCCGAGAGAATTGAGGGCAGCGGCAACTACTCGGCACTAGCTGGGCTGAGTTGCCACTCACTACGCAAGACTGTGCGCAAGTCAGGCGCTCACGTGAGACGATTAAAATAGCACAACTTTGTAATCGGTGAAAGACATTGTGAGGAAGAACATGAAAACTGCTGACATGTCAGTAGATTCATGGTCAAGCTGGGGCATGCCATAACTGCAACAGACCGATACTGCACAAGCGCATGAAGGATAGACGAAGCCCTGCACCCTTCCACCCCAGTGCACAATACCCCTTCTAGTTTCGAATTAAAACAGCAGGCGCCCCAGCAAGCGCCTTCCCCCCCCCCCCCCCCAAAAAAAAAAAGGCAACAAAATAAGAAAATCAAAAAACAAAACTAAACTACATAAAACAAACCCTAACTCCCCCTCCCCTCCTCATTACTTGCTCTGCTAAGTATCTGCTCCATGGAGTGGCCCACTAACCGCACGTACAAAGCCTGGGGCTTCGAGTGCGACTTCGAGAGCAGCGCAGAGGGCAGTGTCTCCGGCACGTAGACGAGAACATACCTACACTGGAATTACCAAGAAGCCAAAAACTCTGCAAAAAACCTATGAAATATGGTGGGCGATGCTACTTCTTCCCCACATGTCCAGCCGTCATGGCAGCACAGAAGATTAACAAAGGCCAAAGGCCCATGAAACACCCTCGCACCGGGGCAAGCAACTATCTTGCTACTTTTTGTCCAAACAAAACAACAACACCGGATGTGTGATGAGGACCGCACTTACGTAGGCTTAATTGGCATACGTCACCCAGCCCAAGCGCACTTCTCTGTCGTGTTCAGATCCTCGTGCTCAATTTGGGAGCCCAGGGTTGCCTTCATGTGCCTTACCTTGGGGGGGGAAGCCCCCCCCGAACGTTGCCCCAAACATGTACGGTGCCAGCCTAGGCACAAGATGAGCGCGGCCATGGCCATGGCCATGCAGGCCCAGGTCAGGCTGAAGTCGCGCACTTCCCAGGTCATCTCCTCCACGAAGATGCCGATGGCAATGGCGTTACCCAGGGCCCCCGTCGCCTTTGAAGGAAGGAGGTAAAACAACGACGTGGAGGGTTCATTTGGGTCGTTATAAGTGGGGTTAGACATATGGTAACTATACTGATAACCCTATTTAAGGTACTTATAACCCTACTTCTAGCTACCCATGAACCTCCTAGTAGTGCAACGCCAAGAGTCACACTCCTACCCTTCGACCGAGTGGCATAGTACAGGGAAAAGGATGTGACCCGACCAGCCGGTGACTTCGTTGTGTCCGCGAGCATGGCCAAGAAGACCACGTCAAAAGCACTTGTCGCCCCCTCCAAGAAGAAGCACAAGGACATTGCACTGGCAGAGCCGTGTAGTGTCGGCAGGAAAGCCACCAGAGCAAACAAGAGGAAGGCCGTGAGGAAGCCGGTCAAACCCAACAGCAAAATGGGGCGTCGCCCCATACTGTCAGCTAGAAGCCCGAGCAGTGGGCCCGAAAAAGCATGCACCAATAGCTTCATTGCGACCAGCCTACCCTCTTGAGCTTGTGCCATGGAGAGGACATAGTGGGAGTTCCCACAGTGAGCAGAACCACTGAATTTTGCGCCAGGCTCTGGCTGCTCTGCGCATTCGACCATTGAGCGCAAGAAGGGTCCATAGAGCTGGACAGCTAGCGTGAACCTGAGTGAAGGGTGCCCAACAAGTCCGAAAATTACACATGTAGGATGTCCCAGGTTTGCCAGCCAAGTGGCAGCACGCACAGAAAGCTATATGGAAGCAGAATGCGCCAAACTGGCTTCAGGTTGTCATACAGCGTCTGTAGTCCCAACGCCTAGGATGCGGCTCAGTCTCGTATGTGAACTGTTTACGTGTTCCGGTCATGGATCTCGGAATATTTCGGAGAAGCAGCTGAGCACGGCAACCGCATACTCCCGGACAGCCGACTCCATCATGGCTGCCGAGGTCAAGCTCACATGATCCTACCTTCCGGCACCGTCCTGCTAGGACATTTTGTTCCTGACGACTCAGATCCAGTCTGTGGTCAAAATGCCAGATGGAACTCCAAGCGTGGACATGAGCCTTAAACCCTAAACCCTAAACCCTAAACCCTAACATGTTGGGGGGTTGATGTGCTCGCGAGTAAGTTCCCGAACAGACGTTACCCCAACCTTATCTCCAACCTTCTCTTGGGCCAAGAGTTCCCACCTGCGGGTTCACGAAGAGAAGGGACCCCCCTTTTTTTAGTCCCCCAAAATAGTAGGGTTCCCTTATAATGAGGACCCTAAACCCTAAACCCTAAACCCTAAACCCAATAAGGTGCCCCTAAATTCGGAAACCCCCTCCATGAGCTAACGCCGCCTGGTTTCCGATGCAGAGCTGGTATCCCCAAATGCTGCCCTGGGCGATCCCTTGCTCGCTGCTACAACCCTAAGCCCTAAACCCTTTTGCATCCGGGCTTGGGCAAACCCTAAACCGTAAACCCTAAACCCTATAACCTATAGTTTTTTGAAGCCAGACTCTGAACGTCAGCTGGCATACCCTATAACCCTAAACCCTAAACCGCCCAACTTTCGAACCAAACGACGACTTCTGCGATCTTAGTCAGGGAATGGGGCAGGGCAGATGGGGGGTGATAGAGTAATGTCGCACCTGCTGTAGTAACCATGCCTTTAAGCCAAGAGGCCAAGTCTTGGATATCCAGAGCCCATGGCCCGGGCCAGGACACATAAGCGGGTCCCTAAACAGTGCCCATGGTAGGAGGTTGGGCTGGCTCCTGGACCACCCCATTCCCGGATTGGAGGGTTTTGGAAAGAAGGCCGGACTTTAAGATTCAGAGGCCCCGGCCTTTAAGCCAAGAAGCCAGGGAATTGGTTTATAAGTTGGCTTCCAAGGAAGCCCTAAATCTTGAAAACAACAACGCCGGGTTTCTTGAACGGGGTGCCCCCAAACACTCACAGGGTCATGAGTACCAGCCAGCTTTACTTTCCCTAAACCCTGAACCCAACTCATGCGCGTCCAACATTAAGGGGGTGCCGTCTAGACAGGCTGCTCCCGTGGCTCTTCGACTCTGGATCTAGGTCCAGGTCTTTCTTAAACCCTAAACCCTAAACCCTAAGACCTAAACCCTAGTGTCTGTTGCGTGCAAAAGGGGCGAACGAAACCTTTCGACACAAAGCTCCAGCCGCTGACCCCTGCTTCAGCGCCATCAGCAAAGAGGTGCGCCTGGCCACTCAGGAGCGCAAAAGCATGACATTGGCCCGCAAGAATGCTGAGCAGAGGTTTGCCGAGGCACTGATTTCAAGCATGAATGAGCTCTGTGTAGCTAGCTCGTGCTATGGCAAGGTGAGCTCGCTCACCAGGGCTATTGCAGACCGAATTGCTACACACTGCGCCTCATGCTGCAAGTGACGGGCGTTGATGCCCTTCATTGTCACAGTGCAGATGCGCTCAAGTTTGCCGCGCTCAGTCTTCACCGCTGTTGACGCTTGTTGCGCAGACGAATTGAGTTTCACCATCTGGCTTTTCAGCTCTTCCAGCTCGTGCTGGTCGTGAGACTCGGCTTGCTCTTGGCGTGATACCGCTGTAACCACGGCATCCTTAGGAATTGGGGCATTTGCAGGGGAGACAGAAGCATGATGCGGAGATGCAGCTAGCCATGACCTTCAGCTTCAGCATGTCAACACCAAGCATGTGCCAAGAATATACTCGAAGGCTCAGCCAGTACCTGCTCCTCCTGCTGGACGAGGTTGCCAAAGCTGCTCATCAAGATCTGCAGCTCTGTTTTCGGCTGGCTCTGTCCAAGTTTCTCCACTTCCTGGCTGAGCTGCTGGAACCTGCCATGAATTGTTGGAATTCGTGGCGCGTTCTGTAGTGAGTACGGAGAACCTTGCAAGAGTTTCAAGCAAGTAAGTCTCCCGAAGCCATGACTGCCATGAGGTCTGAGACCCGCCATTAAACCCCCTCCCCCCTCCCACCAGTGCGGAGTCATGTGGAGTCAAAGAGCGTGGCAGCTTGCAGCTACAACGGTACATGTATTAAATCAAGCCCAGCCTATCCCTGTCGGAAGTAGCTCCATGCTGTATCAGTTGCTTTGCAGCCATCAGCCGATGAGAGGTGCTTCCAAAGGCCTCAGTGCGTGTCAAGTTGCTGACAAACACTTGTCAACGCATTCTTGAAACCTGGGTTTAGGGCCCTTAGCTTAGGGCTCAGGTTTTTGTTTCTTGCAAGCCGCTAAGGGTTTAGGGGCTTAGGGACACCTTATCAAACCCAGCCCGCAGAGTGAGGCCAGCCGTGGGGTCTGCTAGGCATCTAGAGTGGGCCTCGACGTCTCTAGGCGTGCCACACAAGTCTGCTACCGAGGCCTTGATGGCTGAATGTTTTTTTTCCCTGGTGATGGTGACTTGGGTTGGAGAAGGTTAAAGAGCTCAAGCTCAAAGGATCTGCACTTTAGATTGTTTTAGGTTTTTAGGGTGCTCTTTTCTGTCGAATTGACAGCTATGCCTGTACGACTTAAGTCATGAAGCCCCACCGAGTGGCCAAGGCGCCCTTTCATACCTTGACCCTTCATTGTGGTTCCATTTTCTTTTGCTTTTTGGGGAGGGGCTGTGCTCAATCCTCTCATTCTATCATATTCTATCGTACCAAATAAGCACAGACATCGCATACTCAAGTGTCGACCCTCCCCCCCTCCTGCCACCCGCAAAAAAACCTGGGTACTAGGTACGGGGATACGTTACATCCTACATTGTATATATATATATATGTATAATATATATATATATATATATATATCTATATATTACGTACTTGCATTATGAACCACTATATTGATTATTATGTCTGCATCATATCTGCAAAGGTTTTATCAGTTCTGTGCGTTCTACGTGCGTAGGGCCTACAAACGCAGCTTTTGGAGCCAGGACTCCTGGAGGAGATGCTCGCGGGCCGCGACCTCCCGCTGGAGGACCTTCTGCTCCTCGCGCGCCTCACGCGTGCGTGTGCCTATTTCTACAGGTTCATGGGCACCTTTTCAGGTTTAGGGTTTAGGGTTTTTTTAGGGTTTGTTTTTCCCGCCCGCATAGCTGAACTGCATGTCCACGAGGGTTTAGGGTTTAGGGTTTATGGTTCATCCTCGAAGGTTCATAGGCACTTAGAAGTAGGGCTACAAGTAGGGAACTATGGTTCTAAACTTACTTAGGGCACTTAGATCCCTACTTAGAAGTACCCATGAACCTCCAAGTACCCCTGAGCTTGCTGTGAACATCTGAGGTCAGCTCTCAAAATCATGGCCCCTTGTTTTGGGTACCTTATAAGCATTAGAGGGGCCGCCTTAGAAAAGCAACCCCAAAAGGGGCCATGGTTTCGAGAAGCGACCCTCTCTTTAAGATATCTCTAAACCCCTCCGAGTCGGCCTTGGATTCCATGTAATGGGTGTGAACCTCATTGGAGAGATCCTCCTGAAGGTTCTTCGAGCTCCTTGGGGCGTGTGACGTGGGGGTTTCCGAAAATAGGGGACCCCTCTAATAGTAGGATCCCCTCATAAGAAGCACCGCACGTGCGCACACATGCGACAACCACGCGGCGACGCATGCCAGCAATAAAGCTATCATCGTGCATGGCGGTGTGGCATCATTGCCTTGAGGACCAGAAGTTCTCAAGCGGCGCCTTGCTCTCGATACACTCGATACACAGGACTTCTCTCTTTCGGGCCTCTCAATTTGACCGGTGGATTTATATGTGCCTCCAAGAATCTCTTGCTGATATGCCTCACACATCTTTCTGAGCTCGGTATCTTGGGCGTCGCCCGTGTCCGGCGACTCTGTTTCCAGTTTTTGCAGCAATGACTGCAAGACTTCTTTGTTGAGCTGCTCTTGTGAAAGCTCCATGAGCAGAGTGCTGTTTGTGGCAAGGGCGAACTTGCGGATCAGCATCGCCACCTCGAGTGACTCAACGAAAGGCTGTGCATGCCTGCTTCGCCATGCCGTCCGAGAGCACTTTTGCGCAGTCAGACAATGACAGCCATGCTTGCGCATTCTGACTAAGAACCCAGCAAGGTTGTCCTGCACTTGTGGTGCAGACAGAGCGGGGCGCTGTATTGCCTCAACATGCCAGCATGCCAAATAAGCCCACCATGCGATGTACTCTTCAAAGAAGTTATATGTAGAAATGTGTGTGTGTATATATATATGTATGTATAAATGTATGTGCATATGTATAAATACTCGAAAAAAAGAACGAGGAGCAAGGCAAAGAGCGAGTGGGGAGGGAGGAAAAGGCAGAGGGAGATGGACGGGGACGTAGCTCAGCCCATGCAGGAATACTTGGAGGTTCAAGGGTTCTCAAGTAGGCTTATAGGTACCCGAAATAAGGTTAGAAGTATAGTTGCCATACTCTATAACCCTACTTATAACTACCCACCATGAACATTCCTAACGGCTTGTAGAGGGCCCAGGTGCTGATGCGAATTGGAAGAAGGCCAAAGGCTCGGCCAACGAGGCATGTTCTGGCCAGAAGGATCGCACATCAGTCCTTGGGTTCCCAGATCTTACCCTCATTTTACTCTGGATCATTCTTATGAAAATGGGCATAATGAGGGCATATACCTTAATTGAGGGGTTTTGGAAGATCTGGGTTCTTCTGCGCAGGACAGGTACGTCTTGCAAGGACGACATGCTGCATTGGGAGCTTTTGCAGAATATGTCTGGAGCAAGTGCTCTTCTGAATTCTCGGTTTTTCCTTGAAGTCCAAGGCTCTTCACCTGCTTTTCGTCCTCACCATCCTCCTCATCCAGCGCTTTCTCTGCTGCCAAGAAGTCCTCTTTGGCTGCCTTGGCCTTGGCAGTACTTTGGGCCGCACCCTCATCCGGCTGCCTTAGGTTGAGCGGATCACAAGATCTCGGGTTCAAAGATGCGTGGGAGCCCTGCTGGAGACCTGGTTCTTTTCAATGAGTTTTGCGACTTTGAATGATTTCAACTTGATCTTTTGACATGACATTGCCAAAAGGACACCTTAAACCCAAAACATGTTCTTGTTGCTTGTGAACGCCGGTTTGCTCACTGAACATACGCAGAATGGACTTCAGACTACCTGGCAGGCATGTACATGCAGTAGTTTATTAACCTGGGGCCCCCAGCCAAGCCGTGTACGTCTTCGGTGTCTGCATCAACTCCATGATTCCGAGGGAGTCGTCCGGCTTCGAGGGCTTTTTCTTGGTTTCCGCGCGCTTCTTGGCGAGCAGGCCTTGCCAGCCGCCCCTCAAAGCAGCAGGGAAGTCCTTCGGTGCTTGCATCCTGGGAATGTCTTCAACTTCACTGTGGGCTTTCGGTGCCCTGGTCTGCTCCTCATGGCTGTCACGTGGCTCCAGTGTGTGATGCCTCTTTGACTTGCCCACACGTGGAAGCTCCGGGGCTTTCTCCTCCGACTCCTCAGACTCGCTTGCTTCCAGCTTGCTTTCCTGCGCCACCTCTGCTGCAAGCGACATGGAAGCCTTAGCATGGTGTGGGGCTGGAGATGAGCTTTGCACATCGAGTGGGGTAGCCGACTCTTCCGATGTCGTTTTGATGGCGTTTACTTGAGGTTCGACAGGAAGAGTCAGTGTGTCTGCGGCCGCGTGATGCGCATCAGCCTGCAGCTGCTTGAGCTCGGCCATCTGCTGCTGCATCTGCTTTTGCTGTTGCTGCAGCTCTTGGGAGACCCTCAAGAGGTGTTCGAGTGGTGCTGATGAGAGTGCATGAGTCACATCGGGTGTAGGCGTGGCATCCGTGTGAGGCTCCATCGAGCCTGTGGCCGCCGCAGGAGCCTGAGCATTTGCCTGGGAGCTGGCCAATGCCTCCGCGGCGCCCTCAGCTCTGCCTATCAGCTCAAGCGCCTGCTTCACCAACTGCTTTGCTTTGCTCTCTGTACGGTTCAGGACAGCACGCCCCAAGCCACCTTGTCTGCAACGAAAGATGCCCGAAAAGAGCAATCACGAGCAAGCAGCAACAGCAAGCACAAGCGTGGACTTCTTCCTTCCATGCAGGCGGAACACTGGCAGCAATCGAGCATTTACATCAACAAAGATGTAGTTACTTCATTCCCTCCTGCCGAGAAGCAAATGCCGGCGGCATCTGAGAGAGCTGCGTTTGTCTGCGCCACTGCGGCATCCAACACCTCTGGCGATACGCGAAAGAACGGATCTAGTCCTTCCGAGCATATCTTCAGGAGCCATCACTTTAAGATGCCTCAGGGAGAGGGCTCAGATCTCGAGACTATCTCGGGACAATGTCCAGGCCTGCCGTCCGCTGCGTGCCGCGAGGTTCTTGGCGCGGCGGAGAGCCTGGGCCTCTGCTGCCTGCAGCTGCCGTGCCTTCGGGTTGTGTTTTTGGTGGCATCGTAAGCCAAGCTTGCAGGCGGGCACCAACCGCACAAGAGCAGAGATACATACACAAGCATCTGCATCCCTTTCGGTAATAGATACAATACTCCAGTTACTACAACTTGCCAGAGTCTACAATAGGGCTCGGGAGTGTGGAGGGGTTACTGCTCGGACTTGCACAGAGCGCCGCAAAGCAGCAGCAGTGATCCCACTGCGTTGCAAAAGCTCTTAAGAGGAAAAGGACTTCAGACCGGCTTAAGGCTGCTGGCTTCGGGTGCAGTTTTCGGCGGAATATGCCCTTACAACTCCTTACAGCTCCGCATTTAACAATCGAAACGGTTGACAGCTTGGCCCGTTTTCGCAGTCTGCGTGTTTCTGGCCAGCTTGCAGCCTCAAGAGCCTGAAGCCTATACTGGGCGCATGAAGCGCAGCTTCCTGACCGTTTGCATGTTCGCCGGCATCTATTACCAGTGGGACGGGTGCAAACCTGCAAATTTTTAACTGCATATGTAGTCCATGCCGACATCTTGCATATTGAGCCTTCGGCACCAGCCAGTTTTCTGCCTTTCGCCCGCCTTCAGCATCTCCAGCTGAGCAGTCGGCAGTGTGCCAGTGAGGTTCGGCTGCTGGCTCAGCGACATTGCCTTCCTTATCCCGTTGGCTGTCCAGGAATCAGATAACAAATTCTGCAAGAACACCCGCTTCTCACTTTGCTCTCAGCCAACTGAATAGGAACCCGAAGGACCTCTGAAGCAACCAGGGCACATCGCAACCAGCTGGAAATCTCTCAATCCCGGTCGGGGATTGCAGATGGGAACAACATCCCTTCACCCCTCAACTGCACAGGAAAGCGAGCGGGCAACGAAATCCAAACCTGACTTGCCAAGCGGCTGCGCCCTCGCGTCGCCGAGCACTTTCCTTACCGCCTCGAGGCTCTGCCTCTCCCCGCTGAAGGCCCAACTCGAGGCTCGAGCCACCAGCTCGGACCTCAGCAAAATCGTTGTTTGCATCGCATGAGGCAAACAGTGCTGGCAGTTGCGTTATCCGCCGACCCCAGCGGTAGCAGGGCGGCGTCAGTGAAGACCCCCCACCGCCCTCACCGCCCTCACCCGCTCTCACAGCATGCTGCTCATGACACCTTGAATTGGAGTGTTTTTGCATTGTTTGGCTTCAGTGCATGCCCAAACCCCGCCACCCATCGCCCTCACCCATGACGCCTTGAATTGGACCTTTGACCCCCCCCCACCCCATCCATTCAGGTGTCCAGTGCACGCCCGACCACCCCCCCCCCCCACGCCCCCCCCACACCCCCCCCACCCCCCCCCACACCCCCCCCCATCCCCCCCCACCCCCCCCACTTCCCCCCCCACCCCCCCACCCACCCCCCCCACCCCCCCCACCCCCCCCCACCCCCCCCCCCCCCACCCCGCCGCCACCCCCCATCTGTAGGCCTCGCCGCCGCCCCTGACCAATCTCTCGTGTTTTAAGGATTCCAGTCCATGCCTGCCCTCACCGCTTCTCACCGCTCTCATCAGTCCACCCCTCCCTGACACCAACCCTTTACCCTCAACCCCCACCCGCCGCCTCGACTCTGAAACCCCACCCCCCCCATCCCTTCCCTCCTAGGCCCCTACCCCCTACTCCGCCCCTGACAAATCTCTAGTTTGAGGGATTCCAATCCACGCCCGCCCGAACCGCCTCCCCGCTCTCATCACTCCCCTGCCTTCCGCCCCCAACTCCACCAACTTCCACCCTGCCTTCCGCCCCAACCCTCTCACCAGAGCTGGTCAAATGAGTCAGGCCCCCCTTTCCGCCAGCCGCCCCCACCCTCTCCCACTCCCACTCCCTAACCCTCCCACCAACCCTCCCCAGCCCTCATCATTACCCCCTCCCACCATCGTGCACCATCCGACCGCCCCCCCGCTCTCACCGCTCTCATCGCTTCTTCATCTCTATGCCCCCCAGTCCACCCCTGCCTTCCGCCCCCAACTCCCTAATCCGACACCAACCCTCTACCGTCACCCCCCACACCCCCCACCCCCGCCGCCCCCCTTTCCACCCCCACCCACCCCCACCCCCCCCGCCCCCGCCCCCCCCGCCTGCCCGCGCTCCACCCTGCCTTCCGCCCCAATGCGACTGTCTTGGGTCTGGGGTCGGCGGCACTGGCGGTAGCCATTAAATCGGGCAGCGCGAGGTCCCCAAAGGACCGAGCAAATGCGGACCTTTTAGCCCGGGTCGTCCCGGGAATAGCCTTGCTGGCCTCTGGCCTTCTGCGAAGCAGAATTAGGCCGGACGCCAGTGCCGCCGACCCCCGCGTGCCGCCGGTGAACGGTTTTTTTTTCGTGGTTTTTTGCGTCGCCACGGAGGCCCCCAGAGGGCGCGCATCATGAGCATCAGCGGGTCCAGCCCGGGACCCCCAGGCGCGCATCAGGAGCATCAGCGGCTCCCGGGGCGGGACCGCGGGGGCGCATCAGGAGCATGATGCCCCCCAAAGGGCGGGCATAAGCGACGTGTCTAAGCCCGGGGCTAGGAAAAAGGGAGTTTAGGGGCCTTATAAAGTGCTTAGAAACGTTAAGGGAGTCTAGGAGCCTCAAACGCTTAGAGATTTGAAGGGAGTTTAGGGGCCTCAACATGCTTAGAAACTGCTCGCCCCAGGCTTCTGCGTGTGCTGCCCGCCCATGGGCGCAGCCCCTTAAAATATATAGTTCTCCTCATTCCCCTGCCGCCGTAGAACTAGCAGTTGCAGTTTAGCTATATCCTCGGGAAAATTCCCAGGACGACAAGGGGTCAGCAGATCAGACAAGACCTCTCTGAGACTCTGGGTCCTTCAATGCTTTCAACAACTCGGAAACATCTTGAAGCCATGTGGCTCAAGCTCGGAGAGGCACTGCACAGCCAGGTCGAGATTGCTGCGAGCAGAAGGCTCTACCATCTTTTCTGACTGTAGAAGTTGCAGCTGCTTTGCTGTGTTGAGCAGAGAGGGCACATCGAACGACTCGTCGTCCGAGTCCTCTCCACTGAAGCTGCCCCGCAGCTCAAGGAGCTCCTGCCTCTGCTTCTCCTGACGCCAAACTTAGTTGTCCAGTAACCTGGGGGAACTAAGGTTCACCTTTGGGATGATAAGGGGGTTACATTACCCCAAAGAGGTGAAAGGTTCCCTACTCTACTACTAGGCAAACCCATCAGAGGGGGAACAACGCAGCAAGCTATCACAGCGAGCATCCGCGAGCACTCCTGCGTGGCCGCCTCCTTCTGACACCACGCCTCAAATTCGACCCTTCTTTGGGTCAACTCATTCTCCTGCAGCGGCAGACTGCATCGTAGGTGCCTGGTATCCCGGCATGCCCTGACTACCCTGCCTCCTCTGTCAGAAGCTCCAGGGCCTTGCTTGAGGCCCAGGACGCCCTGAGCTGCAAGCCCAGGACCTTTCAGCGCTTTGCAGCACTTTGGAGCGACATGAGACACCAATATCAATGAAAAGGTACGCCGCGTGCACATGTCGGCTCACGTGTGTGGGTGCTACTGCGTGCACTCGCTTCTGGGCATCCGAATTTCCGAATGCAGATCATCTGGGCACCGCGCGAGAAAGCTGAAGCTGAAAGGAACCATGTCCACGTCCTGGTATAGATTCGGCTCTGTTCGGCTGCATGCCTATGCATGCGTGTTTAAAACATCCTAAGGCAAGCTGCGGCACTCTCCTCAGCAACTACAATGGGCCATAGCCCGCTGGCAAAGCTCACCCGCTGGAGAGCCAGAAGGGGCTGAGAGGAGCACAGTGGCACAGCAGTCTTTGTATGCATGGCTCTCTAAACCTTCAGGGCTCCTGTGGTAGCTTGCCTGTGACCGAGGTTGTTCAGGTGGGTCGACCAAACCCGGCCCTAAACCCTAAACCCTGAACCCGAATCACAAAAGGGCCCCGGCACAGGCACAACAAGTCGCATGAAACAGAGGTTCAGCCGGAGCTAGGAGCGCTCCTCGCCTCATCTGCACCCAGATGCAGCCCAGATCCGGACTCCTCCACTGACTTGGCCATAGGAACGAACTGCAATGGAGCAATTAAAAAACAATGTGCAATTCACTCGCATGAGTTGCCGAGCCATCCGAGCCATGCGATTCTGAATCCAGGTCAGGTCTTCTGACCAAGATCAGACTCAGCACGCTACTCTCGCTGTGTGTCTCACGGAGCTGATGGCCCGTGGCACGCGCAAAGTTACTGCTGCTATTTCTAGCACAGCGGCGGCCCGGAAAATTAGGCACGCCTGGAAAATAGGTGCGCGCCAGAAGCTTGAAGGCATCTGAAGATGCTCTCAGAGCTTCCATTCCGGCTGGTTTTGCAAGGCTTGCATGACCTGCGTGGCCAAGTCCTGAGAGGCAACATCTGTGCCAAAAGCGATGCCCAAGCTTTCACATTCTACCCGGCCATTGAGCTGCTCCATCTGTGTCCCAATCCCTCATACAAGCTAAGCTGGCTGCCACATGCTCCGGGGAAGGTTGCTTGTCCGGATGCCACTTCCTCCGTCGACAGAACTGATGACTCACATTGACTCACATGGCAGTCCGCAGCATATTCATTCGCCTCGGCCCCCCCCCCCCCAGGCGTCCGGAACAAGCAGAATTGGACGTGGTCTGTCCCTCCACTCTCTGCCTGGGACCCCCCTAGGACCCGATGCCGGGCCTTGTCCCTGACCCTGGCCTGCACCGAGCTTTGCTTCGTCTGCAATGCTCCAGCCCAAGTGCTGGGGCGGCGCGCAATTATGTTTCACTTGAAGAGAAAGAACGGCTGCAACACAGAAAACCATAAGCCAAGCTGCACCATCAGCTTTTTCCTAGGCTTCGCACTTCACAGGTATAGGAGCTCATGCCCGCCATGCAAAGAACTCGCACGCAAAGTCTTACAAGCATTCAGCTGGGCATCTTCACGGCAGCTCGCGACTCTCTGGTGCAGCGCCTGAGTCTGCGCTCTGCGGAGCCTCTCTTATGTATCTCTTGTGTACTTGCTATCGTGAAACACGCTTTTTGGGACTCTTTGGTGTCCAAGCCGCCGTAACGGACTGCACTCTGACCTGGGCAGGAACCCCCCATCCCCCTTGACTTGCAGCAACTCGCCCGCAATGAGGCGGAAGCTTGCTGGGCCCACGCGTAGACATGATCGTGGAAGCTAAGGCTAAGGTGGCAATCGCGGGGTCAGTTCAGAGGCCGCGGCTATAAGCCTGGAAGGGCCTAAACTCGCAAAGTGCCCCCTGTCTCCACATGTGAAGACCATTCTAACAGAACTGCTGCACCCTTAAAGACATCGTAACGGACGAACCAATCAACACCCAAATGCTCAGGGCCCCCCTGAGACTCTTGAGTGAACGGCTCGGCGATCTGTCGCGCCAGGGCCGATGGCTCCTGGTTCGCAGCATTTGCCTGATCTTGGTTCAACACGAATCCATGCTTTGCAGGGTTTTAGGTTTTAGGGGTCTCAGGAGTTTCCAGGACTCCACGGGTGGGGCCCTATCACTCTCACACCGAGCAAGCAAGCCTCACAATCGGAACATCACTTCGTTGATGGCTCTAAATTTCGAGCTTGGGGCTTCCGCTCGAAAGGAATGCTTCGTGGTGGACGAGATTTGAAACGACTCCGCAAGTCAACTTGCAACCTTTCATCTTGGGACCCTCTTTGCGCAGACACTCTCATCTCGCCCCCCCCATAGGCCAACCTCAGCCAGCTGGAGACGCTTCTTCAGGGAAGCGTTCCTGAGACGAGACGAAGGGCTGAAGGGCCGTTGCCGAAAGCAGAAAGCGCATATAAGTGCATGATGGTATACCTGTGCGTGGGCTGCATGGACATGAAGCATAGCGGGGCTTCACGGCTGAAAGCGCGAGGCCCCGTCTCTCTGGCAGTTCGTTCTGCCAGCCATGCTGACTGACGCAAGAAGGAGACCTGCTTTGAACCGGCAAGGCGAGCCCTACATCCTAAACCCTGAACTCCACTTTCTGCCACACATTGCCACACCTCCCTCTCCGCATCCTCACGCTTGCGGATCTGTGCGAACAGCTCCCTTTCCTTGTCATCCTGTGAGGGAAGCAGAAATGGGTTCAGAATCCGCAGATCTGCGTGCTCTGCGGCGCAACGGCCGGGCTCCTTAAGCCTGCGCCACTGATCAGCGCGATCCTGCGCGGCCTTTGCTTCGATCGACTTCCCACAAGTAAGCAACAGAATTCGGGCACATTTGGGCTGCATTGCGGCTGGCAAGGAGCTCTGATGTCATTCTGGGCCGCTCGCAACTCCTTGCGTCGGGCGACTCTCTATGCACTCAAAGGGTCAAGACATGAGTGGCACGGGGTTCCATTGAGACTTGGGGCGGTGACAACGGCCGAAACACATGCAGCGTCTAACTGCGTGTGCGTGCTGTACGGTTCTCAGGGTTAAGACCATTGACCCTAAATCCTAACCCCTAAACCCTAAAACCCTTTTTGAGCAACGGACTTTGGAGGCTGCGCAACCCTAAAACCCTAAAACCCTAAAACCCTAAAACCCTAAACCCTGAGTCTGCACAAGCGGCCTGGTCCAACGCCTGGACGTGCTGTTGAAGCTCGGCTCTCTTCTGCACCTCTTCGGTTACTTCCTTGGAAAGCGGGTGGCTTTAGGGTGTATATAGGGTTCAGGGTTCAGGGTTCAGGGTTTAGGGTTTAGGGTTTAGGGAGCCAAAAGGCCGAATCAAGAGGAGTGCCACGTCTGCACGTTGCACGACGAAGACGCTTAGCCTGGGCCATGTCTCTGACTCACGCTCCTCGATCTCCTCCAACAAGCGCCACACTTCTGGAGAGTCCTTCTCCCTCGCAGAAGTAACCTACCCGGAAGGCACCAAGCTAAAGAAATGACATGTCTGGAGAGCTTCCTCTCGGTTCACCTGTGACTCTGAAACTTGAGTGTCGCCAGACATATGTAGGAGGATCTTTCTGTCCAAGCTGCTCTTTGCCACGGCTCCCGAAATGAGTTGAAAGCGCAGCTGCACAACAAAACGTGCTATCAAGCACTGGGCGGCAAAAAGGGACCATCGATGGGAGCAACACAGCACAGTCACTTGGATCAGCCATTTTGCGATTCAACCCTACCAGGGACCTATGCTTCAAGAAAAGAGAAGCTGATGCTGTGCCCATGTGGAACGGTAGTGCCTTGGTGCAGGCGGCTTTGTTGCTCTGTACAGTGGTTTAATTTAGGTGTGCGTGCAGACGATATACACCGAAAGGAGGCCTTTGATGGCAATACTGCTGAGACATGCACGGCAAACTGTTCAGCTCCTGCCGACCAGTGCCACGACCCTGCACGCAAATTGGATGCTGCTTGGCAGCTGCGGCGTGCTTTCTTAAGAGAAAAAACAACAGAGCTTGCTTGAAATTGCTTGAATTCCTGTCCAGCACCATGGCTGCTGCGGCCTTCAGTACTTGCTTTTCCGTTGCTCCCTGGTTGCGGTGTGCACCTGCCCATCGAGTTCAAAGTTTGCCCACTCCATTGAAGGGTCCCATGCCTCGGATCGTGAGCAAGACGGCATTTCAAGCTCGGTTGTCCAGTTATGATGCTACTTGGGATGTTCCCCCCTTATACGAACAGTCCGTAGTAGGGATTCTAGTACCCCCTATTATAATCCCTATTAAGGACTGCTAGGACAAGGTGGAACATGCCAAGATGTTACTCTGAAGAAGCCATCAGTGCGGGCAGTCGTGAATCCAGTAACTTCCGGCAAGAAGCCGTAATCTTGTGTGGGGGTGGCAGAGCTTCTGGCCTTAGCTGTCACCCTGCCCGGCTGACTTGATGTACTGCAACTCACGACAATCGATCGGTGGTGTAGACATATCGGCGGATGGAGCTGTCAAGCTTTCGGCACCTGGAGCTGAACATTGAAACCAATCTACAATCCAAACCTCCGTAGCAAAGGGTTCTGCCATGCCCTCCTACCTTTGAAAGGTAAACGTTTTCGGTTCTAGGTTTCCGCCACGCACGCTCTTGCCTCGATTTTTTGCTTGTCCTTCTTAGGTCTTGGTCTAAGGTTTCAATGTAGCTTTGTCTGTCAGACTGTGGCACTTCCCTTGTAGGGGTTGAGGGTTTCACCACCTCCCTTCCTGCATAGTTGGGCGAAACGCAACGCAGGGATGCCAACCAAAGTCGTGAGGTCCAAACATGCATCCGAGCTAACTGACTGGCGGGGCTTTCCAGATTTTGTGGGTTGTTCCAAGGCTTTTTCTGTAGGGTTTGAGCAGGGCTGTGGGTTTTAATTAGGGGTTTATGCGGTTTATGGTTAAGGGCTTCGGGTCCTGTTTAGGGTTGTTGTCTTACTTCCCCCTGCCAACTTGGAGGAGTCCGTAAGTAACTACAAACTCGCACTCTTGCGCAAGAGAGCTGCTCGCAATCAGGTATGTCGAAGTAGGACAGGTCTGTCGGGGTTCTGACCTGATCTGCAGCAAGTCATGGAGCAGGGGGCAACGAGGGATGCAACACAGCACGCGGGCCTTGATTGTGAGGGGGGGCTGCATCTTATGCAAGGCAGCGAAGTCCAAGCCATCAAAGAAAGCCTCCCAGCCCAGTGAACAGAACTGTATCAGTGGCCAGTGAACGGGCTGTGGCGCTGTATTCGCTGCAGAGGATCTAGGAACCAAGCGGTGAAGTGCAGTGAATCAAACTGTTGAACCCTGGGATTGAAACTCACAAGATGCTACAAGTCTCACTCGGGCAGCAGGCTTTTGGCGTGCTTTAGGCCCAATAAACCATCCCCAACTAGAGCCTCGTCCCGGCATTCTGCAAGCGACAGCCGCTCTTCATCATCGGAGCGGAGCACGCCGTCGAGAAAGTGGCGTGCGTTCTCGAACTGGCTGTCCTGGGCTTTGCAGGTTTTTCCTTTCGTCTCCGTTATGCCGCACTTCGGTCTCATAAGGCCGTTGACAGTGGCCCGGGCCAATCATGAGTTTGCCTCCTGCCAAGCTCAGGTTCCAGAATGCGGGAAGCCTCAAGACCCATGACCAAACTGGAGCCCCTGCGATTTGAATCGCCTTGGGCGCCATGTGTACACCCCTGGCACATATTTAGCTTGAAAAGTACTGCGACCGTGTGTTGTCCCATCTAACAAGGAAGCCTGGGAAGCTTGGGAAGCCAAGATGCTGAGGTACCGACCACGAATTGACGGTCGCGGGCAAGCTTGAGCTTTCCTGGTAGATGCTCCTCCGCGTTGAAGGCCTGTCGATTCAAGGCTTGAGGTTTAAGGATTGTACACCTGGCGGTCAACCCGCTTGTTCCTGCCTTCTCGGCGATTGCGTCGACTTTGTCCATCACCGTGCGCGCGCCCGAAGCATCAAAAGGTACCAAGCCAGTCAGGCACTCCTTGGATCTTTTGGCGGCAGCTGTGCTTTAGCTTTCTAGGTCGGCCATGATCTCATGATTCTGCAGGCCTCAGCACAGCTCCATTCTGAAGAGTCTGCAGCCATACTTTCGGGATGCTTTGGCAAGTGCAATCAAAGTGGGCTCCAACTGTCCCAGCAAAGCCACGGGTGAGGCTCTCAACCAACTCCAACACCAGTTCATTCCGAGACAAACCAAAACGACATTAGAATGGATGAGGATAATGCTCGCCGAATGTCGTAGGTTATGACTCCAATTGCCCAGATATCACTCTTGCAGCTGCTGTAGCCCTCGAAGGCTTCTGGCGACATGTACTCCGGGGTGCCGCAGATCAAGTCGGACTTGGCAGCTCCACTCTCATCTTGTACGGCCGACAGCCCAAAGTCCAGCCTTGGCTAAACTGGATAGGGCCCAGGGTTTCGGGTTTACGTAACAAACGTCAGTCGCAGCTACAGCAAATCAACTGCGCACATCTGCACATGCCTCGACGTATGCCACCCCTACTGGTGAGGGGCGCTACTTTTTTAAACGCCCAATGCATGGTAACCCCGCCAGGGGCAAGGCCAACAACTTGTCCCAGCAGCAGTTTCAGATGTCCCTCGATTGTAAGCATCATATTGTCCTTACACGATGCGGCTTCAACACAGCTAATCATTGGGTCAGTCAATGAGAATTTCCCGCACAACATCCCACAACCTCGGAACATTAAATCAATGCCACATTGCCAAAAAGCCCGGCACTGGGCCCGTTCTACAGGAGGGTTTATGCCAGACCTATATCGAACCGGCTTCAAGCCACGGCTCTGGCTTCAGGTCCCTGTGCACATGCCCATAGCGGTGGACTTCGGAGACTGCCTCAACCAATTCGGCCATGTAGAAGGCCGTCTCCTCTAGTGACAGTCTGCCTCGCCTGCGGGGCTGGCATGCGCTGCAAGGAGGATGCAGCAAACTGACTCGCCAACTCCTGCAGCCTCGGAAGAAGCCACCTTCAGGAGGTATTTCTGGATGCCCTTGCCTTGAGATATGCGTTGATAAGCTGCCTCCTTGCAGGAACTCCATGGCCATGAACAAATTTCTGGAATCCTGGCAGGAGAGCTGATGCAGCAACTGCTGATCCGTAACGAGTTCCAAGGGGCCTAGTAGCTTCCTTAGTTTTGGGATTATAAGGGGATTATATTACACCAAAAAGGTTCAAGGTTACCGACTCTACTACTAGGCTTCGGTGTGTGATAGTAGAGTAGACTTGCCGAAGATTAATGGGCCGACAAGGCCGTGATGCCTACAGCGTTTCCGCAATGTTCAATACTGGTAGCAGACATGTGTGCAGTGCATCACATGCTTGAAACCCGGTCACCGTATCAAAAACAATTCGTCGGTCTTTGGGCAAGTGTTGCAAGAAAGAATGTCAAAGCAACACTCATCGGGGGAGGAGGTGTGAATGCCCGTCGCGTTGCACACATGTGCTCACCTGGCCTGGAAAGCGCAAAGAAGCCTGGTGCACCACGCAGCGCTCATCTCTGCAAGCGCGTCTCGCTCGTTGAAAGCCAACGCATTATTCTTCTTGTAGTGCTCCTTGCCTGGGCGAGCCCGTGTGCTGAAGGACCCTGTCGCCTTCTGACCTGATAAGAAAAGCATGGATCCGGGCTCATGCGCTTGAGTGCATAAATCTGGTCGTTGAGGCGGCACCTGACGTGACGAGGAATGCTAGTGAGGCAGCATGAGGCAGAAAAGAAGGACACAGGAGAACAATAGGAGAGCCATGGCGAGCCTCACCAAGTGCACCGTGCCAAAGCCGCCCTTCAGGCAGCCCAAGATGTCGAAACAGCGGCTGTGCAACATGCTACAACCTTTCCGGGTTCTTAGTAGAGAATGAGGGGATGAGGGCATTCTATATGCCCTGTAAGGGGTTAGATAGGGCTCATTCCCTCATAATCTACTACCACCAGGACTACTCATTGTGTGGGCTTCGTGAGAGTGAGAGGGCTCCGTGAGATGGGTGAGCCTGGCCGAGTATGGTCAGCGACTCGAAGTCGGCAGTTGACCATCTAAGTCAGGCGCCAGCGTTTAAGGGGGAAAAAGCCAACGGCCGAGGGAAAGAAGCATCATCAGCCTAGCCCAGGAGTTTATATAAGGTCTAAGGTCGATGCACGCGCTCGCTTCAAAACGATCGTGCCGTGGAAGAACAAAGGTTTTGCTGTACATGGAGCTTATGCAATGGCATCTGAGTTCTGACTTCTGGGGCCAAGGCATGCGGAGATCTGCTCTGATGAGCTGGTCTTCGGCATCCAGGTGCCTGAACTTTCAGAATGCATCGGCAGTGCCAGACCCGGGTCACTGCAAACACATGCGCTTGGGGATTTGGTTTGTGATGCAGCAAACCAGGATGGGCTGTCAGGCCTTATAACCCCAACAATCAACCCTATAATCCCTATAAAGGGCGTTTTTAAGGGTTTATACAGCCTGTAAAGGGCCTTTTAAGGGGTTATAGAGTTATAGGGTATAATAGCCCATCCTGGAACCACCTTCATGATCTTGCAGACAAAGCGGCTCGTGCATCATTCGGCGTAACTCGTCCGGCTCGGCATCCCTGGGTTTAGAGTTTAGGCTGCTTTGGGCTCCAGAGCTGCTAGCCGCTACTGTTGCTACTGTAACCCGCACAGAGGTTTCGAAGCACCCGCCTGGCTGCGTTCTGAAAGCTCTTGCGCATAGCATTGAGGGTCCTAACCAGCAATCGCATGATTCCTCCACTCTTCTCAAACTCAACGCCATTAGCCTCACTACTCGTATACCAGCCCCCCAGTGCCTGTCCACTCTCTCTTTGTGCTCCTTCCTTTCTTTGTTTGCTTCCTTCGAGCGGGCAAAGAACTTGGCCACCTTCAGGGCCCATCTGCGAGGGTTTTCCGTATGCCAATCTGACTGTTGGTTAGCAGGGAATGAGGGAGTTAGGGCCTTCTAGATACTTACCCTATAAGGGATTATATAGGGTACCTCATTCCCCCATTCCCTACTAACCAACAGTAAGCCATGCTTTTGCACAGCTGAAGCATGCCAAGCGAGGCACGGGCCTGCTTGTCCATGCGCTCATTCGCTGCCCTCTCCTCAGCTTCCTGCGGCCGCAGTTCCATTGCGCTCCCAGTTGTGGACCAAACATGGACCCCTTAGACTTGCCGAGGAGTCCTTGTCGTAGCCTCCACCATACCTCTTGCGGTCACTCGCTTGTGAAGCAGGCATCATGTTGTGATCGTGTTGGGTCGAAATGGGTCGGGCAAAACCCTACGACGGATGTATGAGATACAAGTACAGGTGGAATCGGGAATGCACGGCGAGCATCCGGGAGCAAGACTAGCGGAGAGAAAGAGAGACAGAGAGAGAGAGAGAGAGAGAGATAGCGAGAGATCTGCATCCAAAGTACCCACTCTTCTTGCCCTCGGCTCTGCTACTCCTTTGGGTCGCATGAGGTTGCATGCATATGGAGAAGGCAGCCGGTGCAACGAACGCACCAGTTCCTCCTCACTCAGGACATCCGTTTTCCCCTTTCAACTACCAAGCTGACCTGCGAGGAACACATCCGCAGTCCTGGAAGGTGTTGACGGCATGGCGCACGTGCTAGCGCTGCAGTTGAGAAAGCAAAAACGCTGCCAGCAGAAGCACTGATCAGGCTAATTCTTGCAAACCAGACCAGCACGACGTCCAGAAAAATGCAAACCCATCACCACACTCATCACCAACCACGAGCTTGAAGAAGCATGGGTGCGATTAGGCTGGCTTCTTGTAAAACTCATTTGTTTACGCTGCATGGACCGACCAACGCAGCCTCAGACACCAGGGCTTCCATTGCATCTTGGCATTCCTAGGACAGTCGGTCTGATTTTTTTCGGTTAAAGGTGAACACAGCAACTTTTTTGTGCAGCATGTCAACCCACACCACGCATGCAATAATGACAATACAAAGAAGAAAAGTAACAAAAATAGTCTGCGGCGAGCGGCTCTCTTCTGCTTCTTGAGGCTGGCCTGCCAAGCAGCAAGCAGGCTGCCAATGATGTCCACAACCTCCTGGCGATTCACTTCAGGGTTTAGGGTTTAGTCGCTCACTCTCGCACAAAGGCCGGCAAGGTCCATGGGTCCATTCATCCAACTATACTACTACTACACGCGAAGAACTGCACCCCCGGTGGTCGATCAGGTCCAAGAAAAAGCACACGCCAGGTATTAGTATACATCGACAGACCGCTCCGACCACCTCGATACGCCTTCTCTGTGAAACCACTTATGTAAGGGACGTCCGCAATGACTCGTATGGAGGTCGACAAGAACAAACCACGAGATACTAAGACCCACCCCCAAACCAATAAACAGGTGGTCCCCGGTTGTCCCTCACATCTCCTCGAAAGAACTAAGGTGTGCTATGTACAACTCACCGTCTCTTGTTATTCAACAAAACCCAACAGAGGTAAGACCTATCCCCCGACCAGGAAATACAAGGGACGGGAGATAAGTGTCACTCTACTTCATGGGTTGTCATTCAAGGCTTAGAAGCTTGTTCTCGGCTTTGCGAGGTTATAGACGAAGTGAAACTGCCCTCTAACTCATATCTGCACCTTCCTTTCATCTCTCTCATTCGGCTGCTCTCTCCATTCTCAAACCTCAAGGAGCTCCCCCCTGTTGTTGCATCTCGTGTCCATCTCATGCAGGCCTCCAAAGGCTGTCTTGTCACGCATTCAGGCGAATTCCACGCAGCAGGCCGTGACAGTCATGCAGAATCGAATCATCCTCTCTTCCAGTCATGCACATGCACCGCTTGCAGATTTGAATTCTCACTTCTCCTTCAATGCATTCTCCCTCTTGCCCATCTCACCAGTGACCACGTCTGCATCTCAGCACACCATGCAAAAGGAAACATGCAGGACTGATGCCACCGCGCAGTCCTCCCACCGAGGGCCACCAGACATCCCTCTTCGTCACGCAGATAAATTCCATGCATCCCGTTCGCCAGGGATCACGCCAAATTCTTCACATCCAGCCCCAGGGTCCAGGGTGAATTCAGTGTGTTGCTGGCTGCTTGCAGTGATCTCCAGTTCTTTCTAGAGGTCGCTGTGGCCCCCCCTGTAGGCCGTAGCTCCACTCGCATCTTCCAGGGGGTCTTGTGTTGCGTCGAGGGCTTTCCACCATGGCAGTTTTACTAGAGTACACCCCATACATGTTGGTGGATTAGCATGAGAGTGACTGACGTGATCGAAGTGTTTTAACTAGGTTTCAGTTAGGGGGGGGGGGGGGGCACGCACGCACTCACGCACACACGAGAGGAGCAAGAGGAGTTCAGCGGGGAGGAGTCGGAAGAAACACAACCACAAAGGTTCTTCCACCTTCATCGCCACTGTCATCATCATCCGACATCCATCCAACAGCCCTTCCCCCTCCCTGTCCCCCTGGTTGCTCATGCCGCTTGTTGACAAACCCCATTTCGCGATCATTTAGGAACTTCCTCCATTCCTGTTGGGCCCAGATCTGGCGTTGTCCTGCATGCAGCATCTCTTTTGCTATACGACCTGCATCTTCCCAGCTGGTTAGGGGGGGGGCAAAGCATTGGGTGCGTAGTTGTTGGTACATGGAGAGCTGCCGGAACATCATTCCAGTGCTGGGGGGCACGCGGAGCGTGTGACGGTATATATATATATATATATATATATATATATGCCTCTGTCGTGCTGTTCCTATGGTGAAAAAGTTTAGGGGTTTAGGGTTTAGGGTTGCAAAAACAGGCTCATCAAAATAGAAGGAAGCACGCGGAGTACTCTGCTGGCAAAATTGCTGACCGAACCCGCCTGTGGGCCGTGAAGTGCCGGCAAGCAGGCCTGGATGGCCTACAGACTGGGTGCATGGCAACAGGAAAGCACCACCGATGTAAGGTAGCCCAGTATTATTATTGTTATTATGATGATTATTAGGACTACTATTTTTTATGATTATTAATGGGATTACTATTGTTATTATAAACAATAATGGATACCATTTTTCTAAAGATCGCACCTCGGAGAAGTGGCCTTTCGAGGTGCAGGTCTGAACTTGGCTCAGCGCGCGGTGCAAGCGGGCGGCGTCGGTCGGTGACGGGGAGCTTTGGCGCGGTCCTGCGAGGGTTTAGGGTTTAGGGCCAGTTTAGGGTTTAGGGTTTAGGGAGAACCCTAGACCGCAGTCTGAGCAGCAGTCACATCTTCTGTCAGCTCTTTGGACCGAATCCACGGTTTGGGGCTACTTAGGGCTCAGGGTTTTATAGCCCACCACATGCTGCCACGACTTGGCTCCTCCGCGCTCCCGCCCGCGACTGCGGCGCGGCTCGGAGGGCTCGCCCTCGGGCTCCGCAGAGGGCGCCCCCGATCCGGAGCTCCGGAGCGTTGAAAGGGAGGCGCTGGCCTCCCGTACCGCGCACAATCACTCACGCCCCTCTGACACCACGAAGACGTTTGCATTGTTACAGCGATCATGAGAAAAATCTGCGGATGAAGCGGCAACAGTCGGCCGGACCTACAGTCGTGCCACCTGCTCTACCTGCTCTTTGATGATACAACTCGGATGCCGTTTTTCGTAGCTTATGCACTGGGCTACAGAAACATTGATATGAATTCTGTTCGGGGCCTCGTCCTGAATGGCGGGTGCTGACAAACGTGCAGAGGCCGATGCCGATGACTCCTGCAAGGGTTGGTGGGCCTCTCTGAGTTCTATTCAGCTTCCAATACGGGAGTTTACGAAAACAAGGGACCCCTAAAATAGACCACAAAATAGTAGCATTCCGTCGTAATCAAGACCATCATAAGGAACCCCTGATGATGGAACCCCCGTATCTGCAATTGGCCAAGTGTTCCTTCCCTTCTTCATCTTCAAGTCTTCAAGGCGTGCGCAAGATGTTGAACGGATAAGAGAATCCGCTAGACGCAGCAGGCTTTTTCAACATGTGCTTCCGAAGCCCATGCAACCTCCCCGAATCTTAATTTAAGACGCTTAGGACGAAAGCCGCAGGACATCCCACGACGAGAAGTTGGACGCCTTTCCCTTGCAGACAAGTCCAGACCACGCCCCAAGGAAGTGGGTCCTCTTTCTTGGAATCTTCAGACTCGGCCTCTGACTCACCTAGACTGAACTTATAACTTTTTGCTGTTTCTTAGGAATTATAATACCCCTTTTACCCTAAACCCTAACCCTAAACCCTATAAATAAAACATTTCCAAGTATCCCTAAGTCACTGGAAGCCCATGGGTCAGGCGGTTGTGTCCGGGGCGCCAGCATCTGGCACAAGTCCTCGGCACATGTGACTATTTATGTTTGTATTGATATTGACACATGTATTTATATGGTTTATATTTTATTTATGAGTTTTTATGTGCGTCTATGTTGTATAGTTTTTTGACATTAAGCTTCGACAGCTTTGCTTGCACGACCCGTGACCACCAGAAAGGTGCCATGCCTGCAAATCCGGAAGTGCTTGCAAAAATGAAGCAACTACAGTAGCAACAGTTGAGCTGCCGCTTCCACATGTGGTGTACGAGCCCGCAGGTTCTGCGAAAGCCCGGCACGAAAACTTGTTGCATCCCTCCAGGGCAGTCATGTGGTGGTTTCCGAAATTAGGGTACCTAATTGGGGTACTTACTATAAGGCAATCCTACTATGTTTAGGGCCCCCCATTTTCGTGAACCACCCATGTCTTAGTTCAGCCGCAGCGGGCCAAAAGAGTAGCAAGTTGTGCGTGGCGAGTGGCGCGGCTGGACTGAGCCGCTTCATCTCTCGGCGCCGACGTTGTGATCTCCTGCGCAGGGCTTGGTGGTTATCATAGTGTATTCATAAAGGGATCATAAGGGAATACTCTTAGTAACTATTCCGACCCCTATATAGCGTGCATCCTTTCCAGTCTTCGGACTAGACTCCTATGAAATACCTTCGTTTAGCCCGATAAGCGCGCATCCCAGAGTCTCTCCATTCCTCCGCTTCCAAGATCTCTGTGGCAATGGCGTGCACCGCGGCTTCAGTCGCTGCACTGAGGGAATGACTGGACTCCCTGCGCTGCAGCCGGTCTTCGTTGAAGAGGAAGGCCGATGCGCCTTTCTGGAATGGCAATGGGGTATCGTCAACCTACATGACCTTAGAGCACTGCTCCCCAAAAGTGGCCAACCTTGCCTCTGGCACTTCCTTTCGTGCTGGCAGGGGCATGGGCCGAGTGTCGCCGGACCGTCTCTTCTTTGCGTTGGCTCTTGCTCCTTGCGGACAAGAGCTGGTCGGGAGCGATGAGAAGCCAAACAAGATCGAGCAACGATTGGCAAAACGGCGTTCACGTGTTCCGGGATAAATATGTGATTGGGAGATCGTGTTGGTTAAGTTGGTTCTATGTAGTGAACAACGAGCATCGAATGAACATTAGATCTTTTTCTGCTATTTACAGGTCTATCAAGCATTCAGGGTTCCCATGACTCGGCAAGGACTTCGACTCTCGACCCTAATTCCCGGTCGCAGGGGCTACTGAGGCTCGCCAACCTAAACATATAATATACAGTTGAAGAGCACAACACAAACAGACAATCAGTCAGGGTCTTGAGACAACAATCCTCCATCCAACCACCGATGCACTACGACAGTCTTCCTCCAACCTCCATCAAACCACCGACGCACTACGACAGCCTCTCTCTACTCTTCCCTACTGAAAATGCCAGAAGGGCCAAAAAACAGATTGCAGAACAGCCAAATCGGCAAGGGGTCTACATCTTCAGGGCTGTGGGGTCATGCATTCTGGGGAGGGTTCTTTTGAGCCGCTTCCAGTGCGGATTGATCTACTTGCCAGCTCCAAAGCTCACGACAAGCACATTTTGCATTTTGCGTCCTAGGGACTTCAGATATTCTTTATCAGGGCATGGGGTTCACTGACCAAAAGGATGCGCACGCAAATGCCACACTGGCCTCTTTGCCTATAGTAACATAATTGGAACAGATGCAGCAATGCAGTTATGCTGGGACCAACAAGCCAGCGAAAGCAAGCTGTGACTGCTACATCTCAGGTCCGTGGGGAGCGCGAAGCTGCTGGGCGCAGCCCAGCCGGCAAGGTTTTGCGCAGTACGGTGACGGCACCAGTTGCCATCCCATCCACAGCCGCCTCTGAGGTGCACATGACGCTGCCAGCAAGTTGTGCGTGACGAGGCCGGACTGTTTGCTGCTGCTGCAAGCTACTCTAGCTTTCAAGCCCACCCCGAGGCAACCCTTACCTGTTTGAAAGCATCCAGCCTGCAGGAACTGCTGTGCTACGGTCGTCTGCTCCTTCGCAAAAAGAAAACAGAGATGCCAAAATGCGTCAGTTTGTTGTCTGCGATATTGAGAACTCGTCTGACTCAAGTCATCAATACCAAAAATTGGGAACCTCTGCCGTGTTATGGAATGCATCCCCTGACAAGGCGTAGCTCCTTCTGATTGGCACCAGACTCGACAAAATCTCGGCTGCGGCTGGACCCGCGGGTGCCCACGGCACGGGGTGGAGTGGCAGAGCGTGGCATGGCCCATTCTGCCAACTCGGACTAAGCTTCTTTCGAAAATAGATCCATGAGCAGCAGAAACTGTAGTATCCGTGGTGCAATGGGTGCTGTGTGCTTCTATGCTCGACGCTGGACTCAGTGCGTGTAGCTACGTAGAGGTATGTAGTCGAGAATGCGGCATGCTGTGGGGCTCGCATGAGCCAGTAGCGACGTGAGGTGGGTGAACTCACCCTCTGTGGTCTAGCAGTCTAGCGCCGCCTGCCCAAGTCGCATGCAACTTGGGGCACGCTACCTCTACCTTGACAGAAGTGATGGGGAGGTGCCCGGCGCCACATGTGTCAACAAGTCCTCGCGATGGAAAGCCGCCGCAAACGGCCCGATCAGTGCCAGTGATGATTCCCAGGAGGCCTGCAACAGACTGTTAATGGTACTATTACTATGACTAATAAAATTCTTATTATTATTTCTCTTACTAAAACTATTCATACTCATATTTTATAAGTAAATTCCACAAAGCTTGGACCATCTTCACAGGCTTCAAGCAGCTCAGTTGGACGATGAGCCACAGTTGTTTCTTTGCACTCGACAATGTCCATGTGCCATCACGCGGTGAAACATGAGATCTTACTATGCGTTTGCCGACCTCTTCTTGTTGGGCTTCGAAATCCTCCTAGACTTCTTCAGGGCTTGCTGAGCCCCACGGTGTTCGGCCACTTGGTCAGTGAAACCGACCTCCGACAGCAGGAGCTCCGCGCGTTGATACGCCTTTGTTGTCCGAGAGAGCAGCTTAATCGCCTCTTCCTCCTTGGTTGGCAACAGCTCCAGCTGCTTACCGATTCTCTCCTTAGTTGTCCAGTAACCTGGGGGAATTAAAGGATAACCTGTGGGATTCTATTGGGATGAGACTACCCAAAAAAGGCTAAAGGTTACCTACTCTACTACTAAGTCTCTTCGATGGCCTGCACACGGGGCACATCCAGCTCTGACATGAGCGACACGACCTTGCCAGGTCGCCCGGCACGGGCGGTGCGCCCGGCGCGATGTACGTAGGAGGCTGCATCGAAGGGCAGCCCCACATTTATCACCTTAGTTGCTGAGTTCATAAGCCCCCAAAACAAGGTGTACACTTTCAGTTCTAGAGGGGATTATAGTATCCCACAAAGTGTAAAGTGTGCTCAGCCACGAAGTCACAACTCCCACCATGGGGATGTCGAGCCCTCGGCTGGCGACATCCGTTGCCAGTAGAATGTCGGCGCGGCTTGCTCGGAACTTTCCGAGGCTTGCCAGCCGCTGCCTTTGCGACTGCAGGGAATGCAGGCCGGTCACCGCAAAGCCCAAAATGTCCAGCATGGTCGTGAAAAGCTGACATTCCTCAATCGTCTGCGCGAAAATTATACAGCTCTCGTCGGAGAAATGTGCTTTCAACAGGTAGTGCAGATAGTTGACCTGTACCGACTTCGGGACGAAGACATAGAGTTGTGTCAAGTTCTGCAGGCTCTCCTCCCTTGGGTTTGCATCGACAAGCATCAAATCCTTTCCCTTCCGCAGCTTCTCGATGCACTCCGTAATCGTAGCGGAGAAAAACAAGGTTTGCCGCGACTCCGGAAGCACTTCCAAAATCCGGCTCAAGGGGTCCTCGAAGGTTTCTGTCAGCAGCTGGTCCTTGGGAATTTCGGCTGAACATGCATGTCATGCTGATCCCAGATAGATGTAGGTCGCACGGTTAACTGAGCAAGACGTCAAGCCACGTGCTACGCTAGTGCAGATGCCTACACTGAAAAGCGCTTTGCAGGAACTCCAAGCATCGGCTTCGTCCAGCACGAAGGTGCGTATCTTGCGAAAAGCTCTGGCTAATGCGAAGTCTCCCCGTAGCAGGTCGGCAAGCCGACCCGGTGTGGCCACCAAGACATGCGTCCGGTCAGCGATCAGCCTGCTCTGAATGGAGAAGTCGCGTCCGCCGACGATCTCCCCAACACTGACGTTAATGGCCTGGCCCATGGCACGGAAGTTATCGGCAACCTGAAAAGCAAGCTCTCGCACGGGAACCAAGATCAGAGCGAACACTCCATAGGGATCCTTGGAGAGAGAGTGGAGGATGGGGAGGCTGTAGCAGGCAGTCTTGCCGCTGCCAGTGCGAGCATTCCCTGCAATATTCTTTCCCGACAGTACCGGGGGGATGGCCATGGCTTGAATATCGGTCGGGTAGTTCATGCCTAACTTCCCGCATGTGTCAACGATCCACTTCGCCAAGCCCAGCTTAGCAAAGGAGGTGTTTGTCTGGAAAAGCTTCTGCTCAGGCTCCGCCGGCTCAGGCCCATCTGGCGCCTCAGCTTCGGCTTTCACAGCCTTCCGCCGGGCCCCTTGCTTTCTCTTTGGTCTGGTGGGACCAGGTGGGTCCTGTCCTTGCGGCCTGGGGTTCTCAGGCTCCACTGGCCGGCTCACTTTCCGGGCAGTCCGGCGCTTCTTCAGCTTGGATGCCAGGGCCATGTCAAATACATTTGAAAGTGGGGCGCTGGCTGTCCGACTTCTGCATATGGGGGGGGGGGGGAACAATGAATATCTGTTTCTGCTGCAGGACTTCTGCTTGCTGCCAAGAACTGACACTTTGGCCCCTGCATGTCCGATGTGCTTCTAGGACTCGAGGGCACGGGTGCCATTCTACAGAACTGATGCTGCAGATGATTACTATCCGAGGAGCCTCATCCACTTAAGTAATCTGATAGCCTTGTGGCCTCATGCCTTGATGCGGCGTTCACTTCACCAGCCGGGTCACTCTCCGCTTCGTCCTTTTCAAACTCAACCTTCCGCAGGCTGCCAAGCACAGTCGAAGGCTGCAAAACAGACTTTGGCCCGTTACCGGGCCAACGAACCGAGGAAAAACAAGCATCAAATTCCACCCGTCTGCACTTCGCATCGAACTTCGCGTGTGCGGCCGGGTGGTTGGAATTCAAAGCTGTGCCGTGCATACCTTATCTTACCTCCTCAGAGGAGATGCGGAACTACAAGTGGATAGTATTGGTACGTAAATTCACCATGCTGGGGTTGAAACATCAAGGGCATCTGCTGCGAAATTGTGCCACAATTTACCGCCAAGCCGTCGGCGTGCACGCAGCTTACACAGCTTCGGAGCCCGCCCTAAGCAAGCCACCCAGCTGAGGCCTGAGTTTCAAAGGGGCCAGCAAAAAGTCAGAAGAACAAGCAGCAGAGAGTCCATACGTCAGGGATTGTCAGGGTCAACGTTCACAGTGAAGTTTCAGCGCCAGGCAGCTGTGCAGGGCCCCGCGTCCCCGCTGCAGCAAATGCAGGCAGAACGAAGCAAACTGGACTGAGGGGAATGGACCATGGTGATCGCCAGGCGTACACCAAGAAATTTGGCAGAAAGCGTCTTGTGCAGCTTGGCTGCCGGCTGACTCTGAGGCCTGCTCTGAAACCGCATGCATCACGTGAGCGCTCACATGATGCTCGCGGTTATGGTATTGGCCCCTTGCCTTCTTTGTCAAAGAGGCTCATCGGAACACGCCGTTCCTCCAAAAACAACTCCCCCTCTGCTTCCCAAAGAGTATGCTGCTGTTGCACTCTCGTCTGCAATCCGCAAACGTGCTCCGACAAGCAATGCAGGTTGTTTGGAAGTCAAGATCCGAACTGAACTGCATGGAGGTCGTTTGTAATTACTGGTGCAAGGGGCGTTGAAGCGCCGACTTGCACGTCGAAAACAAGAGAGGCTGTCGAAATAACCCAATACATCCTGGCTTCGATCTCGGGACATCGGGCCAACAGTGAAATGGAAAATGAACAGCCCTAAGCTACGCGGGGTTCGCACGAGCTTGCTTTTCAGATTCTGAAAAGCAGCAGTGAGAGGAAGACGAGAGCAGGTCAGTATGACGTTGGCAACACGACCTGCAAACAGGGGACAGTCATGGCGATCTTGGTGGCTGGTGGCACTTGACACTCCTCAACTGAACTCTCGGCTAAGCTGGCCCTCACAACAAATTGCTCTTTTGGGTGAAGATGGGCACCCCTAATAGCAACAGATCCAAACCCAAAAAAACACAAACGCGACTTGACTCCTGCCTCAACCCCCGCCTGCTGGGTGAACATGGGCAACCCCTAAACCCTAAACCCTAAACATCCCTAAACCCTAAACCCTAAACCCTAAAACCCTAAACCCTAAACCCTAAACCCTAAACCTAACCCCCCGCCTGCTGGGTGAACATGGGCAACTTCTGGTGACACAGATACAGCAGGTTCGGTGGAGCCGGTCTCTTCCGCAAGGAGTTGAAGAAGAGCAGCGCTTCCTCGACGTTGCTGCAGCCCAAGAGCTCAGCTCGGTACCTGGGCAGGGTTTAGGGTTTGGGGTTTGGGTTTTTTTTTTGCCACCCGCCTAGCTGACACTCAGGCCACATTGCAGGGCCTAGTTCCGGTTTGGGGTTTAGGGTTTAGGGTTTTTTTCCACCTGTGTCGCAAGCGTTTACGGGGGCTTGGGGTTTGGGGTTTAGGGTTTGGAGTTCAGGGTTCAGGGTTCAGAAGCCCCTGGAAGGGCTGTTTTCTCCACCCGCCTAGCTATCCTTCTCAGGCCACTCCGCGGAGGGACTATTCGAGGCTGGCAGGGAACCTCACACCGAGACCAAAGGTTTCAGGGTTGAGTTTAAGGTTTTAGGGTTGGGATATCCGAGCAGTCCTTAATGGGCATCACAATAGGGGGTACTATAATCCCTATTCAGGACTGTTTGTATTAAGGGGGAACATCCCAAGTTTAGGATGAGCACAACTTGTAACACAACCACCAAAGGCTACCCAACAAGCTCAACAAATGCCCAGGCCAACACACTCCGATAGTCTTCCAAGCTGTATCAAGCGCAGCTTTCAATGCTTCCAGTCCAGGAGCGGCGATCGTTTTCATTTGTTGGCTTCTTATGTCCGATCTCAGCTTACGGCCTTATGGCCCTATGGGTTCTGTGGCGAGGGTTCGGGATATTGGATGTTTACAATCAGTTCAATCCTCCCTCACACCTCTGGCAGGTGTCTTTGCCAGGTGACGACATGAGGACAACGACAGTCAACGTCCTCGACTGCGGACAGCTTCTACGTCATGCGTGCTCAAACCCTTCTCTCCCCCTACTCCACCCTAAACCCATTTTGCATCCGGGCTTGGGACGTCGGCTGGGAACGTCACATGGAACATGTCACCTACACCAGCAGCACATATGACCCCTAAACTCCCTAAACCCTAAACGCGTTTGAGCCCGGGGAACTGAGAACCCTTTTGCAGCAGGCTTCGAAGGGAACGCCCGGACATGTTCAGGCATTTCGGTTCTCACACAGCAGGAAATCGTATTAAGATAAGATAAACATACTAACCATAGACAATATAACAATAGAAATAATAATAATATAATCATATAACCATAATCACAGTAATAAGAAGAAGAACAACAATAGCGGACTTCCATTGCGACTTGGAGTCAGGAACCCTGGAAGGCCAGCCGATGCGAGGAAGGGCACGGCCTCCAGGAGCTGGTCAAAGGGCAGCCACTTCCCGAACCTCGCGAGAAAGGCTCTCAAAAACATTCCGGGTGCCGTCTCTCTGCTTCTTTTTGTTTTTGAATACCTATTGAGATACAGTAAGTGGGACATACATATGTATATATATATATATATACATATGTGTCTAAAACACATACAATGAAAAGCGTACCTATTGAATTTTTCCTACATGTTTTAGAGCACCACTGGTGCCCGTGTTCCCATGCCTTTTTACAGGGGACTTGCTGCGACCTGTGCTTGACACACGTATCAGTCGGCGGAAGAGCCCAGGGCTTCTTGTCTTAGGAATCTCACAACCCAACAGAAGCACGCATGACCCAAGTGGGCGATATGCATATATTTCAAATTACATTTACATTTATACTTATTTATATGTATGTTCATATTTGTTTTTGCATTCGTATTTATATTCATATATATATATATATGTGTGTATGTATGTATGTCCCACTTGCTGTGATGTGATGACCCTAAAAAGGAATAACAACCACCGGACACCACGGATGTCTGAGCCAAGCAAACTCAAGAACAGCCGAGGAACATAGACAGCCAGGCAGTGGGAAGGACTGCCGTGAGATTCAATCCTGTCGGGATGTATTCTCAGAAAGTCCCCTCAACCAGAATCCTGTCTATGAGGAGGTCGAATCTAGAATCCTCAACCGGCCCCATCGTAGATCGACTTGGTTCTATGCCTCTCCCCCTCCCCTGCCTACACCTTCCAAAAGGTGGTGGCTCAGCTCCAGGTCCCACTGGCCCAGCTGCTCTTTCAACAGTGGCATGCCCTCCCGCAACATCGGAAAACCTGGCGACCATAGCGTCCTTGCGTTGGCTTCTGGAGCAGAGAACGGCAAATAAAAGAGCAACGTGACATCAGCGACAAAGAGCCGACTGCCGAGTTGCTGAAGATCTGACATGAAACTCGCAAAACGATGGCCAGCATCATGCCGGCCTGACGCATGGGAGGCATAGTCTTAGTCTCCACTGCAAGTGCCCCTCCGCCCGTCCCTGCCCGTCGCAGGCAACAATCGCCATAAGCCTACAATTAAACCTTAAGCATCCAAAATCCAAACATCGGTTGCGAAAGCAGGCGGTAGTGGTGCAAGCACTGCTGAAACCGTCACTGAAACCCTGCCTCCGGATGCGCAAGCGACTGCGGCGAGGAAGCACATGCCTTGTGTGTAGCCCATCTGAGGGTTCTCGCTGGCATAGCCTTTCGCAGCTTCAGCTTTGGCTGAGAGCGGTGGACCCTTCAAGATTCAACCCAGCGACCCCAAACAGTGTAAGAATGTGTACCAGCAACAAGAACTCCGAAACTCCGAAAGCACTCCACTAGCTCCAAACAAGCCCGAAAAATCCGAAGTGACGACGGCTCTGCGATGTTCTGCACGCTGGAAGCACGCGCAGGATGCACTGGGACCAGCACGCAAAGACCCACGATGACAACTCTGCACTTCACAAGCAGTGACTTTCTCTATGCGAAAAAAGAGGGAATGACGAAGTCCAAACCTAGGTCATATAAGTGTCATATAGATATTATTAGGTCATGGTGCACGATTTCGAGAGGCATGTGCCAGACTGCGCGCATTCGATTTAGAAGCGCCAGCCATCTAACCCCATTCACTCCCAATTCAAGAACCCCATACGGCAGTGCGAGCACATTACTCTGAGGTACCAGATTCTATGCCGAGCATTCATTCTGCATTCGCAGGCTGCAGTATAATTGCAAGGCATGGATGTTAGTAGTGCTGTGGCTGCCCAAGGAAGAATTCTCAGGCTGAGGCCCCTCAGAACAGTGGCCATTTCCAAGCGGTGTTGGTCAACACGCTCGTTGCCTGCTGCAAGGGAGGTTGCAAACATCACATCATGAATCATGAACTGTGAACCACGAATTCCGCAGGGCAGCATGAATGTTTAATCTACGCTCACGGTAAGCAGGTGCTTCCACTCTGGGTGTGGGCTGCCATGCCTGTGAAGACACGTGCGACGTCTCGGGCGATGACTTTCGCATTGTCTCTGAACTGTTTTTCGCCTTCTTGAGCCTAAGAAAGTCAAGCAGCCCCACCTCTCTCACAGAGCTACAGCGAGCTACAACACATGGTCCAAGTGTCACAAGAGCCATCAATGTACTCGAGTGCCGAGGAGGGGCTGCATTTGCAGAATGCTCCGGTGTCTTGACGTGATGAAAGGACGGAGATGCAGAAGCTGAGCGGCATCGCGGGTGTCCTGCAGAGTTGGACTCAATTCTCCCGCCACAAGCCTGAAGCCGCTACCAGTACATTCAGGGACTCCTGAATCTATCGCGAGGTCTGCAGAGATCGGCGTCGAACAAAACATGTCCGCCTTAGAAATAGATGGAGTTTTTTTTGTTAAGCGTTAAAAAGCCCCATTTAGGGTATTTCAGGCTTTTTTCAAGGTTAACAAAAAATCTCGAGTTGCTTCGTCTTGTTCCTTCCTTGTGCCTGATGACCTTAAGCTGGGTGGCGTCATCGAGGCACCAGGATCTGCCCTCCTCCAAACGGTGCAAACCCAGGTGCCGTGCCTTGCCGTGATGAAGGAAGGTCTTCTCAAGCACTGCCCCAAAAAGTGCCCCAACAAAAAATGTACCTCTCAATGTGCCATGGTGCCAAATCTAAGCCAGACTTGTGCTCGGCATCCATGGATGCTCGCAGAGATCTGCGTCCTTGAGCGGCTGAGACATATACTGAAACCTCTAACAATGTGCCCGTCATGTGCGCTCAGCTGTGCGGAGAGCTGGGGAGCCTGGATGGCCTCACCGATGGGGGGAGCCGAGTCACCGAGTCGCATCCCTTCGCGTAGAAATGCCAGTCTGCGAGGACTGTACGGATCATCTGGATGCTCATCTAGGACCACGGGCCTGAGCAATATAGCAATAACCTGCTACAATAACCTGAAAATATAATGTAGTAGAACATGGTATAATATAATATAGTATAATAGTAATATTAGAATATATGTAGGATCTCTTTGCAGCTTGTGCACTCCAGCTCGAACAGCCACTGCTGCCAGGGTGCGCCTCATCTACATCTTCTGGCGCCATGGTGCTGAGGCTGCTTGAGCATGCCAGTGAATTTGCCGAAGCATGGGCACATGTACCTTCGCACAAGATTTTGTTGGGGGGGAAGGCAGCGGAAAGCCTGGAGTGCCTCTGTCAAGCAGGTTAAGTCATTCTTGAAGAGCCTTACCGACTACGTCAGCCGCAGTTTTTCCATCAAGCAGCCATTAGAACAGCTGGTGCTCAGCTGAGGTTTTCGAAGACCATAGCCATGGATACCTTCTGCACTCTCCACTGGGGTGAGGGCAGTGCTAAGCCACTGCATGTCTCCCCTCGTTTGAGACGGCACAGCTGCAGGCACGCCAGGCGCGCGCAACGACAAGAACTAGTCTCGCCGAATGTCTGAAAGCGTCTCCCCACCCTAATCCGTGGTTAGCTTGCACATTGTGGGCTCTACTGACTCTGACTTTACTGCTTGCTTATGCTTGCACAGGGATGACAAGGCAAATTGCGTGATTCTGACAACGATCGCACTCCAAATCTCACGGAGAGCAGCATCAAATTTATTCCCCAGCTCTCTAGGTACTCTAGTTCAGGAATTATAAACATAGACCGATGGGGCTGACTCTTCTTTATCGGCATCATTCTTGTACTCTCCCCCCTGCCCGTTGCCCCCCGTCCCCACGATGCCTGTCATCGGAAGCCGCATGGCTCGACTTCATTGCTAGCTCAACCATTGTGACATAAGGATCGGTTCGTGCCATAGCTTGCCACGGACTCGGTCTATGGTGCCCTCATCAGCAGGTATTCGCCATGCAAAGTCAAAGAATGTGCAGAAACGCTACACCCTGATGTTCATGAACGTTGGTCTGCCGCGGTGAGGTTTGAGTGCACACCCGGCTCCAAAAATCTTGTCTTCAATCTATGCCAGTGCTACATACTGGCAGCAACACAAACGCAAACTTGCAAGCCATGTCACGCAGCGGAAAACACTCTTTTTTTGTGTGAATCTGACTTGAGAACTGCGACCTGCTGATGCATTGCCACAGCTCCTCGAAGAACATTGCACTGCTACGCATTGCAAGATCAGGGTAAGCGCGAGCAAAGGTTCAAGAGACTCAAAAATTGGGCCACAAACCCACCGATGCGGCCATCCATATTGTATCTACACAGCATATCGGCTGCTTGCAGCAAGTGGCGAGACATAGCAGCAACCGCAGAAGCCAACATTCATCCCCGGCAGTCTTAAAGAGGTGTTGAGACTATTGCTACTAACTCCTAAACCCTAAACCCCAAACCCTAAACCCTAAACATCACTGCGAATGGGCTTCTATTTCTGTGCTCGAAACCAGGCTTTGGCTTCGCGTTGAGCTTCGTACACGGGCCTTTTAGCCGTCTTGTACATCCCTCTTGCCGCAAGCAGTGTTTGGACAGACACTAGCACAGGCCAGTCTTGTCCAGGCATGCAAGATTCAGTCTGCTTGGCTGCTGCCGCACCTATAGCATACCCCATAGGTTGGTGCGGTATCTCAAGCTCGGCTCAGTCACTCAGCCTTTTCTCCAAGTACTTGCTTTGTCGCTTCTGCTCCTTCTTCATAGGGAATGTATGTTCCCATCATTTTGTCCTTGGTTGCAAAGTCGAAGCAGCAACATGCGAAACAAATTCTGAAGCTCAACACATGGTTCTGCAGATCTTCGGCCATCGCACGAGCACCCTTTAAACATTGCATCAATAAACCACCACAGTGCATCTGTGGCTCCCAAAGCATCGTGAACTGTCCAAAATTCTTGTCTGGCCGGCGGTGGTGCATCTCGTGCGCGCCGGTCGAATACAAGTCTAATCCTGTCAGGGTCACACACGACCGCGTATGTCATCATGCGCACATGCACTTAACACGTAGCACATGCGCATGCACCCACATGATGCATGCCAATGGCCTAAGAAGCGAATGTCGAAGTCGTATCCCGCATGATTGAGGGAAGCTCCGGTCGTCATGAAGGCCAGATGCGTACCCAAGGCAGCCGCATGCAGCCCCACAGTGTAGGCAGTGATGTGAACAGCTGTCATCCACAAAGTCATGGCTATCCTCAGCAATTCTCCCGATTGAATCAAAAGCATCCTACGTCGTCTGGAGACACTGAAGCCGCATGTCAGTTTCTAGACTTCTGCAGACGAGCATCAGCTGCTCCACGGGATGCTCATTGCGAGCATCAATATTGCCGCGCGTTGGATAGACTGACCGGTGATGATGCTTGTGAATGAACGGATAGATGGACGGATGATGCAGCAAGCCTTGGGTCGACAATATAGACTTACACCTTGCCACTGCTGACTCGTGACTCGTGTCTCCTGACGCACCGCAAAGGCGTAGTCAGGGTGTGCTGAAAGACACGGGGCGATGGGCAGGAGCATAGAACATGTCGTTGAGCAGCACGATCAACCTCGTGGATTCGCGGCCATGATTGCAAGTCTAGATCGCTTTCGATGTTTCGGATCTGTAGGGCTTAGGGCTTCTGATGCTCTTCTCTGCCCACAAGGCGCCCCAAAGAACACAAGAGATGCACCCTTAAGAGGAGGTCAAGGTGCAGAAGCGCCAGAGGTCCTGTCAAGATGGTGAAGGAGCTCCAGCTGCGAAAAATGAGCGGTGAGGTCCACCTCGAAAGGCTGGGTTTAGGGTTCTGGGTTCTGGGTTCTGGGTTTAGGGTTTAGGATTTGTTTTTTTCGGGTTAAGGGTTTAGGGTTTAGGGCCTATTTTTTTCGGGTTGAGGGTTTAGGGTGGCTTGGGATGCTTCCCCCTTAATACGAAGAGTTCTTCAGAGGGATTCTTATAGTACCCCACGTATGATCATCCTCTGTTCAGGACTGCTAGTATAAGGGGGGGACATTCCAAGCTGGGGTTGTTCAGGGTCTGAACGAGTTTCCACAATGGGGGAAGCGCCGGGTGCAGTTCAAATTGCAGCTTCGCAGCATCATTTTGAATATGTGGCAAGTGAAAACTGCTTCGATGACAGAATTGACAGACAGGAACATCATGTCCTGTCAGTGGCGGATGCTCAAGGCAGCTCCAACAAACACCGGGAAGCAGGCTGTCATGTCAAGTGCCCTCTACCCTAAACCCTAAACCCTAAACCCTAAAGCCCTGGTCCTTGTGGTCCAGCCTTGGTCACTGCTGGGGGTTGGCACTTGAGGTAAAGGTCTCATTTCTGGGATCCTAGAACCTTGTTTGCCGGGCTATGATGTCCTGGCCGGAAAGTCTCAGCAACACTCGTGGCTACGCCAGAAAGCCTTGCGAACCCATGGTTCAGGTACTAGAATTTCAACCCCAAGTCCCAAACCCCAAGCCCTAAAACACGCATCAATTTGGCAAAGCTGCTGGTTCTTGTACAGCACTCTTTGACCCGTACGGCTTGGCAGCTCCTTCAGGAAGCGGCACGCGCAGGTCACACCTCGGATGCCCCCTCCCTGAGGGTTTCTTGTCATTTTGGCCTCCAAGCAGAAAGCAGTCACCGCGTAATCATAACAAGAGTTGCAATAGCAATACTTAAAATCATGGTAAGAGTAGTAACAATAAGAACAATAAGAGTAAGAATAAGAAGAAGAATTCAGTGCACTTGCTCGATTGAAAGCACGACAGCCCAGACGCCAAGGTCTGCTGCTTGCAAGGCAAGCTCCTGAAGAACACTGACGTACATTCTCGTGCATCTTTTGGAATGTTCCCCTTATGCTAACAGTCCTTAATAGGATATAATTATAGTAGCCCCGATTACAAATCCCTGTTAAAGACTGTTAGTATAAGGGGGGAACATCCCAATGTACCATTGTGTTATTATAGTGGATGATTGTGCCATGTTGTCAGTGCATGCCTTCCTACTTTTGGCCACTGCGAGACACTCCAAAGCATCAAGGTGTGCCTTGAGCACGAGGGAGGCCAACCACATCGGAAAAGAGAAGGAGAGTGGATTGACCAGAGAGGCCAACGGCCCCGTTATAGACTCCATACTTCCTGAGCTTTGGCATGTACTGCAGTGCCATCAAGCCTTTGCATACGCTGCATGCTTTTGAGATACAGTAAGTGCTGGGCCAAAAATTTCCACCAGTCGACAGCTGCCCAACTACACACACTCCGCTTTTGAGCAGCTGGCAGTCCCCAGATCAGCTCAGATCAGATCGCAGCTTTGCGTGGCTTACGCTCTCGCCTGCCCTGTCGGCTCTCACATGCTGAGCCCCTGCTTTCAACCAGCTGGAAGATAGGTGAGGAAAGTACAGTATGCGGCAAGGAGATGGCAAAACAACGTGGGCAGAAACAGAGGAGTCAGCGCCCCTGGCATGGTGCAAGCTGCTTTTTCTCACAGGCAGCCTTGCAAGGGGTCAGTCAAGCACCACACCTTACAGGCCCCTCCTGCATTCACAGAAGCTTGAGCACGAGGAGATTCCAAACTGAGGTTGGCCAACCACCATACCCAACTAGGCACTATCCTGCGTGGATCACCGGCAGTCATCGGGAGCGCGACAACATAATACAAAGTAGTCAAGCATGGGGCTGCCATCCGAAGATCCCCATGTCCAAAGCAGTGAAGCCCGTACTCAGGAAAAGCTTTCCAACCAGCAACGTGCTGTAGCTGCCCTTGTCGAGAAAATCGCCTAGGCTGTGAGGCAAGAGAGTGCCACTGGACACGGTCTAGACCCTAGATTCACGCAACATCGTGCCGCGCACGGAGCCAGCACTCCCCACGTAATTCGGAGCATGAGGAGACTATAGGCTTTTGAGCGGAAGTTTCAGGACGAAGTGCAAGGATCAGCACGGTGTCAGTTCGAAGTCGTACAGGATTCGCGTTACTCGCTGGAAACTGTTGTTTGCAGGCAAGCACATGGTGCTGGTGCTTTCTGCCACAGCATCCGTTGCTCCTGTTACTGTTTCCTACAAGCCATGCGAGCTGCTCTGCGAAGGTCAGCTGCGCCAAGGTTGGAAATATAGCAGATGCACAGCGCATCCACACGGGAAGGGTGATCGAAGCTTCTTGCGACCCCATGCGATTGATTCCCCGCCCGGGGTGTAGTGCCTACCCCCGGAGAAACCGGCAGAGAGTCCCGACGAGTATCCCTGAAGTGCCCACCGCCATTGTCCCCCCAGTGCCAACCCCAGAAAATCGCCCGAGTGTCCTGGAGTGCTCAGAGAACCGCAGAGTGTCCCGAGAATCCCGCAGAGATACCCGCCAAGTATCCTTGGACATTGGAGTATCGAGTATCCCCTAAACCCTAAACCCTAAGCCCTAAGCCCTAAACCCTAAACCCTAAACCGGAGAATTCCGCGGAAGCCTGCGGCTAAGTAACCGTCAGTACCTGTCCGAAAACGGCAGGATGGGCTCCAGCATCACATGGCTGTATATGGTGGGGATTGCAAGTGAATGGCTTATTTATTATGGTTTTAAGGTTAAAGTATATTGCTATTGGTGTATTACATATGTATTGAAAGTGAATTTCAAAAAAAACCCACATATACATATATATATATATATATGTATGTATGTGTGTATGTGTGTATGTGTATGTATATCCACACCAAAACCATCAGACACGCAACGAGACGCGGTTCAAAGCGGGGTTTCTAGACCACCCGAGCTACCCAGTGCATGTAGCCAGGTGAAGCCGCCAGCCGCAGCACACAGCAGCTGGAGCTTCGGTCTCTCAGTGGGGTTGCTGACCCTTTGCAGGCAGACGAATGCACCCAGGTACATTGCAACAGCCGCCGCTTTGCCCATCCTTTGCTTCTTGCAAAAATTCGGAGCATGTCTGAGTCATGTGGTACTTGCCATTGAAGCAGCTGAACAGTCAGGAGTCAGCACTTTAGGATTTCACCTGTCCCACAACCATGCCGGCATGCACGACGGGTGTGGCTGTGTGTGTCAACTGTCAACCCAAGTTTTCACATGTAGAGCTCCCGCACATTCAACCTTCTGTTTTGGGTTTTTTTCGATACCTGCCAAGATGCAGCTGCAGCTCGGCTCCACGATACTTCGGTCTGACCTTCAAATTAACTGCCATTTCACTGTTTGCAAGCGATGCTCTCTTATCTTGTTGTCTTTCTCCGCGTGTCATTTTTGCAAGCAAATATTGCACTTCATAGACGCAGCGTTTTAAGTCGAAGGGGGTTTCAACGAACCAAGGGGGAAACGAGTGTCTGTTTGCCAAACCCGCGACCTCTTTCTCGGGCAAGATCCAGGAGCTTTTCGCGTCCAGCATGGGCTCGTAGGGCTGCAGCAACTTTCGGGGCGTCCATTCCATCTTGTGCTGGGCTCCTGGCAAGAATCCAAGACGGGCTGGTTCTTCGTAGGGAATGAGGTGCCCTACATACGCGTTCCCTTAAAGGGGAAAAATGCGGCCCTTCTTCCCTCATTCCCTACTAAGAACACATCGGCATGCTCTGCTCGCATTTCTTCGTTAGCCCAAGTGGCTTGCGGACACCGAAGAGCGTAGCAAGTGCCAGAAGCAGCCACCTCGTAGAAGATGGAAGCGGCCCATCTTGCGCCAATGCTGCAGATTCAGCTCCACGGCATTGAATGTGCCAGCAGACTGTGCCAAGCCGAAATAGTCCAACCGCTCTGTCTCAGCGTCGTAGGTATTGAAGAGGCGGTCCCAGATGATCCTTGCTAGTTTTTGAAACCGAATACATCGCCAAATGCCTGCTTCTATGCTGCAGCAGGGGGGTGCCCTCATGCTCTTGAAAGTGGCTGAAACTCACACAAAACTTTCCAAAAGACCTGAGAATCAAGACCCCAGCGTAGTTGCAGTTCCCCGGTGGCCGATGATGCATGCGGTGGTGGAAAGGGGTGTTGAGCACGTACTCCAGGGCCCCCAGCCGGCCGCAAAGCTCTGTATGAATCCAGAACTGATAGAGCATATTGAGCTGCGAATGTATCCTGTGGATCGAAGTGGCACACTGAACGTATCTCGCTTTGAATGTATCTCATCACTTTGCGATCATTTGGCAAAACTGGTGTTCAGACCCAGTGCCAGGACAAATCTTGGGGAGCCTATTAAGACGAACTCAACATGTCAACGCATGTTTCGACCCGAATCTTTAACGGTCTGTTCGATTCCTATCTGTTGAGGCTTCAGGGTCTGAATTTGGTGTTAGGCTGCGAAGCCTCCTCTGAGCCCAAGAAGCAAGCAGCCGCAAGTGAACGTCCTGCTACAGGCAGCCTGCCAGGATCAGCCAAGTCTCAGGATCGACTCTGCAGGGAAGACGAGCGCAAGAGGCAACGAGAAGACCCATGTCATGAGTGGCTGCAAAGACCCTTGCCGGAGCGCAGTGGCCATGTTGTAGTCCTACGTTGCAAGCACATGGGCATGGAGCTTGAGAACCCCACCCCTTAACCCTTGCATCCGGGTCATGATGTCCTGGCCGGAAACACCCTTAACCCTAAACCCTAGACCCTTCGAGCCACGAGATGCGAGTGTCCTCACCCGAATGATGCGCACTGTGGGCGGCCCAGCCAGTATGCAGCATGTGCATACTTCGGTGTGCCCAGTAGTAGGCCAGGTCCATACCGAGGACAAGACAAATCCACGTGGTGAAAGGCTTGCCTTTGACATTGATCGTGCTAGAGATGTTACGTAAATTACACAAAATAATGATAAGAATATAGAGGAGTCATAATAATAACAATAGTAATAAGATGACAATACTAATAACATAATACAATACTGCAGTCATACCTGTTGTTGAAGGCCGGCCTTTCACGTCGAACTCCACAAGGCGGCAACTCTCGTTCACTAGCCGATAGGCCCCCTTCGGATCCGCAAACTTCGTCATCAGCGCCACAACAAACCTGAGTTGTCCAGTAACCTGGCAGAATTAAAGGTTAACCTTTGGGATTCTATTGGGATTAGGTTACCCAAAAAAACGGTAAAGGTTACCTACTCTACTGCTAAGAAGCTGTTGACAGGTACCAGAGGATATGGAAGAAAGGAAGTCACTGAACCTGTACAACGTCTTCTGATACACGCACGACCCAACAGCCAACTCCGTGAACATCAGGAGGAAAAACATGACCTCGCTTCTCGCACCAGCATGGGGCTATTATACCCTATAACCCCTCAAAAAGGCTCTCTAGAGGGTTGTAGGGATTATAGGGCCTAATCGCCCATCCTGGCAAGCTCAGTCTGAAAGCCAAGGCGAACCCATGAGCGGCGTGATTTCTCTCAAGCAGCAGCCGATGGACATTACAACCCTTCCGCGGCGTCTTCCGCGTTCCTTCCGCGGAACTACGCGACTCCACCTTCACCAGAAACCAAAAGCAGAGATTTGTAACATATAAAAATAAATATATCTATATATATATATATACATATATATATATATATACATATGTATATGTATATGTATCTGTATTAGTACCACCCGGCCCGTAAAACGACATAATATTGGGCCGTAGGTATCATTATATGCTATCCAGAAGTACCCCTGGGTTTTTTGCTGCCCACGTCGCTGACTGACAGTCGCACTGCAGGGAACATCACGGTACTGTCCACTCAGCGCCAGGAAACTCAAAAAGTCTTTATCCTTTCAGGCTCATCTTTCACACCAGTTCTCCACCCACTCGCAACCATACTCAAAACCAAGCCCCCCCCCGCCCCCCCCACCACACAAACAGAAAAAGCCAGGGCTCACAAGTGGGTTTCTTCTTTTGCCACCCGCCTAGCTGTCCGAAGACGCACTGCAGGGACTGCGCACGTTACTCGAAAAAGTGCCCATCCGAGACATGTCGAAGACTTTGTCTTGCCGACCAGATGCCTTTAAATGGTTGATCTCACATGCCTGCTCCTCAGAGGCTCTCTCCTCCCAACGATTGGGACTTCGGGTTGAGGGTTAGGCCTCTGAGGGGGGAATGGGCAAGGGTTAAGGGTCAATTAAGCCTTCAAAGACAAGGTTTAAGGGTACAGGCTTTTGGGTTCCATGGAGGGTTTCGGGCTTAACGAGGGGATTCGGAAGCCTAGAAGCATGGGCTCTGGGCTTCCAAACCCGTGGCCTTGCACGGAGCTTCCGCGATCCTTCCGTGGAGTTCCGCTCTCCAAAACGCTTGGACAAGCGATGGCGGGCGTCAGCAATATTGGCTTCTTATATATATATCTCTATATATATCTATATATCTATATATATGTATATATATATTTACATATATATATATATGCCCAAAGAGCCCAATATTGCTTAATTAAGGAATATACCTTAAATCATATAGGGATCCTTAATATGATTTAAGGTATATTCCTTAAATAAGCAATATTGGGCTCTTTGGGTGAAGAATTTCTCAGCGCCGCTGACAGAAAACCTTGCGCGAGCCTTCCGCGCCCGCCTTTCCGCGGACCCTTCCGTGCAATCTTGTTTACCTCTTCGGCCCTTCCGCTGAAAATAAGAATGTCCGCTCGAGCGCCGAACAAAAACGCAGCTCACATGCGAATGCTCAAAGAGCAAGACTGGAATCTGTGCTGTTTGCGTGCATTCAGCGACTCAGCAGGAAACGGTTCCATGACTCTCGATGAAGTTTGGGACCTTGTCCCCCTTCGAGAGGGAGAGGTGCTTGGGCGGCACTAGGTAGAACATGCACTGCAAGCCTTCTGACAACCACGTCATGGCCTTAAGGTCTCAGCAGGGCATGTCTGAATTCAATCCATAAGCCACATACAAAGCCTTGTTGAGTGCTGCCTGGTTGCTGAAAACATGGCGCCCGTGGCACTATTGCCAGGTTGTTGTTGCATTTCGTGCGAGTCTTCAAACTAGTGCTTCGTCGCTTCTGGTCTGGTGCATGTTTTGGCGATCCGCGCCCTGGCGCATCATCTACAGGTTCTTATGACATATGATCACTCCCTATATACATCTTTGCTCTCTTTGGACATCAAAGCTCGAGGTTAGAGTCACGGTAAGGCAGACGTGAATCTTGTCGGGCAGCTCCTGCATATCCTGTGCTCACTGCACTCCAGGCGGCACCTTTTGCTTCACGATTCCATGTTTCTCCGCCGGTTTCGAGCGTCTAGGACATCTTGGTAAGATTGGGCCAGCTCAATTTGAAAGCGAGCCTCCCTCTGACTCCCCACCTTAATCATGACCAACTCCTCGTGCAGCACTTGTGCGCGGGAGTCCGACGCCTGTGCGCCCTGTAGAAGACGCAATCTACACAAAAGTTTGTTGCTCACTCCGTTCACTCCAGATGCAGAGCTGGGCTTCACGCGCATCACGCGGACTCCTCCTGGACAGGGTCAGGACAACTCACCCCGAAAGCTTTGCCTCGACTTGCAGCCACTAGCCACTACCGCGGCAACGGCTTCCATCCTAAACCCTATAAACCCTAAAACCTGGCGGGTCCACAACAGACCCGCGCAAAACTGTGGTCCCACCAGCAAACCTGAAATGCAGGACTTAGGTCACCGCCTTTAGTGTTGAGAAATGACGCCTTTCTGCTCCCGGTGCCCAGTGCGCCTAAAAGCAAAACCTTCCAGCTATTTCTGCCCAGAAGAAGGTTTAACCTTCTCGGAACGGATTAGACGATGCAAACCAGGGACGTCATCATGCTTGGGCCATGGATGCTCTTTTCTCAGCAGGGCAGAATAGACCATGGACGTCATCATGCTTGGACCCTGGATGCTCTCTTCCCAGAACGGAGTAGACCATGGACGTCATCATGGTTGGGCCATGGCAGTGCGAAAACATGTAGACCATGGACGTCATCATGCTTGGGCCATGGATGCTCTCTTCTCATCAGAACAGAGTAGACCATGGACGTCATCATGCTTGGGCCATGGATACTCTCTTCCTAGAACGGATTAGACTATGGACGTCATCATGGTTGGGCCATGGATGCTCTCTTCTAACTATGGTGAAGCAAACGTGTTATTTAGACCCAGGGCTGGGCAGAAGCGGATGCAAGCAAGACAGGGCTTAGTTTAGGACACGTCGAAAGTGCGAAGTAGTGCAAAAAAACCACAAATACCAGTGCAGTCTACGGATGCCAAAAAAATTGCAGGATAATTTTGGATAAAAACTGCGGGGATGAGGTGATGGGCGAAACCCAGGAAACATCGGTATTTGCAGGGGATTCTGAGGGCAACAGAGCTAAACTGCCGAAAACGAGTGGGTCTGTTATGGCCCCGCCTAGCCCTAAAACCCTAAATGCCTTTTGTAACCCAGGAACCCCTAAACCCCTAAAACCCTAAACCCCTAAAAACGAAAAAGACTCTAAAACCCTAAAACCCTTTTTGCATCCAGGCTTGGGAAAAAACCCTAAAACCCTAAAACCCTAAAAACCCTAAACACTCTAAAACTCTAAAACCCTAACCTGAGTCGGTTACCTGATACATCTTGACCGAATGCACCAGCAGGCTGGGGGCTCTTTGCCGACCTTCGAGGTCCTACCTCCCTAGGCTTGCAACGGCCCCTGGTGAGGGCCATATATATATATATAAATAAATAAATATATATATATATATATATGGCATGGATATATATGTAGATATATATATATATATACCCTTTAAAGGAATTTCATAGGGCCCTAATTCCCGCATTCCCTACGAAGAACCAGCCAGAAGGGCCCGCTGCTGGATGCATGACTCATGTGCGGAACGAGGCATGTCCCGCTATGGATTACAGTAGCGGGAGAATCAGCACATGCTACTTGCAAGCCTCAAAGCTTGACACAGGCCTGCCATTTCACCAATTCATACATAAGACAGAGCGGCTTTCACCGCAGCGCGGCGGCAGGCCTTTGCTATGTGCGGAAGCACATCTTGTGCATGATCTTGGATGTATTCTTGGCCACATCGCTCGTCTGTAGCTGCAGGGCCTTGCTCTGACTCATTGCTCCGCTTCCATGCCACCGCGGCGAGATTAGACCCTGGAGGATCTGCACATTTCTGCGAGCTGTCTGCTCACGAAGTTGCGCGCTCGTTTATGTTGCGCTTGATGCTGTGCAACGAGTTGCGGCAACGAGCTCTCTGTGTCTTGAACTCGCCCTGGTCGAGTCCAGTCACCAAACCGACGAAACACTGGAAGATGGCGAGGGTTATGGCGTGAACATTTCAGTTCAACGGGGTGTGTTTGACCTTGTTCTGTATTATTTATTACCAGGAGTTCATTGGGGAGCTAGCGTATCAATCCCATTCTGTTCAGCCGCATGAATTTTACAACTATTTATGTGTTAAACTATTGGTTATGTCTGATTTACCTATCTTTTTGCGATTACGACTTTCATCTTTGTCCCTCTGTCCTCCTGCTCACGGTCTGCAGTTGCACTATCCTCAGGATCCTCCGCATCCGCAGAGGGTGTAGTGGTCGCGGTGGTGGTTGTAGTGGTTGTGGTTGTCGTGGTCGTCGTGGTGGTTGTGGTCGTTGTGGGGCATGCCTCGACGTTGCAGTCCTGCCAGAATGCGTGCAAAGATTTATCCGATACTTTGAGGATCTTCGAGGGTGCTTGGGCCCGAATTTGGCCAAACCCGAGAATAAAACAAAGCCCGTAACAAATTTGTCCTCATGGTCGAAGGCGCCATCGCTGCACTCCTCAAACTGCATATATGTTCAGCAGAGATTCAGGGACAGGTTCAGCGCTTCAGTCGGGCATGTGTGGCAATCCAGGACCATCGATTCCGTCCTGCCCTCCATTTCTTGCCTTGACCGATACTCTGCGATTTCGCTGCCTCAGTGTCTCCCAAAGCTTGGCATCCAGAGTCACCATCCAAGCAGCTTATGCCAATCTCATGTGCCTTGGTCTATGTCCGAATGCTGCCTGATCGCGAGTGCCCAACAGTCCCCTACTCCAAACACCACTTAGTGGACATCTACCCTAAACCCTAAGCCCCTAAACCCTAAACGAATTAACCCTAAACTCTAAACCCTAAACCCTAAGCTACCCTGCAAACTACCCCCATACTTGTCTTGAAGATATGAAGTGCCTTGTTAGAGTAAACCCGCAGGGCACCTGGATCCTCCGCCGCAGCTTTTTGAGCAGCCGCCCCATGACGACCAGTCCGACCACCGGCACGCGATCTGACCGGCGTAAGGATGTGTTTAGGGTTTAGGGTTTGGGGTTTAGGGTTTAGGGAAGGCCCTGGGATTGCTTGGGGCTTATGGGGGGGCCTTCATTGGGCTTTTTGAGTAGGGGCTTCGATCTTTACATGTGCAATCTATAGTTTTGAAGAGCTCGGGCTTTTGGGAAGTTGCAAAAGGGCGCGCTCCGCGAGTTCAACCGCATTCTGATGATATCTTGTGACGCTGACTGTAGCAGTCTTTCCAGCAACAGGCGGCCTTGCAGACAGTCACGCCCTTTTCATCCCGAATCTCTGGCACAGTGGCTCCACATAAACCTGTCCAGGACATCCCGGACAAGGGGCACTCGTTAGGGAACGATCTTGCAAGACTTCTGGTCTTCAAGTAAAGCGCGCAGAATGGCTTCACACTGATGAAAGGAGCTCGACACTGGCATGGGCTCACATGAACTTCATGACGTCCCTTCCCAATTTCGAGCAAGTCGCCGACTTCTCCCCAGCCAAGCTGGGGATCCCTCGAATCACACGAGATTTGGTGTGCGTTCATCCCAGTTCCTGGCAGTGTGGCGCGGGCTGCGGACGATGCGGATCATCATGCCTCCTGAAATCTTCCTGTAACGATGCGCCCGACGCAAAACTGTAAAACACATAGGGCCAGCCTCTGAATGGATTGATGTTTACATCCTTGTCGTCGAAGAAGTGGGTGTTACTCTTCCTCGGACAAGTGCGACATTACAGGGGTACCTTACTGCGGTTCTTGTTAGGAATTCTACTATGAGGGGTTTCTTTATCAGGGGCCCCGCATGTTCGTAAACCCCCATATGTTATGCAAAGGATGGGGGGGACAAGCAGAAAGCACTGCAACTGCTCGCAACCATGGGTCGAAATGCAGACATCTTGCGACGCGTACCTTCAGAAATGATGGGTATATGATTTTGCGGAAAAATGTCGTGGACTAGCCCAGTTGTTTGCTGCCATTTGCTGCCTGTGCTACGGAATTGTAAACAGCTGCACAGATCTTCCAAAACCCCTTTATTAAGGAATACACCCTCATTCATAACAATGATCCTTAGTACAAATTAAGGCATATCCCTGGATTGAGGGGGTTTGGAAGATCCGGGTGATTCGAGCTCAGTCCGGCACCACTCCAAGATCTGAAAGACAGCATGCTGCTTCTGTCCATCTGGCTTTCCCACTACGAAGGGCGACCTCATCCGCCAACTATTGGAGAAGCCAGCGCCGTCCCGGGCTTTGTGTTTTTTTTTTTGGGGGGGGGGGGGGGGGCAGGGTTTAGGGTTTAGGGTTTATAGTTTATAGGGTATAGGGTTTAGGGTTGGTCATGGTGGCAGCACAACAAGCGCACATTTTAAGGCGAGGACAGAAGCTTCATGTCCTGAGACCAAGGCTTCACCAACTCAAGGGCCAAGCATCTGCGCTGCTTCTTTTTTCATGGTTTCGGGTTTAGGGTTTAGGGTTTGACATGAAATCAAGGGAGTCATGGGAGCCGAGCGGCACTCCAGGCCGCGTTGTATGGCTTCATCTGGAACTTGTCCATCGCGTCGCTGCGCAGAACCTGTCCCGGCAGGGACCTTCCCCTAAAACCACTGACATGGTTCTTGAATTTGGGCCCTTTATTGGGGAACCCTTATATACCCTGTAAAACTCAAGGGCCCATGCTTCAGGACCCGTTTTGAAGAAGGTAAGGGACCATACTAAGGGACCACGTAGCTTCCCTTAGATCCCTGGAAGTTGTGGTGCCTGAGTTAGGGTGCCCTTTTCGGGGGGATCTGTCTTTGTCAGGGGTGTGAGTGAGGCCAATACAAAAACGCCTCGGTACAGGACCGGACGAAGGTCGGCCGGGGATTTTGTTCCTTATTTTTTCCAGTTTTTTTTTTGTTTTTTCTCCGCTTTTTTGGTCGGGTTAGGGTTTAGGGTCTGGGGTCTAGGGTTGCTTGGCTTGCTTGGCTTGCTTGGCTTGCTTGGCTTGCTGGGCTTGCTTGGCTTGCTTGGCTTGCTTGCTTGCTTGCTAGGCCACACGGCCGGAAAAAAAAAAAAAAAAGAGAAACAAAAACGGAAAAATAAGGAAAAGCACCGCCACCACGCAGGTCCCTCATTGAGAGCAACCTCTCATTCCAAGGTCATGCTGTCGCAGGCGTACGCTAATTCGTATTTACTTTGTGCACTTGTTACTGACACACCCCCCTGTGCATGGCCTCACGAAGCAGCTCCTGGGAAGACAGGCTTGTTCAGTCATGTTGGTTGGTAGTAGCGTCATCCCTGAAGCTGTATGCTTCATTGCCGGTGCAGGCTAGGATGAGCTCTAGCTGGGGAGAGATTTGAGTGTACACGCCGTCACGAAGCAAGTGGCGACCGGAGCTTTACCGCAAAGTAAGTAAAACGGTACCCGCCATGTAGACCCATTGAACATGCAGGTCTGGTATCCGCAACTTCACAACGCAGCGCAACCGTGCTACCTTCAGAGGTTGTTGGTCACTCGCAGCACGTGGCGTCCTTGCGTTCTCGCGAGTTTGCGCCGCTGCCGTCTCCATGGGAGCAGACACCCAGGTAGCACTTCTGGCAGAAAGTGCCGGCCATGCCTCGGGAACCAGGATGGGCTGTTAGGGGCCTTATAATTCCACAAGCAAGCCTATAAAGGGCCCTTTCTTGGGGGCCATAGGGTATGATAGCCCATCCTGGAAGAAGAGCTGCCACATGGCCATTTCGTCGATAGCCACTTGTAGCATAGGATTCGCTAGCATTTCAAAAGCCCGCACAACTGCATGATCCTGAACCCCGCAGCGGCGCTGCAGATTTGACACAGGTCGGACTCCACACTTTGTTGAGACGCCTCTCTCGGAGAGAGGGCCTCTTCTTCCCCTTTCGTGTTACAAAAGCGGTCGTTGTTCACGTCCAGCTGCAAGAACGAAAGGCATGCCACGAAATCAACAGGAACTACCTAGCCGCGAGAGGCAGCTTCGATTGTCGTTGTGCATTGCTGATCTGCTGAATGGGTTCTCTGCATTCCCTGTACAATCTGGAGCAGCAATCGGACGCAACTCACCTTTTGCAGAACAAAAAAACTGCTTCACCAATCAACACTTGATTTGGCCGCACTTTACAGTTCCTAGTGCTGCGCAGGACTGGTACGATACAGTTGCATGTATATAGCACCAGTGTAGGGCAGTGTAGGGCATGTTGCGAGCAGCTGCCAGGGATGACAGCACCAAAGTACCACCACCATATGCAGTGTCTACAATGCCATCGGACGCGCTGGAGCCAGGGCAGACATCCTTAGCCGCAGCCCCCACACACACGCACACAACGCAACCCACACAACCCAAGCAACGCACACAACACACCCACACACACACACACACACACACACACCCACCCACGCACACACACACCCACGCACACACGCACGCACACACACACACACTCACACTCACTCGCGCACACACACACACACTCTCTCACTCACTTGCTCACTTACTCACTTCTCTCTTACTCACTTACTCACACTCTCACACTCACAGACACTTCAGTGCGTTGCAGCCACCCGTCAGAACGTCATAAAGTTGGCACCATGGTGCACACCCTGCTCTGCTTAGAGGCTTACACTAACGCCCACGCCGCATGCCCACAACCACCCTGGCCATTTATCGGAACGTTGTGGAAACCCAGATCGACGAAGACACTTCTGAGCCCAGGCCAAAGCAACACGTCAACTGCTTCATCACCCACTTTGCTTCATGCCTGTTGTCCTAACGATCCGGTCTTCCAGCATATTCCAAAACCTCGGACAAGCTGCGTGCTGGCCTTGCTTGGAAGTCAGCGTTCGGTCAATATCAAAGACGCAGAGGCAGGCATCCGGTTGCTCCTTGCCCGCCTTGCAGCTCGGGATGTTCTAAAGGGTTTAGGCCGTTTAGGAAAGGTTAGGGTTTAGGGAGGAAGCACCAGCAAGATGAAGCAACTGACGGAACGGCCGTGCGGCCAACATACCAATGTCTTGTACTGTCAAGGTTGTTCGATAGCTCTCTCGTCGCCCGATTCTCGTGAGCACTACAGAAATTGAAACACACGTGAAATGGCAACTCGTGAGTCTGAAAGCATACTGAAATGATGACGAACGTCGCAGCTTGGAGCCTCAATGCTGGGTGGGTGACTCGGCTGTGCCACGGGCCCACTGCAGGAGACACTGCAAGGCTTCGGACACTTGGCAGGGTTGGTCTTGTAAACTTGACATTGGAATTCCGGCAAGCCTCGGAGTTGGCAGGGCACAAAGGGACTTAGTAGTGTGAGCACCTCATACACCCAGTAACTAGTAGCATTTTGGTTTCTTTCCAGTGCCCAGTCGTTGGGCCAAGAGGCTGGAACCTTGTGAGAGTCCAGGATACCAGTCGGGATGGCTGTTGATGCCCTCGTTCTTCGCCCACATGACATCATTCATGCAGGATCCACCCGTGGCATCCTCGCAGCCCGCATCTGCACCCGCGCGCTCCCGGGCACTTCGAAGTTGGAGAGCTTCCAGGGCACACTCACCTGCCTGGCATTCATCATCCATCTCTAGTTCTGGCAGAATTGTGCTGGCAGCTGGTATAAAGGCCAGGCAGATCCAGCGCAAGGAACATCTCGAGGACATCGCTGTTACAGGGAAAAGAGACGCTGTTCTAATGTGCGGACATGATGGCATGACTACCCCGCTTGAAGCACAACGGCCATTCATGCATCTCACGCCGGGTAGCTGCATGTCATAAATCTTTTTCAGGTGTTGCAGCACTTGCAAGGAGCTTTTTCAATGCTTCTGAGATAATGGGTCAGCAAAAAAAGGAGAAAAACAAACACCTGCATGCACAGTGATGGCACGCGTTGGCATAGAAGTTCTCGCACCCAGGGAAGGATGCCGATGGAGCGTTTCCAGTGTTTCCAGGGGCACGGTGTCGCTCTGCGCTTGTCGAGACCTGCGAAGTGTGCGTCATGTTCCTTTCATGGCTGCTTGTCCAGACCTCGCATTTGTTGTGTCCAGTCGGCAGAGCTGTGCTCAGAGCCCAAAGGGAGCAGTGGCCCGAGCGCCAGGGGCTTCGGGGGAGCTTCGGCGTGCCCAAGGGCTTCAGGGAGCTGTGCCATGGCCTTCATCAGTCAAAAAGGATGAATCTCTTCTTCCTCCAGCAGCTCAAGCGGCCAAATGTGCAGATCGGACAGGTTGCGCAGATGCCGGCTGAGGCCGGTCTCAATGCACAGCTGCTGCCCTCGCCTTTGTAAGTCTGCAAAGTTTCGACATTGGACAAGCTTCATCAAACAATCCCCATCCCATGAAGCAGACACCGAGCCTGCCGCACAAGCCCAAAAACATACCTGCCTTTCCTGCCTCTCTACCGTCTCTACCAAGGACAAAAAAACCACAGCAAAGTCGCGAGTCGTCAATTTGCTTGCAATGATCGTGAACAGCAGCATCCTTGACAGCTTCGCCTTCCACCTGCACTAGGATGCCAGGACGGAATTTGCAAGAGGAACTTTTGTTTCGGGTTCTTTACAATGAGTTGCGAGAGCCACGTTTAAGGCTCGGTTTTTTGACATCAAGCAATATAGAGGGCAGCTTGAGGGTTTGTGGCCTCTCCGGCTACCACTACCGAAACTGCCCCGAACAGTAGCGGTTGAAACGCTGAACTTCGGCTTTTGTTGACGTTCTTTTGCGATTTGGGGGGGCAGGAGATCAACCCATCCAATGCATCCCAGCAGCAATGAAAGCCACATGGGCCATGCCGCCGGCAATGCACGCCAGCCAGTTGCTGTACGACCGCACGCCCGACAGCAACGGAAACTTTAAGAAATCGGCAGAAGACCTCTGCAGCTGGGGCTTTTCAGAGTTTTCTGATTAGGTATCCCAAACCTATCTACTCTCCCCTAATATTTGTTTGCCTCCTCCAAAGTGGGGACCTTATAGGTATACGTAGTAAAACATTGTGGGAGCAGGGGGTCAGGTCAACCCGGATATATTGACGTGCGGCCAAGCGGTGTTGGTGCCGTAGCTTTGGTTCCGGCCTGGTGGGCAACGGTACATAAACAACCCTAAACCCTAAACCCTATACAGAGTCTTTTCTGCCTGTGTTGCGGCTTGCAACCGCAACTGAACTAAACTGCAATGGTGAGCTGAAGTCGGGTGGGAAAGTGACGAGATGACTCATGCACGAGATGTTAACCCCTGACCCCTTTTTGCAACATCCTCCAACCGCGCGGGTCCACCCGAAACCCTAAACCCTAAACCCTAAACCATCCTAAAGCCGGTCCTAGCTGCCTTACCGAGAGCCTCCCGAAATTGCAGCCCATCCTACCCCCGCGCGCCCGCGCCAGAGAGAATTTCAACCCTGAAGGCCCTGAACATGGGTTTAGGGTTTAGGGTTTCGACTCTCACACTCGCACAAGGCCGGCAAGGCATCGGTTGGGTCCATATGTCGTCTCAAAGCATGGGGCGTGGTTTAGGGTTTAGGGTTTAGGGGTTAGGGTTTAGGGTTTAGGGTACGCCTTACCGACCCACTGCAACCGGCTGCAATCCGCCTGGAGACTCAACCCCCAGATTTTTGGAGGATCATGTGCCTGACAGTCTCCTCATCTGCTGACTACAGTACACGAGGTAGCATTGATAGAGCACAGCGAACTGAAACGATCGAAAGGCCAGGGAATGAACAGGATCCATCGAAAGGCCAGGGAATGAACAGAATCCCATCTGAAGTCTAAGTCTCGAAGTGGTCTGTTTGGAGGTTCATAGGTAGTTAAAAGTAGATGGTAGCTATACTTATAACCCTACTATGGTAGGCTCTAACCATACTTCTAACTACCCCATGAACCTCCAAGTGAAGCTTTCCGGGACAGCCTTGCGCCGCAGAAGGAACAAGGGAGAGCCGACTTCATGGCCAACCACCCCACTCCAGAGAGGGAGGGAAGGAAAGGGAAGGCACCTCCTGACAAACCCCCGCCCACCATGTTTCGACTCTCACACTCGCGCACGCGCGGGCAAGGCTTCACGGGTGCCATAGAAACTCAGAAGATCTGTGCAAACACCACCCTTGCGTTTTCGTGCCTGATCTGGGAATCTCAACCGGCCCTTGGGAGAGGACAGCACAAGGGGCCAGACGCAGGATGCCAAGGGACCCCACTTGGAGGTTCATGGGTACTTATAAGCAGGGTTATAAGTAGGGTAACTAGGGTTATAACCTTACTTCAGGGGCTTATAACCCGACTTTTCAGTACCCATGAACCTCCAAGCATGAACCCGCTCAAGCCGCCCAGGGTCCTTCTGGGAACCCCTGCCCAAGCAGACAAACCGAACCTTAAGATTCAGCACCAGGGCCGCCGGGTTTAGGTTTAGGGTTTAGGGATTCCAAGGTCCAAGGCCTGTAGTTCCGGTCAAGGGCTCGTACATGGCACACCACTCCGCCAAGGTTGGCAGTCTCTCTTCAAACTGAACGCGCCCAAGCCGTCGGGCCAGTCGACCGTAGCGCCACAAATCATAGTCAGGGTACCTGGAGCTCCAGGGAATGGAAATCGAGGCTTTGCGGCATGTTTCACCGCATGTTTGCCCAGCAATGTGATAGCATGTGCTCGTGAGTTCCCTCAGTACTTCTTGCACATCGTGAGAAACTGCAACGTTTTTCTCAACAAAGGGCGGGGGTACAGTGCAAAGGAGCGCCCCAAAATGCAGCCGCGCAGGTGTTGAAGGTCCCAGGTGACACCAGAGCTCCAGAGGCTCTGCGTGCAGGGCTCGAAAATGGGCACGTCGGCCAGTGCTTGGAGCTTGTCGGCCCTGAGATGGTTCACGGAACCTAGATGGATAGATAGATATATACGTATATAGATAGAAATACGTAAAACTGATCTAAGAGCTAGTCTAAGCAAGCGATGCGCCACAAATTGGAGGTGAGCAGCGATGCCCAAATTGGGGCAAACCCTTGACTCCCCAAAGCCAAACAGCCCCCCAATGCCTGCGAAAAGCCTGATCTTGCCGTCAAGTCACTGATGCGAAACGCCCAGGCCTGGCTCAAAACGAAAGCAGGCTGCCGAAAAGTTTGCGAAGGCACAGCTGTGCTCGATCCTTGCAAGGCTTTGGGTCTGCTCCACTTGTCAAGGTCAGTGCTGTCGCCACGTGTGGCAATAGCTGATTAGCTTAGGTGGAGCTTCCATCTACAGTTCATAAGGAACCAAGGGACTTCGACCTGAAGGAGGGCAGAAAAATGCCGAACAAGCCTGTCATAAGCCCTCATAAGGGAATATGGGCCCATGACACCCCCCCCCCCTCCCTTCCACCCCTCTTTGAGCTAGTTCATAGTTGGGATAATATTAAACATTCAAACTTCTAGTCCCTATTGTGTTTTCAGTACCCTTAAACATATAAAATGTTATCCCACTAGCCCTAAACCATAAACCCTAAACCCATGTTCCCCCACGCAGCATGCAATGATTTGCAGGCAGCCGGCATCCAGCTCTTCACGTCTGCAGGACTTCGGTCCGCAGTGGCCTGAATCAGAGGCAGCAGTCAAACCAGCTCTCTTTCTCTCTCTCTCTCTCTCTCTCTCTCTCTCTCTCTCTCTCTCTCTTTCTTTGCCGTTGCATCCAGGTCTAGCAGCGCCAGGCATTTATGACATGTGCTACACAATATCTATTGAAAACGGTATGTATTATGCATGGGTGTACATGTGCGGACATCCGCAAGCCTCGATGGGTCGTGCTGATGTCCGCCAGTCCTCCACCACTTCAACTTCCGCGATGGGTTCTGAAGGCAAGGCGTGGCCATCATACTGCGGATCCCAATCGGATCCAAAGGTCTTCCAGAACTCCATGAAAGCACCTCCCGCGCAAACATAGCCTCAGCTCACCCTTACGACTCAAGCTCCCTGAACTCTCACGGACTCACGGTGCTTTGAAGATTCACCTGGGACGGTTGACTAATGAACACTGCATATTTTCAGGTACAGAACATGGCCTGGACATTCATCCCATTCGGATCTACAGCACAAGCGGGAACGGGTGCTTCTTGTCTGAACAACCTCTTGTCTGAAAGCCACAAAAACGCAGCATGCCACTGTCTGGTCAAAGCACCCAGTTGTCGTGAAGGACTCGAATGGCAGATTCTCAGAGCATTGTCGAGCCTTGACTGGACATGAAGATGTCCCCACCTAAAACTATAAGTGCTCTGTTGAAGTCAGCTACTTCGACCCTGCCCAAAAACCCAGCAACATTGAAGGCGCTGTGGACATCGGGCACTCCAAGGGCTTTTTGGGGAATTCCCTGGAATTGGGTAGTTCAGGGATTCTCTGAGGGTGAATTCTGGGCATCTTCGAGGGCGTGGGTTTTTCTGGGAGTGGACTCTGCAGGAGTACTCTGCAGCCTTGTCTGCGGGATTCGCCGGATGGGTCCATTCTCTGTGAGATTCTCCGGACAAATCCACACCGAGCGTGCGAACATATTTGGGCTTATAATATTATATGGTCTTGTTCCGGCTGGTCTTCCTCGCGAGACTGTGTCATCAAACCAGAATCTGAATGACAACTGGTAGCATCTGCGGTGAAAGCTCGAAGCCAGAAGTTCCATTTCGAACTCGCTCACATGCGGGCCGTGCTGTGTAGGCTGATCGCTGGCCTCAGCAACATGTGTACTTACGTTGTTGGTCATCCACACTCTTCACGCCAGAAGCCCAGTTGCAGACTATGGACAGGCTGCACAGAAAATGTCTTGTAAAGGGGGAAACTTACTGATACATATACACACCCACCTATTCAGCCTGCAAAGGCGTGCAAGTCCACAAAATCCCGCCCACCTTCGTCCAGACCAAGTGCAATACCGGCCAGCATGGCTCCATGTCCAAAGCCATGAACGCAATGCACGAAAAGGCCGGGTAGATCCTTGCCAAGGGCCAAGTCAAAGACCCAGCTTGACTTCCCAGAAACGTTCAGAAAGACAGCTATTGCATGGCACCAACATCACCAAAAGAATCCTAAACCCCAAACCCCAAGCCCTAAACCCTAAACCCTAAGCCCTCCTGAAAGGCGAGGCAGATGCGGCCCATGGCAAAATCCCAGAGGCCGGAGGCGTTGGACCACCCGGAGGCCTGCCGAGGCGATTGATTACGAAGGAAGGACGGGCCTTCTAAGGCCTTCGAATCCCCATCATCAACCCTATAAAGGTAAAGGGACTTTTTGAGGGGGTTTATGGGGTATACTTGGCCCATCCTGGCCAAGGTATGAAGGGCACAGCTCGTAGGAAAACGAAGGATGCGGAGACTACGAAGGGTTCAAAAGCTCCCGCAGCCGGGCTCCAGTCTTGTGGATCTCTGACAGGGCATCGGGAGGGCGGGGCTCCAAAACCGGGTTTAGGGTTTAGGGTTTAGGGTTTTTTTTCCCTCGTGCACAGCTGGGGCGAGGGTTTTTTTTTCTCCCGCATAGCTGGCCGAACCGCAGGCAGGGTTACGTTGATGGTCTGTCCAGTCGAAAAACGCGGCCCCATACTAGGACCTGCAGAACCTCACGCGTTTCCCGGCTACTTTTTGGTATCCAACACACTTTCACTACAAATATCTCACCCAACCAGTCAAAACCCACAAACATCTCGTGGGGAAAAGCCGACTCAGTGCACCACTAACCTAGCCAACTCAGTGTGGGTCTCATTTCTGACACAGAAAGGAAAACCTCTAATAAAGCAAGCGGCAAAAAACCCAAAGCTCAAGCCCACTACCAAACCACACCCCAGCGACCCACCAAGGCCGGCAACTTTGTACAGAGAGGGCCCCTGGCCCGGAAATCTCAACGGGGATTGCCCCCAGCTGGGTGCTATGTTCTGTGGGAGAGAGTCTAGCCCCAGGCCCGGAACTCTGTAGGGGGGGGGGGGGGGAAATTGCCGGATGAGATACCACAAACCACCACCACAGCTCCCAAGCTGGTTTCGCACTAGCCTCGACTGACAAATGAATTCAGGTGAGACATTCGCATCAATTCAACTGGGGCGAGGGTTTAGGTTTAGGGTTTAGGGTTTAGTCGCTCACTCTCCAACAAGGCAGGCAAGGTTCGTTGGTCCGTGTAGGTGCTAAGACAACTAAGGCAGGCCTTGTCAAATGCAGTCGCGTGGGCCCATGGGTTTAGGGTTTAGGGTTAAGGTTTAGGGTTTCGCCACCCGAACTGCACACACCATCAGGCGCCCACTCCGCAGGGTCGAGTCGAGGTTACCGGGACCGGATGCGCTGCGTTAAGGTTTAGGGTTTAGGGTTAAGGTTTAAGGCTTAGGAGGGGGGGGGGGGCCTGAATCCCAGAGCTGAAGATGCCTTTGACCTCAAGATGCCTCTGCCCCCATGCTTTGGCGCAGGCGCCTCGAGGAAAGCCAGCATGGCCGACCAAGTGACGGCGTGCAGAGGAGCACCACCAAGCTTCAAGGAGCCCGCGACTTCCACCTAGCAAAGGCCTTATTTTTACCCTAAACCCTAAACCCTAAACCCTAAACCCTAAACCCTAAACCCTAATCCGAAACCCTAAACCCTAATCGGGTCAACCAAGACTCCGAAGCAAAAACCGTCAGAAGCAAGAACGGAACGGAACACATGGGGAACATAGCTGCTTCAGCGCGGGCAAGATTCGGCATGCCCAAGGTATCTTCTGCTGTTCCTCACGTTCCAAGGATGTTGAGCAGACGCAGCATGGGTACACCATATGCTACGGTAGCAGCTTAGCGTCGACTTGAGCACTGACACCCGTGCGGTTTGAAAGTTTGGTATCTCGAAAAATGGTACGTAAGAATGACCGGCAATGCTTGTCCATGCTATGTAGCTTATGAAGTGCAGTGTCGGGGACACGTAAACCAATCAGCCAATGCGATAGTTACGTTCTCGTCCAGTGCCTACGTGACGTGTAGTTACGCCGTCAGCCTGAAAACATTTCAAGCGAGCGGCACCACAGTATGGGGGTCAAGGCGAGAGATGACGTAAGCACCAAGATCGTGTTTCCAGTTCCCTGAAATGTCCAGCAAGTCTGGCGTAAAGTCGTCCAAATCTATTCCCCAGACCTCTGCAGACTCATGCTCCCTGGCATGTTCCATGCCGGAGAGCAAGTCAATCAATCCGTTCATACCCACTCGGGGCAACCACTCTTCAATGACATGGCATAAATTCCTTAGTTGTCCAGTAACCTGGGGGAATTAAAGGTTAACCTTCGAGATTTTAATGGATACAGGGATTAGAATACCCCAAAAAAGTTAAAGGTTACCTACTCTACTACTAAGATTCTCATGCACATCCTCTGGCTGGCCCTGCTGCAACATGTCCACCAGATCTGCCATCGATTGGTGGGCGACGGTGGTGTTAGGATCCACCCACAGCCGATTGTTCGCCGAAGGTGCCAGGGACCCATCGTGGCCCGATGTGCCCCTATAGAACCGGCCCCAGTTGCAGAGTGCATGGCGCATGTTGCGAGGACACCCTGGCTGTTGAAACAATCTCATCAGCGCAAGCCAGGTTACAGGAGCCAAGGGTGCGACCCAGCAGATACAGAACAGCAAGAAGCCAAGCAGTGTCATGCTGACTGCCCACCGCAAACGTCGCCCGCAGAATGGTGCCTTGGAGAGCTCTCCGCCAGCAATCCTTGCAACGACCGGCAGCAGTGACAGATCATAAGACCAAGAAAACTGTGGGGCCCTCTTAGCTCAGAATTAATGAGGAATGGTTCGCAAAAAGTATGGCCTTCCTCCGTACAACGCTTCGGGTCCAGCCAAAAGCACCCTACTGCACCTTCCCGCACCGGGTTGAGCGACCAAACTCTCTGTTGGTGCCCAATGTTTTCACCTAACCATCCACCTCCACGCATATGCCTACTGAAAGGACTTTCCAATCCCATGTGTTGCCAATCATATGGCATGCCAGCAAACCTCCGAATGTTCAGCAGGAGTGCATGGCATAAAGGACATCATAAAGAAAGCTCAAGAGTCTGTGTTGTGGCTGGAGTCACGAAGCCTTTTGGCAGCATCGGAATTTCCTGGTTCTCATCCTCTGCGTCCTTTTGGTCGGGCGGGAGCTTGTGCGGCTGCACAGGCATGCCGGCATGGCCCGGCCTTGGCAAAGTGCAAGTGGGGTTTCGCTGCATTGGAGAAGACTGTTGCACCGAGTCCTAGCATCACTTCTTCTTGTCAGTGCTGGGTCTAAACACGGGGGGGGTTTACGATAATAAGGGGCCCCTAAGATAGAACCCCAAATAGTAGGATCCCCTTATAATGAGGACCCCAATAAGGTACCCCGGTACCCCTACATAGCGCGCTTTGCATTTGCCGGCCTCTCGTCTATCTACACCCAACAAGTGGAGTTCTTGAACCTTCACAAGTGTCACCATTCCTCAGGACTCAGGACGAGTGGCAGACCCTCCATTACAGGGATCTCATTGCTTCGCTGCGGGGCTGAAGCTTTATAAGCTCTCAAAGCCCAGTGCGCGTCTCATTCGAGTCATTGGGCTAAGGTTTGGTCTAAGCTTGATTGTCTACTTGTGGACTTTTGTGGACAAGCGAGCCAAGCATCATGAGAATGCATCAATGACACGCTGGCAACGACGACAACAGCAAGAAGCAGTCCCCATGTGCAGGGGTGGTGACTTTTTATGCATGAGGGTGCGTGGCGTCGGGCTCCTGACACGAGGCACACCCTGTTTTCCTCCCAAAGCAGAAGTCCTGTCAGCCCCATCTTTTGCAAAACTACTGCATGCTTGTCATGCTGTGGGGAACATGAACTGCGCCTCCTTGTTGGTGAGCTTCTTGTAGACGGCTGCGAAGGCAGGCAGCTTGCTCTCGATGTTTTCCTTGTCCTTGTCCTTGGGGTCAAGGAGCACCTTCATCAGCTTGCTGCCATCCACCGAGATGCGCGTGCGCTTGCCCACAATCTCCGTGGGTCCCACTAGATCTTCCAAGATGGACTCGTGCACTGCGGTGAGTGTGCGGCTACGAGGCCTCACCTTCAGGCCCTTGCGTCGGAAGTTCTTGTCCAGGATGGTGCGGTTGGCCACGAGGACGACGTGCTTTCTAGTGAACTTCTTCTCCAACTCTCTGATCAGGCGGCCCTGGATCTTCTTCACTGTCTTCCACACTCGGAAAGGAAAGTGCACCACCATGGCCACACCATGCTTGACCTCAACATCCTTGGCGCCACTGATGTAGACATCCTTGAGGTCAGCCTTGATGTCACAAGAAGGAGACACCTCAATGTCGAAGAGCGCCTTTGCCACCTCCTGGTCAAGCTCCGTGGGGGCAGCGCCCTTCTCCTTCACCAGCTTCTTGCGCGTGTTAAGCATGCTCGAGAGGCCGATCCCTCCCTACCGGGGCTGATGTCTTGAACTGTCCGCTGTTGCGCAAGCCAGGACAACACACATGCGCGGGTTGAAGGGACACAACTAACGGAGGTGGCTAGCTGACCCTCAACGCCATGTGCTACAATGTTACCACCAAAACTCCGCCAACATGATGGCGCTACTCAGCAAACAAACACCGGGTGAAGTCTGTAGATATGGGCTCTGGTCCAACACCAATCGAGTCCTAGCATCAAACCACACAAGCCACATGTCCGAAAGTCTTCTCTTCTATGCCGCTGCACTCCACTTTTGTTGTCAATGCCATCAGCGCGAGTAGAGAGAAAAGATGCATGTCAAAGCCTAGGCCGTGGGGAACATGAACTGCGCCTCCTTGTTGGTGAGCTTCTTGTAGACGGCTGCGAAGGCAGGCAGCTTGCTCTCGATGTTTTCCTTGTCCTTGTCCTTGGGGTCAAGGAGCACCTTCATCAGCTTGCTGCCATCCACCGAGATGCGCGTGCGCTTGCCCACAATCTCCGTGGGTCCCACTAGATCTTCCAAGATGGACTCGTGCACTGCGGTGAGTGTGCGGCTACGAGGCCTCACCTTCAGGCCCTTGCGTCGGAAGTTCTTGTCCAAGATGGTGCGGTTGGCCACGAGGACGACGTGCTTTCTAGTGAACTTCTTCTCCAACTCTCTGATCAGGCGGCCCTGGATCTTCTTCACTGTCTTCCACACTCGGAAAGGAAAGTGCACCACCATGGCCACACCATGCTTGACCTCAACATCCTTGGCGCCACTGATGTAGACATCCTTGAGGTCAGCCTTGATGTCACAAGAAGGAGACACCTCAATGTCGAAGAGCGCCTTTGCCACCTCCTGGTCAAGCTCCGTGGGGGCAGCGCCCTTCTCCTTCACCAGCTTCTTGCGCGTGTTAAGCATGCTCGAGAGGCCGATCCCTCCCTACCGGGGCTGATGTCTTGAACTGTCCGCTGTTGCGCAAGCCAGGACAACACACATGCGCGGGTTGAAGGGACACAACTAACGGAGGTGGCTAGCTGACCCTCAACGCCATGTGCTACAATGTTACCGCCAAAACTCCGCCAACATGATGGCGCTACTCAGCAAACAAACACCGGGTGAAGTCTGTAGATATGGGCTCTGGTCCAACACCAATCGAGTCCTAGCATCAAACCACACAAGCCACATGTCCGAAAGTCTTCTCTTCTATGCCGCTGCACTCCACTTTTGTTGTCAATGCCATCAGCGCGAGTAGAGAGAAAAGATGCATGTCAAAGCCTAGGCCGTGGGGAACATGAACTGCGCCTCCTTGTTGGTGAGCTTCTTGTAGACGGCTGCGAAGGCAGGCAGCTTGCTCTCGATGTTTTCCTTGTCCTTGTCCTTGGGGTCAAGGAGCACCTTCATCAGCTTGCTGCCATCCACCGAGATGCGCGTGCGCTTGCCCACAATCTCCGTGGGTCCCACTAGATCTTCCAAGATGGACTCGTGCACTGCGGTGAGTGTGCGGCTACGAGGCCTCACCTTCAGGCCCTTGCGTCGGAAGTTCTTGTCCAAGATGGTGCGGTTGGCCACGAGGACGACGTGCTTTCTAGTGAACTTCTTCTCCAACTCTCTGATCAGGCGGCCCTGGATCTTCTTCACTGTCTTCCACACTCGGAAAGGAAAGTGCACCACCATGGCCACACCATGCTTGACCTCAACATCCTTGGCGCCACTGATGTAGACATCCTTGAGGTCAGCCTTGATGTCACAAGAAGGAGACACCTCAATGTCGAAGAGCGCCTTTGCCACCTCCTGGTCAAGCTCCGTGGGGGCAGCGCCCTTCTCCTTCACCAGCTTCTTGCGCGTGTTAAGCATGCTCGAGAGGCCGATCCCTCCCTACAGGGGCTGATGTTTTGAACCGTCCGCTACGTCAACATTCATGCTCTCCAGTTTTGCAGAGCCAGGCAGCTCCAAGCCATCTGCAATGACCCGCAAGAACTGGGCTGCGAAGCAAATGGTCTAGCATGGTACAGACTGACATACCTTGACAAAGCAGAACGGATACCCATCCTAAGTACAGCTGTTTTGCCTAATCGGCATGCAGTTGCTCCCTGAAGAAGGCAGCTACCGTCCAGAACGCCTAGTGTGCCTCCTCACCCTGGACCGATAATTCTCACCGTCAAGCTGGATACCGGGCACCGCTTGTTTTCACATCACCGCTGTGACCAGATGCGTTCTGCGACGTTTTGCTTCTGCCTAATTAGGCCGTGGGGAACATGAACTGCGCCTCCTTGTTGGTGAGCTTCTTGTAGACGGCTGCGAAGGCAGGCAGCTTGCTCTCGATGTTTTCCTTGTCCTTGTCCTTGGGGTCAAGGAGCACCTTCATCAGCTTGCTGCCATCCACCGAGATGCGCGTGCGCTTGCCCACAATCTCCGTGGGTCCCACTAGATCTTCCAAGATGGACTCGTGCACTGCGGTGAGTGTGCGGCTACGAGGCCTCACCTTCAGGCCCTTGCGTCGGAAGTTCTTGTCCAAGATGGTGCGGTTGGCCACGAGGACGACGTGCTTTCTAGTGAACTTCTTCTCCAACTCTCTGATCAGGCGGCCCTGGATCTTCTTCACTGTCTTCCACACTCGGAAAGGAAAGTGCACCACCATGGCCACACCATGCTTGACCTCAACATCCTTGGCGCCACTGATGTAGACATCCTTGAGGTCAGCCTTGATGTCGCAAGAAGGAGACACCTCAATGTCGAAGAGCGCCTTTGCCACCTCCTGGTCAAGCTCCGTCGGGGCAGCGCCCTTCTCCTTCACCAGCTTCTTGCGTGTGTTCAACATGTCCCCTACTTTGATTTTGCCGCTCTTGAGCCTGGCCAACTGCCCGAGTGAAGCAGTGAAAACAGCAGGAGTTTCCAGAGCAAGATCTGCAAATGCACGATGTGCTCGTAGAGTGCCAGTTGACCACGATGATCCATGATGCAAGCTCGACCATCGTTTGGTTTACAGCCGGTTTAGTTACACCAAATCTCTTTGCTGGTGCTTCTCATCGAGTCTTTTGGCGGTCCATGTGCTTTCACGGACCACATTCCTGAAATGGACGCTACCGACGCTACCTGTCAATTTCAGTTTGGCTGGCCGCTTGCCTTGGGCATTTTCACGACACAGCTGCCATGGCTTCTCATAAGGACTGGACCAGAGGAAGATGCCAGGCAACCGTCATTCTCATTCATCCAAATCGCCCAGTGTTCCTGCAGCCGCAGACCACAATTGATCTCCGATAGGCCACAAGCGTGATTGCATCTCAAGGGTCCAAGCCAGTGTGATAAACGCTAGCCGCTAACAGTCGCGAAAGGTCCCCTGGCTCTTGCGAACCGTATCTTCCGACTTGCACACATCCTAAACTCCCGACCTGCCAAAGACAAACCTCCCAGCCTTCCAACTATTCCAAGCAACAGAGAGGAAGAGAGAGACAGAGAGAGGGAGAGTCAGCAATGCCATGGCGCTGAATTTACAAGCCGCAAGTCGCTTCTACTCTCACAATGCTCACGCTCTCTCACCAAACGCTAAGCCTGGGTTGAGAGGATCCACAAACCACTGCACATGCCGCACGTCAATCTCCGGGTGTTCATCCCCTGAGAGACGGCTGGATCGGAAGTCCACGTGCGGAGCACTTGCATTTCGAGGCAGGAGCCCTCGAAGACTCGGCTCCACCTGGCCAGGTTTTCCAAAGCTGAAGTTTCCCCCCCCCCCCCCCATCCCACCATAAGGAAAGGCCGTGTCCGACCCCAAATTTTGCCCCTCACCCAATCCTAAAACTCGGCCAGGGAGTCCTATCCAGCGCCTCCAGCTTGAAGATGGTTATCTGGATATACCTGGAGCAGAAAAAAAGGGGGGGGGGGGGCAGAGCAGTCACCACGAGCCGCGCCCTGGGAGCACCTGCCCTCCTCCTTGGACTCATCAATATACCACGTCGCATCATCCGAGTTGATGCGGTGTGCCAACTGACCTCGTTGGGGAGGTGAGATCGGACGCACGAGAGTCCCCCCCATCCTTAAGGGCACACCGAGGTCAGGGCCATGCAGCAACACGAGGGTCTCGCCGCCGACCTGACGGGGCGTGCGAGAAGAGCGGAGAGCATCCTAGGATTTTGGATCTTACATGTCTTTGTAAGGTCTCCGACAGCGAGGTCTACTTGAAGACGATGTGGCAAAGCTTTAAACCTGGGCAGGGACCATCAGGTGCGAGGATTCTGACGGAAAAGAGCTCAGGACTGTTGAGGTCGATTCTGTTGCTCCTGGCGCTCCTTGTCTCTCTCTTACCTTCTTCGAAAGCCATAGCAATGCGTGGCATTTCTCTCTTCTTCTGTTCACTATTCCTCGCTCTATCATTTCTTGCCATTTTTCTTCTTCATTACGATTCTCGATGAGTGCCGCACACGCAGCACGAACGGAATGTCAGCAGTCTGCACGACACTGAGGAATGTTACCGTCGCTTGGGGCCCCGGCTTTATATCTTTGCCTCGAACGCCCGTGCCGACAGGTATTCTGATGTGCACCTGCAGGTCGGGTTGGGGTTTCCGGGCTTCGGGTCTGGGGGGCCTTAAGAGCGGGGCTCAAGACTCTTAAAGCTTCGGGCTCTCACACAAGCAGCTGCAGGCAAAGCTTCAATGTGTTCAGCTACTTGGACCCTGTACTCTACACCAAAGTGAATCCGAAACGATGGAGGAAAAATTCTCTCCGCGCGACCCCACTCAGCTGCACGCTAGTAGTCATGCATGGTCACCCAACATGAAGCATCATTGTGCTCCTTGCCGGCCTCGTTCCTCGTCTGAAGCCATACGTACTCCTTCTTGTCGCTTCCTGGATTTCTGCCAGGTTCTCTACAGATCATATGTGTTGCAGCCGATCCTTCTGGGGGTGGGAACGTGGCAAAACCACAACATGCTCCCTTTCATCCCTGAGCCCTAAACCCTAAACACATGCCCCCAGCCTGTCTTTTCTCGTCCCGGACCAAGAGGGCCTGAGGGCATGGCGCTTCACGGCGAACAGCGCTATAGACAAAACAGCCAAGAGCCTGTGCACCCAAAGTCTTTGGATGGCTTTGCCATCGTACTGACGGGTGCCTGGTGCAGGGGACACTCGAGGTAAGGCATGTCGTCAGCGAGCTAGGCGATTGCGCCGATATGCGCCGATGATTGTACAGTAGCTGCTTCCAGCAAGCACGAAACTCCGCACCTCTCTGCTCCATGGACCCCGTCCCCAGTATGAGACGGCACCTCAGGAGCTGCACACAGCGGGCTGGCAAAGGGCCAACGCGGGTTTGTCTGAGCACGCAGCAAACCCGAAAAGTTATTCGAGTTGCAATTGGCCTCCCAGCGAAATCACGTGGCAGAAACATCAGCGCAGCTGACTGTCCGAGGCTCCGGACAGGCCGTCCACAACAGCCCTAAGTGACACATGAGAGCACATGCTATCCGGATCTATCCGCTGACCTTGCTAAGTCGGAGAGGATTCGAAAGTTTTGTCCTGTTGTGGGCAGAAGCATCGATTGCTCACTCAACATCTGAAGGCCACCTTTTACTCGAACTCCGGCAGCCATGCTGTGTGTATAGATGTGTGCTTAGTTGGAACTTTGCCATAGCAGCTTATTGTGCATCCTGCTGCTCAACTTGGTCATGTCGGGCAATGTCTCCGACTCCCAAAGCAATATCTTCTTGCCTACCCCCACACATCGGGGAGCCCCAACGCTCCTGCACTTTCTGCCTCGCCTGGTTAGCAGTTCGTGATGGTGAAGGTGGTGTGCTGATGAGTAACCCCCCAAAAAACTTGTACGGGAATAGTAGGGTGCGGTTCGGGACCACCTGAATCAAGTTTGGGGGGCCGGGGTCAAGGTTGCTGCCGGAGGGAGGGCCTGTTCGGTTTCGGTCGGTTTCGGCCCTTGTTCATGTACGCAAAGCCTTCAAGGCTTCAAGTGTTCAAGCTTCACAATTCGGTTTCAGAGCTTTCCGCTGCAGTATTGAAGGCCGGAGGCTTTAGGTTTCGGATCGTTGTTGGGCTGCAGCCTGGAAGCCGGAGGCTTTAAGTGTTGCACATCTTACAAGGGGGGGGGGCAAGAGCACTCTTACATGTCGCACAATTACAAACCACTTATTTTTACTGAGTTTCGGCAACATTCCGAACACTTTACTACTCAGAACTCAACATAGGCGTATGGTTGTCACAAAGCGATTGCTGTCAGTGTTGCGCAGCATGTCCCCAGCTCTGCTGTCGAAGAACGAAACAGGATCGAGTGCCGAGCTTGAACCGGTTGCCTTTCTTGGCATCCCCTGGCAAGTCTACCCAGGCGGCTGCTACTGCTTCCAGACCCACAAAGTAAAGAGATACGCACTGGTGCCAGCAACACCACTCATATCTACGAGATTCTCCTTCTGGTTGAACTCTCGCCTCAGGTCACAAGCACATGCAGCGGCCCTTATCCACAAAAGCCTTTCTGCAGACTCGCACTTCAGCATTTGCCCTTGGATCCTAATTCTGACACTCCTGCCACAGCAGGCATCGCCGCTTGCATCAACCCTATGACGGAAACTATCCGAAAGTCTGCTTCAGTGGTGCGAGGTGCTCAACCCAGCTGACGCCCTCTTTTCGGAAGGACACCACGTAAGTTTCCTGCTTAAGCGTTCAGACAAAAGAGCCATTTCTACTCAGTCTCCTTTGCTCTGCAATGACCACAGAAGTCAAAAAAAAAATGCCTCATGGAATGGATTCCACCCCTTCGTGGGTGAAAACTGCAAGGCCACCTGAGAGACAGGAACGACTTGTGATTCCGCTGCTGGGGTACACGTTGTTTACAGTCCTTCCCAAGTCTCTCACGTCATAGGTGCCTTCAGCGTTTAAGCTGATGCCCTGAGTTGAGATCACACAGGCGGTGCTGCACGCAACGCTCCCAGATCTTCCAAAACCCCTAATTCAGGAACATACCCCAGTTTATACTCAGGATCATTACGATGAATTAGGGCGATATTCCTTAGTTAAGCAGTATACCCTAATCTATACTCTGAATCAGGGTATAATCCATATACCTGGGGTTTCGGAGGATCTGGGCTGGCGCAATGTCGCAGGATCCGATGACCACTCTGTGCTGCTGAGGCTCGTGGGGTGCCTTCGGTACAGAGTGCAGCCCTTGGATGGCCAGGACAGCTAGGGTTTAGGGTTTAGGGTTTAGGGTTTAGGGTTTAGGGTTTAGGGTTTAGGGTTTAGGGTTTAGGGTTTAGGGCCCAAGCCCCAAATCCAGAATATCTCGCCTTTCTCAGCTCCAGGCTGCCTCGAAAAACCTTGCGTCCCAGCCAGACCACCAGGAGGGCAACCCTTGGCGAGGCCAGAAGTGGCAAATGTTTCAGTGGTGGTAAGGGCTCAGGGTTTATAGGGTTTAGGGTTCAGGGTTTAGGGTTTAGGGTTTAGGGTTTAGGGGTCCCGACTTGACGTGATTTTCTGCCGTGGCGTTTTGGCGGACATCAGCCCAACAAGCCGGAGCGCGAATCAGTGGCACTTTCTATGCAATTCTTAAGCTCTTAAACCACTCCACTGAGCAATCGACGGTCCTTGCATCGACAGCCTATCAGGCACTGTGAGACATCTGGCAAGGTCTCCGAAAACGGGCAGTAAGCAAGTTGAGTTGCTGAGCATACGTGCTGCAACGTCTTACCAGTACACAGCTGATCTATACGGCCAGTAAGACTCTGGCTCCACCATCCTCGACAGAAACCGAAGCAACCTGCAAGTTGCGATCTGGGTCATCATGGAGTTGCAAGGTACATCACATGCTTCAAGATGCATACTTTGCCCAAAAAATGGCACAGGAATTCGAAGTAGGCTCTTACAACATCACGGAAGCTCCGCAGCTTTTCTTGCGGCCGAGGAACTTGTTTCGCGCAGTCCGCACCAGCTTGGACTTCGACAGCACGCGCTTTGGCAACACCCTGGGTTTAAGGTTTAGGGTTGAGGGGGCTACAAGTGGTAAAGCCGCCCGCACCAGCGCACACGCTCGCACGCAAGTTGCCGGGGCTGGAGCAACAGGAGAAGACTGAACACGATCATCGCCAGCATGGTGTCAAACATGAGCACCAATATTAGCGGGACCTGGGAGGGACGAAAGATTTTCGAAAGCTTCTACTCATCCTGGCTCCCTACGATGGCCGCATCTCTGAGGATCGAGCCCCGGGTGGTCCCAGCATGAATTTTAGTATCCTGAGGAAGGATAATTCTGCCATGGTCCCACTGCTCTCCCTTGTGGAGAGCTTCCGGTCCACCGACTCGGCTTGAAAGGGGCTGCGCAAAGAAACTTGACGGTCCTATTTTCTATAGCCCGGAGTCCTGATACCTGACTCGAAGAAGGGCCTGATGAATTGAGGACAAGGCCTGTTCAACGATCTGCTGCACCATGTCGCACTGGCTGCATAATTTGTGCACCGGCTCTCGCATGGTCTGTACAAGGAGGGGCCCCTAAATTATAACTTAAATTAACTGAGCTACAAGTACAACGCAATTTATCGGCCTACAACATAAGTTGCGCAAGTTGACTTCTAGCTTGCATAACTTAAGTGGAGCATGTTTTCTTCAGATCAGGGCATGCCTCGACACATGCGTGTCGATGATTTGTTTCAGGGAAGTGAGCCCCATACCTTTTTGCTGCATGGTTTTTCGTGCCGGTACCGATGTGTTTCTGGCGAGCTCCGAACCCGATACCCTGGTGTCGCTAGCTCTTTCCCGCGAATGTCCCTTGAAATGTCTAAGAGGTTTTTCCTAGATGGAGGTTTGCTGAGGAGACCGGGCTTTGAGCTGAGGCCTTAACTGTTCTCTTACACGATCTGCTTCGAGATCCCAGCCACTGAAGCCGCATTCTTCAATAAAACCTTTAAAATGTATTTTTCTTATAGGGTGTTCATATGTGTGCAGGCAATGTTTCTCTAAGCTATCACACAAGAAACCGTTGTTGGCTAACTTATGAACAAATTACATAACCAAGCCAAACTTCATAGCTAAATTGTAAGCTGAACACCAGCTACACAAGTCATAAGACAACTTATCGAACCTACATGACTTGCCAAACTTGTACAGTGTCTCTGGACATAATTTGAGCTTAGGGTCCCCTCCTTGAAATGCTGACATATGTCATTACGAACGCCGCACCGCCTGTCTGAATGTGGCCAAGGTCACAATAGATCAGCACATGATGGAGTGTCCTACCGGTTGTGTGAGTTTCGCCACGTTTCGGAACCTCATGGATACGAGAATCTGTGCCTCTTCGGCATTGTGCAAGGACTTGCAAGGCATGGGGCCACAGACATGGCAGTGATGGGCAGTGGCTCTTGCAGTGGCAAGATGCGAAGATAAGCGAAAATTGTTGAGGGCTGTTGCCACATTATAAACGTATCAGCAGCCTGCAGTTCTGCAGCGGCATCCGGGAATTCTGGGGCCACGTCACCCACAAATGAGCAGCAGGGCCGGGTTCGCACACTCAGGCTTTTGCCAAGCGGCGACCTTTGGCCAACCCTCATACTAAAGCCGATGAATAAGACCTACACCCAGACCACAAAACATACAGGAATGTGCTCACTTCGCCTGTGAAGGCTTGCGCAGGGAAGAGCGTCCTGAGGTGCAAACTCTCCCAATGCAAGCAGCCCACGTGAGGTATCGCATGTGAACATGTGAGCCAGGGCGGGGTCCATACAACAGGTTGCCCGCAGCGACCTGATGCGAAGGTAAGGTTGAGCTGGCAATGGGCAGAGTTGGGGACAACCAATGCAACTGCCACCTCGACCAACTGCCCAAGCTGACCCCTCCCCCCCCTTCCCGACTTACGCCGTCTTACTTTGACATGGTGGCCAGAGAGAGGGGCGCGAGATTCTTCCTCGTTTGCTCATGCTTCCCGATCCTCGCTTCGTAATGCTTTTGCAAGCTATGCCAGATCCAACTTACATTCCTGCCTCCGTTAAAGCCCATATACATCTCTTCATTTTAACATTCGCAAAGCCAGGCGGGCCGGACCAGAGAGCAGGCGGATTCTGCATGATGAATTCGAGTTTTTGAAAGTACATGCATTGACGGTAGGCCATCGCAAAAAAAAAACACACACACACACACACACACACACATGCACTGGGCTTCCTGCCAAGACAAGGCTCAGGGCAAAGGTCCAACGAAATTGCTGCGGCCTTGGACACTGGGCAGCTCGTATTGCGTGGCATCTCACCCGTGTATTGCGACAGCAGATGAAAGAGCCAGGCCTCAGCAAGGGCAGCGGGCAGCAAAAGACCAACGCCTTAGTACCAAGGAAACCCTAAACCCTAAACCCTAAACCCTAAACCCTAAACCCCAAACCCAATATACTTGCTGGGCACACAGCACCATGCAGCTTTGACCCATGAAGCTGAGCCGGCTCGCACTCAGTGGAAGTGCTGCGACCTGGGCTTTAGACAGCTTCAGCACAGGTGACTCAAAAGCTTGCGGCTACCAGGAACCTAAAGAGCCCAATGTTGCTTAATTAAGGATTATACCTTAAATCATATGAAGGTTAAGCAATATAGGACTCTTTGGGAACAACGGCCTTGTTTCACACCTCCTGCCATCTCAGGTGCTGGCGTTTGCCAACACCACGGTCGCGGCTGAAGCCCTTCGGACCAATCGCAGGGCCGATACACTGAATATGATGTTGCACCTGAGTTCCAAAGTCCAGACGTAACGAATGTTGCTGCGACCGTGTGCAAGACTTCACATCGCATGCTTAAACATCTGGATCGGTACAAGGATTCAACATTCATTGCCATGCAAAGCAAACCTTTTGATCTGCTGTGGCCGGGCCTGATCTGCAAGGAGGTGTACGAAGCTTCTAAGCCAAAAGATCAAGATGGCACGCCCTCACCCCTTTTCCTGTTCTGCACTTTCTGCAGCCATCATGATTTTGCCTGGCACCGTGGCACTTTTTCCTCCACAACTGCCATTGCCAAGGCGGGTTCGCTGTGCGTTTACATGGCTGAGCATGACAACATGCTGAGGCTCCTGCACCCAGTATGTCAGTGCAATCCTGGCGACACACATGCCAGCATCCCATCGTGCCGTGGAAATAGGGTGGACATCAGCATGTTCCGGAAAGACAAAATTGACATCACGGGGCGGGGCCCCCCGAGTATCTAAATGAAGTAGTGGCATAATTCAATGATAATTGACTCTGGTGGCGTCAGTGGATTTGCTAGACATAGCTCTTAGCCTTAAACCCTATACCTTTTAAAAGCGCAGAAGGGTGCTGTTCCCTTGCTTCCTGCGCCGCCTGCCTTACAAGCATCCCTCTCGATGGTTGGTCGTGAGTCCACACCATTTTGTAGCGATTGCTACAGCGAAGTGTGCTTGTCAGAGGCTCGGATTCAGCATCAGCGGCGCACCAGGCAGAGCCACCATGCAACTTGCCATGGCATGCCGTGGGAACATGACTCGGTGCCTATGCTGAGTGCCGGGCCATGGCACCGAAGGAAGCTCGCCCCCCGTCAAGGCATCCAGCCCTTCCTTGGAAGCGACTCGTGCTGCAAATGCGGCCCACGTGCCACAGCTCCGTCCAGGCGATAGACATGTAGGAATGTGTAAGAATAGCATATAGCTTACAACAGCATACATGAAGCCATGGGCCCGGCCTTCACCCCGCCGCCCTTAAACAACAAGCGCAGCCCCGCGAACCGACAGGCAACATGCCAACATGGAAACATGCTTTTCAGGAAGCTCGCCAGTGAAGGCAGAGCGCAAAGACGAAGAATGTCTTCATTGACTAACATGTTTGCGTCTACATGGATGCAACTTTCCCCGACCATCCATGACCCGGCGACGACCGGGACGATATTGACCACTGCTTGTGCGCACGCAGTGGGCAGTGCTTGTTCCAGGAAGTTGCAGCCAACGGCAGAAGAGTCTAGATAGACTACCTAGTCGTGCCCATATCGCAGGCGTAGCAGGCGCAGCCAGAAAGTAGTTGTACTAAGGACAGTGGTAGTCGCAGTCGTAGTCGTGGGGTGTCGTCATTGTCGTCAACGTCTGGTCGTTGTCGCCGCCCTTGTAGCGGTAGTAGAATTGGAGGAGGAGAAGCGGCAATGACTTGCACACACCTTCTTGGAACCCTAAACCCTAAACCCTAAATCCTAAACCCTAAACCCTTAACTCCAAGCCCTGCAGGAAAATGTCTGAGGATCCTGGCCAAAAGCACGTCAGGATGGACGTGACCAGGAAAGGCCAAGGGAAACACAAGCAACTGCACCTGAGTCTAGCTTCCCCAAGCTTTCCCTGAAAGCTGCTAGCAACTTGTTGCTTCCGACGGCTCTTGGCAACACTCCGGCACATAATATCTACCCGATAAAAACAAAATGGCGATACACAGCCTTCAATCTGTCTGCTGCTGCGCTGTGATTGAGCACTGGTGGATCTGACGTCCGTTCTAGTTACATGTGGGTGATAATTAAGAAGCTGGAAACAAGCATGTCCAAAAGCATGCAGTCACAGAAATGGGATGCACGCCCAGTGTGGCTTACAGAGTGTCACCACAGCAGAAGCCGGTTCCAGCTTTACTCCACTCCAATCCTCTTCAAGGGGGGTGTCGCTTCGGTTGCAGCGCATATCCCCGGGGAGACAGCTCTTGGAAGAAGGCTTGAACCCTGAGGTCATGGCCATCAGTTGCACTGCAGCCCCGACAGCAGAAACAAGAAGGATTTGCGGCTCCTGCGAAGCAGCATGCAGGAATACAGGGCGTTTCAGCTTACGTCGTTCTTGAATCTTGGCAAGGCGTCAATCCGTCCCCATGCCCCTGTGTCAGCTGCATTCCGGTCAACTCTTTGTCCAGGCGCAGCACCCCTGTAGGGCAGTCTCTTGGCTGCAAAGAATCCATCAGAGAGTGAAACCAGCACATTTTTGCTGAGAAGATCCCATCAGCCACGTGCGTTCACAGCTCATCATCTTCCTCATCGTGGTCTCCACCGCCCTCCTCGTCCTCGCAGACCTCATGCTCTCCCAGGAACTAGAATTACATTCGGCATGGAAAATACTGTACTGGCTGAGGTGCTCTTGCATCACGCAAGGACCGAAGGCGTGCAAATAACAGAAGACGCATCGACTAGATCTCGAACTGAAAACTGCGCGTGCTGGAGATAAAAGAACAAACTCGTAGGACACAGGCATGTCTTGAAATTGCATCCCTGCTCCTGGGACTTGTAGGTTGGATTGCTAACTTGGCAATTAGTGCATTAGCCCGCTCTGACTGTTGAACCTAGACTAGAGGCTCCACCTTTAAGTCCGCCATGCTGTTTTTGCTATCGCGGCTGCTTTAAGGGTCTTCTTTGAGTCAAACTTTCCAGAAAGAGGTTCTTAGTGTTCTCCCGTGAAGTAATAAGTATTCGTCTCTTCATCCCTTTCCAACCGAGGGTGGGGAAGACCGATAAAACACCCTTTCCCTTCGACCATTCAGGCTTCGACTGTTCAAGGGGGAAGATCACATTAAAGACGGTGCAACAGTAAATTGGGGAAATGGAACAAAGCAGTTAACTGTCGCCGACAACCCATCTCTTCGGGCTTGCCACCAATCACTCACCTCTAGGTTTGGGGTTGGGCTTGTCAGGGTATGACATGCAGTCGACGGACAAATCGGAAACCCGGCTGTCCGGGCACGATTGCCTCCCCGCCCCTCCCCCCCACCACCCCAGCTTCTGATGTGCAATTCATGGTTTCGCAGTTTCTGATTCCGGACAGATTGCGATTTCGCAGGCTGGCTTCTGATTTTAAACTGATCATGATATGCTTCCATGTATGATTTCTCATCACGATTCCACAAGCTGTTTGCTTCCTGGCTCTTCCTTTCGTGGTTCCTGCTGCAGCGCTTGCTCTTGGCACCTTATGTCTCCAGCCCGAGAGCACACCGTGATTGAGGGCCCTTTGGGCATTTAGTGCTTAGCGTTATTGGCAATCAGGCCGCCCATGCCCAAGTAGCCGCTGTAGAACCATTTTCAGCTCGAACAAAACGAGAGACCCCAGTGCAGTACGACCATACCTGATAAGGTCCCGCAACTCGAAAACCCTTTTTTTGGGTGGGGGAAGGGGAAGGAGGGAGTTGACCCTCAATCCTAAACTAAAACCCCCATACTTGACCCATCTCGTATCTTGCAACTGAAACGCGCTGGCCATTTTGGGCCCGCAGATCAGCACCCCGAAGTCGACATCGGAGGCTCGACCACCTCTTGGCGTTGAAAGCACCTGGGGCACCCCCCAGATGATGTTTGAAGTTTCGGGTCCCTGCGTGTCTCTGTGTGTGTGTGTGTCTCTACGCGTCACCCCGAAGTCGACATCGGAGGCTCGACCACCTCTTGGCGTTGAAAGCACCTGGGGCACCCCCCAGATGATGTTTGAAGTTTCGGGTCCCTGCGTGTCTCTGTGTGTGTGTGTCTCTACGCGTCTCTGTGTGTCGCTCCGTCTGTGTCTCTCCATCTTGCCTCTCTCTTCTTCTTCTTCTCCACGCTCTCTCTCTCTGTCTCTCTCTGTCTCTGTCTGTCTCACTTTCTGTCTGTCAGCATGCGCACGTGCCTGTGTCTGTGTGCGCGTCTGCTTCTGCGTGTGCGGTTTCTTTCGAGTGACGGGAAAGCTGCATTCTGAACTCAGCTGTTGCAAGTTTCACCTCAAAATTGCTCCAGGATGGCCCCCAAAAGAGTCTCCAAACATGTGATGCTCTCAAGCTCTGATCAGACTCTGATCTTTGTAATCGATAAAAGGTTGAACCTTCGGAGCCCGCCTTCTGCAAGAGGCTCTCTTTCCATTCTTTTTGCAGCAGATGTCTGCATCCACTTAGCACATCTGCCTGCACTATGCTGAACTGAAGGTATTCCCAGGAACGACCCTATCTACCTAAATACCAAACTACCTCATGCATTTCCCAGACCCTCGCGCGCATCGCGCGCGACGTCGCAAGTGTGGGCCTTGATCTCGGGGCTCATGGCTTTCACATTGACTCGCCCGTGCGCGCTGCCCAGGGCTTCTTGAAAGTCAACGTAGAACTGCTTCCCTTCCTTCTCTACCTGCACGGATCTGCACGCCAATGCGCGTGTTGACGAATTGGTGTTTCGCCTCGTTCAAACCTAACTATACTCCCCTTAGAACCTTAACAAACACGTAATTTGTTTATATCCCCTTGGGTTGTATATAAATAAGAGCATTAATTCCTAAGTAGGGCTACTTAAAAGTCCAGAGGCTTTGTGCTGGTCAAGCTGCCACTGCCAGCTGCTGAGGGAACTGCCCTTCTTCACAGGCCATGCTTAGCCCGCGCTGGAAGGCTGTCCTTTTCTCTGCTTCCGGCATCTTTCCTGCACCAGATAAAGTGAGGCTCTGGCCACATGTGCCCCACTTGCCGGGTTATACACACGCAAATATTTTGCAAAGCCTTGGCAGACATGTGTGCGGCAGCTGTGAGAGTTTGCGTGGGCTGAGCACCATGTTCTTGAAAGCGTGGTCACATCAAATAGCACAAAGCACGCCCAGCCCGTGTGCCTTTAATCTTGCTTGCAACTTTGCTCTGAAATCCTTGCAGCCCACAGTTTGGCTTGACAAGCTTCGAGGTGTGGCTTCAAGCGCTCTCGGACTTTCAGATGTGCACAGGGCTTGCAGGCCAAGCCGCGTTTTGCGGCCATCCGGCCTCAGGCGATTCACGCGATGCCACGAATCTCGTTTTTGCGACTTCTTCCGGCTATATATATATATACATATATATATATATGCTTTATTATATATATATATATATCTGCTTATACATTTATGTATATTATATATATATATATATATATAGCTTTCAGCCGCTGGCATGCGGAGCAGGCCAGGTCTTGGCCCCGCCGTCGCAGCGGATCACCATCCTCGCAGAACGCCCGCGCTATGCAAGAAGTGTCAAAATAATGGTTTAGGGTTTAGGGTTTAGGGTTCAGGGTTTAGGGTTTCGGGTTTCAGGGTTTAGGGGAAAGTCAGGGAAGCAGGGCAAATGCAGCTCGGCAAGCCAGACTTCTAACAAGCCCCCGCCGCAGTTCTAGCAAGTTTCAGTCGAAGCAAGGTTCGCCACCCCCCAAGGGAAGCTGCAGCAGTAACAGGTTATTCCTTCCTCCTACCTGTGAGACGGGGTTGTGCATCCTACAGATGATTATCATGATGACCATGCAACCGAAGGAATTGGCATGGGTGACTGGTCTGGGGGGGTACACACACCCCTTCTCGTGGGCTGTCGCCAGTCAACAAGTAACTAAGGGGTGGACCTCGCTGAAAGTCAGCTTGTACCTCGGCTCCGCATATCAGATGCTGAAAAAAGAACTCTGGCAAGAGCCAGAAAACCCTGCAGGACCTCCTCCCCCCCACAAACAGGATATATATATATATATGTATAAGCATCAAAAATCAATATCATATATATATATATATATATTATGTCTTGCAACTGTTTTTGTGTATACATATATAGCTATGAAAGTTATGAAGCTTGGCCGAGGGACTTCTTCAACAGCCTTTCCGCCTCCTCGCGCTCCAGGGCTTCGGACCCAGGCCCGAGCGCTCCTTCCTTCCGTGGGGTCCTTCAGCTGCACGCGGGTTCATAGGGTTTAGGGTTTTTTTTTTCCACCCTCCTAGCTGACACTGTGGCCACATTGCAGGGACTAGTTCCGGGAAAGTTGTGCGTTCGGAGAAGAAATGCCTTGAAAGCCGGCATACACATCTGAGGAAATATGATGGGGATCTTACAAAACAGGGGAGAAAAAGGTTTAGGGTTTAGGGTTTAGGGTTTCGGGTTTAGGGGCGGGTTTAGGGTTCAGGGTTCATAGGGTGCATAGGGTTCATAGGGTTTATAGGCTTTGAAGGGTTTATGGGTCGGACTGTTCCCCCTTATACTAACAGCCCTTCATAGGGATTCTAATGAAGGGTACAAGAATCCCTATTAAGGACTGTTTGTTAGTATGAGGGGGAACATCCCAACTTATAGGGTTTACAGGGCTTGTCGGGCTTGTGTGGGTTCATGGGTTTAATAGGTTTAGGGTGACTACGCCAAAGAAATTATCAGGGTCATTCAGATACAGAACCCAACCCAACCTCTGCAAGTTGTCGGGGAAACCCTAATTAACCCCTAAACCCTAAACCCTAAAGGTCTGTGATTGCGAACGGTTGTCCGCGGCCGCAAGTGGAGTACGGACAAAGAAACCCGAAAAGTCGAAAAGTCGAAAAGTGGATTTGGAAAAGAGCTTCACGCGAAAAGTCCGAAAAGTTCCGAAAAGTCAAAAAGTCCCGAAAAGTCTCGAAAAGTCAAAAAGTCCCGAAAAGGCGAAAAGTCGACAAGTGGAAAAGCCAAAAAATGGAAGCGCGTAAAAGTCGGTAAAGCCCAGAGAAGTCGAGAACTTGCGAGAAGCGTCTGAAAGTCGAAACGTGAACGCGGGGGGGAGGGGGTGGACTGGATGCCTAAAGCGAGCAGCATGCAGCGGCTTGTGGTTGAGGATATAAGAAGAAGACTTGTCTGCTTTATGGGGTTGAGGACTGGGGCTTGAAAGTGTCAGGTCGTAAGGTTGAAAGCCTATAGGGTCGAGCGTGACGTTTTGGTTAGTGGTTCGTTGAAGAGGCTGTTGCATGCGCTGGGGAATCGCGATGTTCCTTGGCTGGAGCAACTTCCTTTTTTGGTTTTTCTGGTGTGTGAGGTCTTGGTTCGTGGTGCGTAGGAGTACCGTTTTGGGTCTAATCCGTGTCACCTTGGACCCAAACGGTACTCCCAGTCTCTTCAACGAACCACTAACCAAAACGTCACGCTCGACCCTATAGGCTTTCAACCTTACGACCTGACACTTTCAAGCCCCAGTCCTCAACCCCATAAAGCAGACAAGTCTTCTTCTTATATCCTCAACCACAAGCCGCTGCATGCTGCTCGCTTTAGGCATCCAGTCCACCCCCTCCCCCCCGCGTTCACGTTTCGACTTTCAGATGCTTCTCGCAAGTTCTCGACTTATCTGGGCTTTGCCGACTTTTACGCGTTTGCATGTTTTTGGCTTTTCCACTTTTCGACTTTTCGCCTTTTCGGGACTTTTCGGGACTTTTCGGGACTTTTCGACTTTTCGGAACTTTTCGGACTTTTCGCGTGAAGCTCTTGTCCAAATCCACTTTTTGACTTTTCGACTTTTCGTTTTTTTGTTGGGGGGGGGGGGAGTCCGAAAAGTCGAAAACCCGAAAAGTCCCGAAAAGTCGAAAAGTCAAAAAGCCGAAGACTTTTTGACTTTTCGATTTTGTTTTTTGAATCTCTGCTTGATTGAAAGAACGGGGGCTTGCGTGCTTAGAAACCCTGAACCCTAAACCCTAATTAAACCCTAAACTCGTTGTCTTGCCCGCTGCACGGCATTTTGATGCGATTCCGGTGCCAAAGAGTGCCGCGATGCTCTCAAAGGATGGCACGGCTTCAATGTAATCCCCTCCCAGGAGTAGCAAACCCCTCTATAGCCTCCCCGTATAACTACATCATATACCGATGCACTGCAATATGTTTTTATGATGGGGGGGGGGGGGGGGTACTTAATATTAGGAGGGTAGGGGGGGGAGGGTGTCCTATTATTTGCATGTTGAGTTGTCCGTGTGGCGCCCTCAGACACTGAGGGGTGCCATCTTCTCGTGCTTGCACCGGGCCCCCACGGCAACAATCCTTTCAAAGATTCAAAGACACCTCTGAATAGCACGAAGCACTCCACGCCAGCAGCCCCCAGGAGGTAGGCGCTGCTCAGCCAGCACACGGCGGCTGCGCGCATATCGGGCTTGGGGAGAAAAGCTTGTTTTTTTGGCTTAGGGCTTAGGGCAGTTTATGAGACTTGGGAGTTCAATGCCGTCTGATTTTGGCTGTTTTCATGAGCAGCAGTAAGACACAAAATGGTGAGTTCTTCAGTGGTGGGCCTCAGCAGGCAATGCAAGTTGCTACTCGTGTGCACTCTGTTTCGCGTTGGCTTGAGCCGTCATGGCAGTTGACACGAGCATCCCTAGACAAAAAGCAGACTGATGACGTGAATTTGCTCATCCTGTGCATGCAGACTTGTGTCGCAAGTGCTACATGAAGTCCAATTGCTACTCAGCATCCCTTATTCAGCTGCAAGATGCAGCACCCGCACCTCCACGCCTGTCGCCGCAGTCCGCCGAGTGTTTTGAAAGATCCGGTCCTGCAAGCATCCGTCGAGCAGAGTATCCTGGATGCAAATTTATGAGCTCTCCATGTCGCCTTCTTCTTCGCCTTCTTCTTCTTCTTGTTGTTCTTCTTCTTCCTCCCTCTCTCTCTGTCTCGCTCGTCGCTCGCCGAGAATGACATTGATGCAAGCGAGTCGTTGCGGAGATCGATTCTGAAACTGAAGCAGGAGCAGGAGCAAGTGATGGACTTAAACAGAAAGGACTCCAAGCATTGATGCAGGAGATGCAGGCAAGCTCGTCCTTGAGGGTCACAGCCAAGGCGAGCAAGGCATAAGCCCCTCCAAGTGGAGTTCAGCTCGCTGCTGGCAAAACTATCTTGGGGGGGCGTGATTGACTCATACTGGGCGCCATGCCAGCGCACTGCAGCACATCCTGAAAGGCCAACTGCTTGACCCAATTCGGCTCTACCAGTACTTCATAAATCCTCTCAAAAGCTGAGGCTGCCGCATGCATTGCCACCTGGTGGTTCCAAAGGGATCCTCACATGCGTGCAGCTTTAAAAACAAGTCAAAGAGTCCAGGAATGGTACCTCTTTTTTTGAAGCTCGACTTGCTGACTGCCAGACACCCGCCTATCCTCGCCTTCTTGAAGAGAAGCAAGGGGCTCATGGAATGGTACCCTAAACCCTAACCCTAAACCATCAACCCTAATACATGCCAGGCACCTGCAGGTAAGCCGACAGCCACGAGAACGCCCAGAAGAACCGTTGCGACCTGAAGCTGTCTCGCAACCCTTCCTTGCCTACCTGAAGCTTGAAATTCTGTGCGTTTATATAACTCGAGTCACTTCTCTGGTCTATGGGCCCTGGGCAAAAAGTTGAGCTAGGGGAAGCAACTGCTTTCCAGCCACAAGCCTTGTGTCTTACCTACTCAGTCGCGTCTTCCTACCTGACCCCCCAAGCATCAACATCATTTTTGGGATGCTCCCCCTTATACTAACAGCCCTTAATCGGAACTTTACAGTACCCCCTATACTATCATCCTTCTTACGGACTGTTAGTCTAAGGGGGAGCATCCCAAATCATTTGCCGAGGTATCGTTCCGAGGCCAGCACGCCTAGGAGCTGAACAGGGGCGTAGCGGCGGCCAAGCAGAAATACCTCGTGGGCGTGATCCCCCTGGTTCTTAGTAGAGGGAATGAGGGAATGACGGCCCTATGTATACCCTTGAAAGGATTATATGGGGTCCTTCATTCCATCATTCCCTGCTAAGAACCAGCCAGTGATTTCGGGGTTTCCGAAACTCGGGGTACCCTTGTTGGGGGCTCCTTCAAAAGGACTCTAAAGTTTCTTAGGGGGAAATAAGAGGTACCCCGATTTCCGTCGGTCTGCTCCCAGCATGGAGTCTGCGGCGCTTCTGGAGGGTGGGTTCTCAAAGCAAGTGCCACATCTGGGCGACTGCAAGCTATCCAAGCCCGAGCACGCTGAAGGCAACCGTGTAAGGCACCACGGACTGGTTTAGCACCTGGCATTCGGCTCGTGTCTGCTATGGCTTCTGCCCGAGTGGTTTGGTTTGGGTAGGTTGGGACGTGATAACCTCTGATACGCATGTTCTATCACGAGCCTGCACCAGACCCCCTGGTAGCTTGGCAGCCGCGGCAAAGACCAACGGGTAGAATGCCCCTTCACCTGTAAACATCTCTTTGTCTCGAAGGATGCTCACACCGAGGCGGAAGCTCATAATCATAGGTGGTCATATCCGGTCGCATGCTGTAGCCACCCAGCTGAGCTTCGCGCACGCACCCACCAGCACCAGCAACTTCCAGTGCTCTGCCACGAAGTACCACATGTCACCTTGCAGTGCTGGCTTGCACTTAACTATCGGGATCTCCTGCCGCGTGTTCCTACGTGACAGGGGCACATTCTACGGCTTCGATCTTGGCTTGTCAAGGTAATTTGGGCACCTCTGCCGAATGTTTCGCAGATGCAAGCAACACACCGTTGCGGTAGTAGACATGGCAGTCGGCATGGACGTACTGAATTGATTACAATTAGGTCAGCCACTGGGGGGTAGTGAAATCCATTCAGAGAAACGGTCAAGCAAGAGATGCTATGGCCATAACAACAGAAATGCAGAAAGCAGAGGGGCCCTTCCAATCTGAGATACCTGCGAATCGCGAGTTGGCGCCACGCCCGCAAAGCTAGCAGCAGAACGTAAGCAGTCAACCTCAGCAAGTTGAGCATCAGATTGTCTGCGCTTCTTTCACTCTTTCCCCTCTCACTCAGGCCGGAGCTGGGCGGTGCTAGTTGCAAGGGACAGGAAAAGAGTATGTCCAGCCATCGGGACCTGGGAGGCTTAGACTAGGCTCCTGCAAGCTCTCCAAGAACCCCGATCCAAAAACTGGGAAACGAAGCTTGGGAGTGGACCAGGAGCACCCGATTTGCAACACGATTCGCCACTGCTGATGCGACGAAGGTCAACACCAACATGAGGGTTCCTGACATGCCAGTCACCGGGTGACGGCTGCACATGTACCCAATCTGTAGAGCAAAACCCCAATGTCGACGCCAGAACACAAAATTTTCAGGTGCAACCTCCAGAAAACACTGTAAAGCCTGCGTACAAATACGCCCTCAGGGAGCCTGCCACCGCGCCTCGTGACTCCCTCCCAGCCATCGCACCTGGAACTATCATGCCCAAGATGGCCCCTTAAACCCTCTGAAAAATATCCCTACATATGACCCGATTCAACCCAATAAAGGGTAAAATATGAAATATCCCCAGGGCCTGCCTCGAGGCGTATAGGTATTGTGTACCAGATTGTACTACTGTGGTGGCATGAGCCCTGCACCTCGGGGTCCCTTGGAAGCCATGGTGGCGCGCATCTCTGCCGAGTGCCGCATGGTGCTGGGCAAAGGCGGCCGCGTGCTCCTCGGTCGAGAACATGTAAGTGAAGTCGGGGGCAAGGTGTGTAAGCTGTACGTAGACTGAGCAGTATATGAGCGCATCTTAGTGCACAAACCTCACTGTGCGGCAAAGCTGAAGTCAAGCAGACTTGGATACAACCGATCGCAGAAACCGCCGGCTGTGCAACTTTGCTCAGTGCCCCGTTTGTGGCCGTGGTTGGTTGGGAAGGAGGAGCTGCTTTCGCCGCAACACCGATCTGCCGATGCTTGCCAGAAAAAGTATCAAAATCACCACCCCCCGCCCCCCCCCCAGATGCCCGAACCCGCTTGGAGGAGGCGCAGCACATCCGATGCGGCGGCTGTGCACAAAGGCCACGCCAAAAAGCACGAAACCACCACCCCTGAAACTGCCCAGGACGGCCCCAGAAACTTTCGCAAACTTTCCTTTGTCTGCGATGCGCACGCTACACCCCGCGTTGGGCCAGCCCGGCTGCCGAGGCGCCCCGCGCAAGCGTTTGCAAATTACTATTGAGTGCCGAGTTGCTTTGCTGCCAGTTGGAAGACCTTGTGAGCACACAATCTGCAGCTACGTGACGCCTCTCGCAAGTAACTATGAGGCATCTGTGTCCCCATCATGTCTTGCCGAGAAGTGTGCTCCTCTGACTGCGTTGATGGCTTTGTCTAGCTGGGCAGTCTTGGTACGATTGCCCGCCATTTCTTCACAAAACTTGAGTGGTTCACGTGCTTGCCTTTCTGGGAGTCGAGCCTTGGGGCTTCGCTGGTCGAATAGACAACATCTAGTTCAAACCTGCAGACAAGCTGCCGGTAGCTTGCCATTTGCTGCGCGGACAGGCGTACTCCAAGTCGCACCCGCCATGGCACTGTGTGTTTTCTATTGTTTTGCTTATTTTATCTACCTGTTTCACCCTCCCATTAAAAGATTGGCCCCGGTGGCATAAGCATGTTAATGAATGAACCTTAGGTCAGGCCATGCACCAGGGGAGCCCACTCTATGAATCTGCTTTGCACGGACGTGCTACATGCAGAATGGAATTCAGATCAACCACCGTCCGAAGGCGAGGGCAGGCAAGTGCACCGGGCCCTACCTGACTGCTCAGTCGCTAATTCAGTACTTCAGCTGTTGTCAGCCTTTTTGCTTCAAGCTGAAGTGCCAAGTGCCCCTGAGATCCCCGTTTGCATGCTAGCATGCATGCATTGTAAATCAACGAGTCCGGGCTGACGTCGGCAGCCTGCATCTCCTCACTGTCAACAGGAAATCTCAGAGATGGGCTTTGCAAAAAAAGCGCATGCGAACACAACAGCAGCTGGTGCAGTAAAGCAGCATCAAGAACCGACAGGGCATACCTCTGTCTCTTCACAGCTGGGTGAATCGTTGCATACACCGTGGTACGCCATGTCATCAGAATGAGCTGCACTGAACCTATTTTCGGCGGGGTGCTGCCAGAGGGAGCCTCTGCCGCATGCGGCCATGGCAGCGCCATATGTGACTTCAGTGGGCACATGGGCGCGTCCTCGAGACGAACTATTTTGCGAGGCGTGTGGGCACGGTGTGGAGTTTGATCGCTGACGAGTGCTGATGAAACTTCGCATTCCTCTGGCTTCTTGCAGGAGCAGCAAAGTCAAGGGCCAGCACGAGCCGCGCCTGCAACTATGCAGTGTCAATCAGAGGCATCTCAGGAAAACAGTCCGCACTACCTGAAGCAGACGAGGGACTCACAGGCATTCATGGCGGCGGTGTATGAGATGATGTTGGGCTCTGGGCCCTCTTCCTTCCTGGGCGCCAGGAAGCGCCAAAACCACAATAATGTTAACAAAAAAAAACATGCAGGCTGATGCCGCAGGGATGTTTGCCTCTCAGCGGCATCTGCCCCAAAAGCCGCAGAGCCGACTGCCAAGCAGCCCCCTTCTTGCATGCATTGATTGCTGCGCTGAAGGCCACCACATCGGCCCTCGCGCACACGAGCTGTAAGCGTCTAGGAGCACTTGGCACTTGTTTTCCCTTGTTGCCAGATGAGTTCTTCTACTATCTGCTGGAGCCCATGGCCGTAGAACCCCGCTCTTTGTGTAGAGCCTCACCCTCCTGTTTGGGCCCTTTCTCTCGCCGTCTCGAGGCCTCAGAGGCCTCAGAGCCCCAGTGTGCAGAGTTCAGAGGCGCTGAAGACATGGTGGCATCTACTCGTAGCTATGTGGTTCAGATTAAGTTCAGATTCAAAGGAAGTCTAAAGAAGTGCTTGGCTTTTGCATGGCTTTCACCATGGCTGCATTGCGAAGACATTCCGTCGCGCGCATTCGTGTAGGCTCTTACCACACTTTTACAGCAAGAGCTCAATCACGCTCGGATAGGCCTGCAGCCCTCATCGGCCCTCAACTCGCGTGCCTGGGACCAATAAGCCGCACGTAAACTATCATGAACTGATTCTGATCGGCAGCCGGAATGCCCTCCCCTGCAAAATACAAAAAGAATCGCAGATCGGGCCTTCAACTCCATCAACAAGTCCAAAGCAAAGCGCCACTGCGAGGTCTTGGCACAAGCGCTGATGGATGTGCTGTAGATGATGGCATTGGGATCCAGCCTGGCCGTCCGACTCGCACAAAGGCTTCTCGACATCTAACCTCTGCTACCCTTAGGAAGACATGTGCGTGGCTTCTGGCACCCTGGCGCATGCCCCTCCACTGAAAAGCATGCTGCAAGTCACCCAGGCCTCACATAACCTTCCCCGGGTGGCCTCGTGGAGGGCATGGTCTTCAGGAGCTGCAAAGATGCCAGCCACTTCGATGCTTTCTCGCATGCGCTGAGCGCGGCTCCGAAGCTGACAACGTCTGGCTCGACCTCTCTTCGTGCCATGTCGAACAGGATCCATGCAGCGCGCTCCCACCCGGCATCTTTGCCACAAGCGCTGATGCTAGCGTTGTAGGTGTACAGGTCAGCTTGCATCGCTGCGGAGCGCATCTGCGAGAGCACTTCACCAGACATCCGGGTCGCCGAGCCTCTTTCACAGGCAGTGAAGGTTGAATTGTATGATGTGCGGTCGGGCTGCAAAAAGTTGTCCCGGACTTGGAGTAGCAATGCCAGCGAATGCTGCCACTGGGAGCTGCGGCCGCAGGCTGTGATGGTTGCGTTGAAGGTGATGAGGTTGGGCTGCAAGCGAGCCCGGGCCATCTCACGTAGCATGCAGAGCGCCTTCGCCCAGCGACGGGCTCGACCAGCATGATCAATAAGCAGCGTCTGGTATTTCAGGCGATGTGCGCTTCTGAAAGCTACCGTCGGCATCTGTCGACCACTTGAAGCTCAAGGCCGATCATCACAAGTCGACTGAATCTGTCTGTCTGGCTATGCCATCATGTGCTTCCTGCTTATCCTGCAAGTAGATTGCTCAGCGGCATGCTAAGATCTGCGCGTCTCTTTGCAACAAACAGGCTTCGGATGCCTAAACATCGCACAGCCGCCTGGGCTTGTCCGCCATTAAACCTATCTTCAAAAGAGCCTAACTACAGGCGGGCACGCAAACTGCAGCCTCGCAGGGACACGCTTCCCCACGCTCGTGAAAACAACCATAACACGACCATTTTCCTAAGGCTCCAAGGACTTGTATTTTAAAGCTTTTGGGCCTAAAGACCTTAGTATGAAAGGTTCTGGGGCTGGGGCCATTTTGAGTTTAAGGGTTTTAAGTAGAACCATTCGTCGCGTGCGTGCGGGGAAAGTACTAACTACCGGCTCAGCTTTTCGGCGCAGACTTCTCCTCTTTCTTCTTGGGATCCACCTGAAATCGCTGGCAGTGGTTCTGGTGTGTGGCGCTCGGTACATCGTAGCACACTACGGCCTTAATGTTGGAGCCCGCGATCGTCGTTCCTCCCATGCAGTACTAGGAGTGGCTCTTGTTGGATTAAGGCTCCGATCAACTCTTTTGAACCTGGGCTCTCAACCCCTAAGCCCTCAAACCCTAAACCCCAAAACCCGAAATCCTCAAACCCTTACCCCTAAGCCCTCAAGCCCTAAACCTGTCCTGTTTTCTTTCCATGAGCAGCCTTTGCCTTCTCTGCCTGCAAGGTGCAGCAAGTGCCGGCTGTGCTTTGCCGGGCCTTTACTCACTCGCACTGTGTCACTGTGTCAGGTTGCGCATGTAAGGCAGCTGGGATGGTAAGCTGCTCTGCAGCCGCACCTTTTTATTGTAACATCAATAAATTGCAGGCAGGTTATTACCCCCCCCCCCTCCCCTTATATACCCCTTGTACCACCCCCTTAGAACCTCTTTAAAACCCCCTGTAACCCCTTTTCACCCCTTGGAACCCCCTGCCTGTGTCAACTTGACAATTTGGATAACGTCCTCGTCGTGCAATATGTGGTCTTTGCCACAAGCCTCACGCTGAGCCCGGCATACCAGGGTTGCACATGTGGGGGAGGGTTCCGAAATTGTAGCGGGTACTTTATTTGCTTATATTCCAAGGGAATCCTACTGTTTGTGGGACTATAGAGATTAGGGGGTACCTCATTTGGGTCCTTATTACAAGGCGATGTCCCTTACTTTCGTAGGCCCCCATGTCACGTTCGGCCTCTAGTCAGAGGGTCTCAGGCATGCAGGGGCGCGACAGCCCACAAGGACTCATTGCGACAGACCGCAGCACCTCCACAAGAACCGGTTTCTATACCCTGAGTTTGCAACGTGGCTACCAAAAAATGCATCAGTACACCAATGTGTTGATTCCCAGCTCACCCGACCACACCCGACCCTGCACATGCCGAACCTGCCTGCGGGGACTGCTTGACGCTGCTACCCCAGACCAAGGCATGCTTGAAGTCGTCCAGCAAAGATTCTGAGTTGCATCGCTGTTGCATCACAGGGAGTCGAAATGACAAAACACAACACATAGTCCCATAGTGTTGGATGTGGCACTGTGTAGAAGCTGCACCGCATTCTCGACGTTGAACTGCTTGTTACCACGCTGCGGTGTGATGATCAAAGGGTCCTTAGATCGCGGCACAGTTCACGAGGGCAGGTGCATGGCCTTCAGTGTCTTCAGTGTCTTCAGTGCCCCAAGGCCACAGAGAAGTCCGGAAACTCGCCTTTCTTCTTGGTGTAGACCCTCGGGACGATGCGTTTGAAAAGCTTGCATGTGTTCGATCATCGCGCAGTGCTCAAAAGACCATCAAAGGACCCCTTTCGCAGCTTCGCTTCGCCTCACGATCTCCATCTCATCCCATAGCCGCTTCAGCAAATATTCCTGAGATTCAGGTTCCATGTCGCAGTCTTCCCTAAATCCGCCACCCCGGTAGACTACACGGCAGCAAGCGGTGGCTCCAATGAGACCTACTTACAAGACAAACAGCTGAACCAAGGCACATAGTTCCACTTGTTTCGTACCTTAGCGTTCTTTTCTGAGAACTCTCGGACATCACGTCGGCTTGTGGCACCTAACCCGTCGTACCCCAAAACAAGCATAACACACGCATGAATATTCCTTCTTCTTGAAGATGAACGAACTTGAGAGCAGGGCGAACGAAAGCTAGGGCGCAGGTGTGAAGACCGCGTGCTCAGTCATGTAGACAAGCCCTGAAATGATAAGTAACAATGCTGACCTAAGGGGGGGGGGGGAACATGGGGCCCCCCCCCCTGGGTCCGTGGTCACCCCCAGAGGGGGGGGGGGGGGGGCCCCCCCCCCCCCCCCCCCATGGCAGCTTAAACCTCCCCGATATATCGGAGATTAAGGCCCCTGCATGCTGTTTGACCCAAGAACAAACTGGTAAACAAGAACTCCCGCAAGCTCCTAAAGAGCTAGCTTTCGTGACAAGGGGAAGAAATATATGAACGATCAAATTATATACATGTTTTTGCATCTGACTTTCATCAAGTCAGAGATCAAGTCAGAGAGTGAACAGTACATGTTGCATGTTTCACTGTCTACAGCAGGGGCAGTATGATGTTTTTATGATTTGATTACACTGGTCTTACAATTGTTCTCATTATCAGAAGCCCATGGTGTGCACGCTAAAGCCCGCCCAGCTGCAGAAACGACCACGGAACTTGGCCTGCGCGCAAGCTCATCCACATCTTCCAGCTTCAGCATGTCAATCCTGAAATTAACAGCTTGGTACTTCTCTTGTGAGTTGATTTGAGAGAGCGCTCGCGTGGCTATACTGACTAAAGCAGCTAGCGCGAACTCGAAATGTTCTCCCTTCCTGCGCTTTTGCCACTTTGTGGGATTCGTGCACGTGATCCCACACCCTGGTGCTTCACGAAGCAATGGGCCGGTGGTCGCGGAAAAAACGTCCCATGCGGTGTCATAGATCGTGTAGATACCAGATGAGGTCTGCTACGTTTTCTGCCAGATGGTGAAGCAGGCGCGACACCAAACACCCCTTGGCGCTTACCCATCCTTCTTCTTGTCCGCCATCTGTCATCATTCCAAACAAGGCATTAGACCCCGACCAAGGTTCCATTTCTTAATCCAGGGTGGCATACGGCAGATATCTTAAGTGGGCTGGAGGAGAGGGCTGGGGAGGCTGCTGGAGGCTGGAGGGCTGCTGGAGGGCTGCGGGAGGGCTGCGGGAGGGCTGGAACCTTTCAGGAGGGCTGACGGGTGGAGACTGGAGGGGCTGAGATCGAGTTTTGAAACATCGACCCAGACCCTGACCCAATCTCATATTTGTTGTTACCGAAATGCCCAACAAGAAATATCCAGGGTCTAATCCAATCAACGCCCGTTTCTTATTGAATGTATTCACCGTGCCGCGCTTATACTCCTCAGCTCGGGCCACAAGGTGGTCAAAGTGCCTGGCTCTCCAGCAGTCCAACTGGAATATGCCGCCGAGAAGCTTGTTGTAAACATAGATACCTGTCGGCGACACACATGGTTTTATGAATCATCCCCGAAGTTCGCGAACTTTGCATCATCTTGGCACCCGGCGGCCACACATGCATCAAAGCTGCATTTGCAATACTTCCGGTTCCCGTCGATGACATCTATGAAGTCATCCTCTGTGATGTCCTGAATGGGCATCGAAGCAAAAATCAAGCCAGCACGGTTCATCAGAAACCCGGGGCCTCCCGCACCAACACATCCGCATTGTGCATTTTGTACCTTGGTGCTCGTTTGGGACCAAGGTGCCGAAAAAGGCTGTGAGTTATGGTGTAGTTTCCCAAAGTACCCCAAATAGAATGGAATCCCCTTAACAGATCCCCCAAAAAGGGGTACCCCTATTTTCGGAAACCCCCATACTTGTCCTCCTGCTCTCGGACATCTGCTACATGGGGGGGGGGGGGGGGGTTCCGGGGTACCTTTTTGGGGTCCTTACTATGAGGGAATCCTACTATTTGGGGACCTATATTGGGGTTTCCCTATTTTCGTAAACCCTAAACCCTACACCCTAAACCCCACATTTTTGTGTAGGGCGGCTGTCTCAGGATGGTCGCGCACACCTCCTCGTCGAAGTGGGTCAGCGGCACGGTGGCTTGAAATTTCAGACCTGCACAACTCTTTGGACACCAAGCGCGGGCGACGCAGACACATGTGTCGGGTATATATGTATGTATGTATGTATGTATGTACGTATGATATCTATATATATATACATGTATATATTTATGTGTAAGTATGTGTCTATATATATATATATATATAATTACTCGCCCCTCTGCATGATCCACACTTTGGGTTCCGGAGACTCCAGATTTCCAGATTGCATGTGGCGGTAGGAAACGCCAAACTCCAGATGACAGACTTTAGATTCGGGGATCTGGAGTCTGCAGTCTGGGTACTGCAGACTTAGTCTGAGTACTTGTCTTCTTCGCTTCCGGAGTCAGTAATTGTTTCTAAAGAGACTATATCCCTCGCGGCGTTCTATGTTATTGTTTTGAACACTTGTGATGCTAAAATACCAGTTCCAAGCATATTCTATCGCCCATCGAGCAAAACCTGATATCTCATATGTGTTTGCTGTGCTATGCTGTATCCACAACATCTTATGTGAAGCTGAGCCCCCCGACAAGCAAACATGTTGTTTAGCTAGGTTGTGCTTCCTGCGAAACAGCTTATCTCAAGCAATCATGCCCATCTCCTCCGAAAAGCAAAAAACTTAAATGATGAGAGTCCTTTCGGATATGGTTTCTCTAATATATGGTCTTGGGATTCCCCCCCAATAAGCAGCGCAGAAGAAAACATAGGCTTAACACCGAAGTCTATCCACTGCGTTTTTGCTTTTTCTACTGTCTGCAAATATCAACACAGCCGACACAGATCGGCTTAATTTAACAAAATTCGCGTTCGCTCTACTTTATTTGTTTATTCAAAGTCCTTTGTTTTGATATGTGTGTGACATTCAAGTGCACAAAGTAGTAGCAGAGAGATTTTTGGACGCGCTCATGTGTTTCCATATGCTGTGTCATTCTCACTCAACCCAAAACAGTTATTCGTCATCAGGCTTATTTGGAATTTGTCTTATAAAGCCACACCCTAAGGAATCCTCATCTGGGCTTCGCTTGAGATTGGACTTAATTTTGATTTGACTTGACGCTTGTATTCAAAAGCCGCACCATTCTGGGGCGTGTTCGTAGCAGAAGTTTCATAAATCCTCATCTGGGCTTTCTTCGTAGTTATAATATTAAAAACCTGATTTTATATAAGAAGCCCACACCCTGAGAACCCTCGTCTAGGCTTGAACGTAGGTAGTTTTTTGGACAGAATTTTATAGGGGCAACACCTTGAGATATCATCTTCCGAGCTCTCATTCATAGTCAAATGTAATATAGTATTCGATACTTAAGGCCACACGCTATGAAATCCTCTTCTGGTGGGGCATCATGAAATGTCAATAGACTTGTGTATGATAAAGCCAGAGCTTCGTTCGTAATCAAACCCAAGTAAAACAAGTGTATTAAGGGGCCACGCCCCAAGGCATCCTCTTCTAAGACTCCTGCGTTTCTATCGAATTGGAAATTTATATTGCCGACCACACCCTATGAAATCCTCCTATGGCCCCAATTCGTACTGACATGTAAGTTGAAGACCACACCCTAAGAAATCCTCATCTGGACTTCCTTTGTAATTCCACTTAAGTAGAACTGCAAGTTTAGAGGCCACACCCCAAGACATGCTCTTTAAGCCTCATTCACAATTAAGACCCAATTAAGGTTTCGAATTGCAAGGCCACACCTTGGGAAACAGACCCTATGAAATCCTCATCTGGGTTTCGCTAGTTCTTACACTCAATTACTTTTGTGTCACAATGCCACAATGCCATACCCCAAGACATCCTCTTCTAAGCACCATTCGAAAGTAAATCGAATTAGAACTGTACATGTTAAGCCCACACACAAAACAACAAATTTCGTTTTAAAAACACGTTACCATTTGCTATTTTTACTTGTGAGATTACAGTTTCGATGAGATTCATACACAGAAAAGATGAATTTGTTCATGGACAGCTTGGAAAAGCACAGTTGTAACACATGCAGCCAAGAACACTGCGACAGAGGCGAAAGGCATTTTCCACACAAGCAAAGTCGATAAATGCACACAAGTGCGGGAGCAACACAAAGCCAAGAAGCAGCACAAAAACCATGACACCAAAACCCCAAAACCAAAATAAAACAAAAAAAAACGGGAACTCTTGAAGACAGAACATGGATTTGTATTGTTTCCAGGAATTCCCGAAAATAGTTTTGTTTATAGTGGCTATACGCCTCTGATACTTAAACGTAAAGTACTGCATGAGCTTTTCAGTTCTGGCGTATGGAATATGTTCTCTTGGGATTCCGCCCTCCAATGAGCAGCGTAGGGCCTGACATGTTGTCTTGGTTTTCGGGTGATGAAAAGAATAAAAATAGCATAGTTAATCAACTGACTATAAATAGTATAACTAGTCGAATACAACGAACACAAGGAATTTAATGGAGACATCGAGTATAAAGAATAAATTGAGTATACTGACCATGATGAATGCAGTGAATGAATCTAAGGAATACAAAGGAAGAATAAGAAAAGGCCTAGGGCCATAAGAATAACACTAATACTGAATATAGTGGCTATACTGAACATATTGAACATAAAAAAAGAGCTTCAGGCCTTGCCTTAATGCCACCGATGGGTGTGTTCTCATATTTTGCATTAATTAGATTACCGATCTCTGATATACCAAGAAAAAGGGAATCAGAAATACTAAGAAATACTAGTATATCACTCATATCGTTAATACTAATTAGAATCATTAAATAATTCAGAATATCAATTGTAAACAACAGTTGTATGACGCGGGCCCTGAAGATAAATTGAACACTGACTATAGTGGCTATATTGGGTAGAATGAACATGACCTAATGAGGTGCATGCCGTGCATTAATTGCAGTCGTTACGTTTACTGCAGTACCATACTTTTGAATTGTCGCAATTATAACAGTTATATCAGTTGATTTCAGTGTACTCATGAATTGTAATCATTAACTATACAAATTGTACTGTTCATATTAGTTACATATTTAGATTACGTACTTACAAAACAATAACAGATTAACTAGACGTGTGTTTGATTCTTGTTGGTTTTGCTAATTCTGTGCATTATAGCTTCTTGCAGATTACCTATGTTCATGTTTTAGATGTCATGGTTATACAAAGAATGCCTAACGACATGTTAATCAAAGATACTAGACCTAAAGAGTCCATCTAACAAGCAGTTAAAATGTCACCTACTTTTGCAAAATTGTTTTGTTCATGACATACAGTTCAGGAAAATATTTACAAATACACATCACAAGCACTGTTCTTTGTAAGTGCCATTAAAAACATAGCTTGAGAGCAGAGCATTGTTTTCACCGCATTTTACCGAGGAAAATGCATATGTTCAGACAAACAACAAAGCCTGCAAAACCATAGGTGCGGATCATGGCGGTGGGTTGACTATATACATACATACATGTATATATATATATATGTATGTGCGTGTGTGTGTGTGTATCTATACACATATACATATTTCAACATATACTACATGCATGAAATATGTATATAGATACAGACGCAGGTTTTAGTGCGCTAGAGGAAAATTTGTGTTATGCTGAGTTAACCAGCTAAGCAATGATCATGCTTTGGATTTGCAAGCTTGCCTCAGGCAAAGACATGAAAGCAATACGGGTACGTCCGAAATGATGTGCGGACCTCCGCCTTTGGTCGGTCTTACCGTCACATCTGGAGGCTTTCTGTTCAATCGGATGCCGACATTTTCCAGCTCCTGACGCCGTGAACCCGAAGAGGCTAGGTGTGTAGCGCGTCAGCGCACTGACCCAAGCTTGCGCACTGCGGCGTCCTTTGTAAGCATCTCCTTCTGTGCATCATCTTTAGTGGCATCTAGAACCTGTCAGCAGCACTTTCTTGCCACGCGAAACCACTCAAAGCTCACTCCCGCCATGAGGATGATGTCGCACGACTTTGCTGTGGCCTCAGCCATACAAATCCATACAAATCCTCCTGTGTGTAAGAGATTGAATGTCATACGGAGTACAGCAGGTGAGCATGGGCGTGGCATCGCAAGAACTTTGGCAGACGCATCACCCCTCCTTCCACTTCCATCCACACCCCCCTCCCTCCATGCCGTAACAACTGCCAAGCTGACATGACAAGCTAGGGCGGAAGAAAACACCAGTGAGGCGTTGAGTTCTCAAGACGGAGTCGATCGAAGTGGCCCTAAGGAATGGAAGGCTGCTGTCCAAGAAGCAATAACTTGTCGTCCTCGGCCTTTGCCGATAGATGCACCTCGGCACAGAGGTGCCAGCAGCTCGTGTAAAGCATGCGATCTGGCATGAGTATTAGCCTTGGCATTCGTAGCGAGCATGAGTAGTCACATATTCATGACGAGTATCAAAGCCGTGATCTCCGTCATGGAACGAGGAATCAGAGCAACAACGCAAGAACTGGAGACTAGAAACCACTGACAATGCAAAACATACAATAATCAGGAATGGTCCCCCTTATACTAACAGTTCTTAATCGGGATTATAGTACCCCCTCTTGCCAAGATAAGAATAATCATGCTACTACTACTACTAATAATAATACGGATAAGAATACCAACAGTAAAGAATCACAAGAAAGCAAGATAAAACCAAAGACCAGAAGGACCAACCAGAAGAACAAGCCCAATGCGGAAGGGCAAATGAAGTTGAGGTCGGTGCCCACAATCAAGCCCGGAAGGTCCAGGAGCTGGATTCTGACCTCCACCATTCTTTTGCTCTTGGTTTTTCTGAAGTCTTTGCCTTTATTTCAACTTCTTGTGTGGGGGGGGGAGGTTAGGGTTTAGGGTTCGCTGACTAGGATTGGGTTTGGGGTTGAGGATCAGTTCGGCCCCTGACGTCATTGTAGTAGATGACGCCCGGGATGCATGTCAGCGTTGTGAACCTGCCGCTTCCCAGCTGCATGGTGGTTGAGGGCCCTGGCTTGTGGGGGCAAACTCGGCAAAGTTCCAGGGCTCCAGCTCGTAGGCTGCAGCCTCAGACCTTATCACAAGCTCTGGTTCTAGAAACACCCGGAGGCTTCTGGTAGAAGCAGGGAGCGAAACAGCACAGAGTGCCATGAAACAGTAGCAGTCAACACATATCAGCAGGTTGTATCAGCACATGCCCCGATTCAGCCCTGCGCTGGACGCCGGTGAGCGCCGTGAGCAGTGAGGACTTTCCAACGGATGGAAAGCCCACCAGACCGATACGGGCGTCACCGATTCTCTGCACCTGCCAGGTTTGGCCTCACATCGCCTCTGCCGAAACAATTGCGCACAGTGCCTGCCTGCAGACTTCTGCGACGTTCCTACTTTTGCAGCATGCCTCAAATCCAGCGACTTTCCCGCCGCCGCCACCGGAGGGCTCAAGGATGTCACGCTTCAATTTGCAGAGCTTAGCCTTCAACCTGCGAGCCGAAGAAGCTAGAGTCGCTAGAGTTTGCCAGCGTGACGCCAATGACCAAGGAGTCCCAATCATACAGCTATCGGAGCTATCGGTGGCAAGGGGCTCACCAAGGTGCTTGGCGGTCGCCTGCGGCATGAAACACCAGCATAAACCGGCTTTGAGGGTACCAAAGTTCGTAGGCCTTGTTCTTCTGGGTGCGTGAGATCTCCAGCTCAATCTGCTGGATCCTTTCTAGGGTGGAGCCGCCTGCAAAGCCCGAGCTGGCATGAAGTCACACTCACGAAAGTGCAGGGTCTGCCTCCACCAGCGGATTGATGCTTTGCCTTCGCCCATCCTCCGCCACCCACTCCACCGCCTGCCTACAGGGGATCGAATGAACACCCAAGACACAGTTGGCGGCTGCTTGTTTAGTTGCCCAAGCTGGTCGCGAGTGCTCTGAAGGCCACGAAGTCAAAGCGGCGCACCCCAAAAATGCGCCCAAGACTGGTGGGTCTTGTGTCAACAGCCTGCCTTCGAGGAGCTCTTGGAGAAAGATGCCATTCACGTGCGCTGAAAGTGATTTCTACTGCTCAAAAAAAGCGCGAAGCATGACATCCTGAGTCGCATTGGACTGAGAGGTATACGAGTACACATCACCCTCGTGCCGCTGAACGGCTCTCAAAGTGGGAGCTGCTCTGCTGCCCACGTCTGCCAACTACACAGGGAGGGTTTTTGGGCGTGTTGGTGGTTGCCACATGAAGTCGTATGTTACGTTGCTACTTCCAAGCTTGCCGAGGACATGAGGGCGGGCGGCTGGCACACATGTTCGTGACAACTTGATCCACCTACTGATGGTCCGAAGCATGTGCTCAAAGCACAGGCCCTGTTTTGAACTTCTGCTGCACCTGTCAGGTCCCATCATTCTCAGGGTATTGCCAGACTGTGGCAGGTGTCGGCAAGAAACCAAGGCGGGCGTAGAAGGACATCGCCTCGCACTGGCGTTACAAGCTGCAGCTTGCAACACCGGCTGCCAGTACACATAAACATGAATATGCAGTCATATGCAGTCATAGACATTACCTAATGCAAATTCTTTCATGTTGCCCGTTGCACGAGGCTTTCCATGCCCTGTCAATCAGCCAAGCATTGCCCGATAACATCCGACCTGCTCGTTGCTCTGGAGGCAATACCAGCACAGCTCGAGCAAGCCTGCATCATTACATGTGGCCAGGACCTTCGCCATCAAGGCCTCGGCGTCAGAATGAAGCCATGGCTGTCTTGAAAACTTTGGGTCCCTGCCGCTCTAAAGAAAGAGCCAAACGAAGGCCGAGGAGCCCGTCCGACACCCTTGCCTAGGATCTTGAAGGAACTTTAAGGCAGACTTTCGCAGTCTCGGGACGTAGTGGGAGTTGCTTGAAATCAGCCTTGAGTTGCACCATGGACGTCCCCAAGTGCCATCGAGCCACCATGTGTTCTTGGGTCGACGAACAAGTCGCTCAGAAACCCCCGAAGCGAGCCTTCACCTGCAAGCGCCGCTGCGGCTCCAGACCGTCACATGCTCCACTCCAATCATTCCTATTTTTGCATGATAGCCTTACGTAGGATTTGAGTAGTGTTTGATTTGGGTTGTTAAGGCTTTGGCCCACACCGGTTGCGGTAGAGCTTGGGGAGCTTGGAGGCTTCGGAAGCCGGACCAACGTCGCGGCTCCAAGCAGGGTGCCATCTTCCGCACGCGCAAGCAAGATGTCAGCAGTCCTTATCTGCCATGGGGATGGGCGATCTCTCGCCGAAGCGCTGTAGCAAAGAGCTTTGAAGATTGCAGAATTTTTGTGGGCAGATGTGGGCATTCCACCCAGGTAGCGGCAAGGCTCCCTGCATCCAGCGGCCGCCCATGAAAGCAGCTCATGCCCCACACCTGAGCCGCCAATCCCAGCAAGTTTTCGAATCGAGAGAGCAGCTCGCCCAACACCGTACAAGTACTTGCTCGCCTCAGAAGGCTGCAACATGCTGTTGAGTCGGACACCGCATCTGCAGCCACCTCGTCCGGGGCGTAGGGTGGTGAGCCCGGTGGGATCCTTTGAGGCAAGGCATGATGGGTTCATAGCTTCTCAATCTTCACCCGCGCGGCCCGTAACTGCAAGACGCCAATAGTTTTGACCCTGAACATGAACCTAGAGGTCTTGAACAGCAGAGACTCTGGGATGCTCGGTACTCAACAAAAAGGCGTTGCCAGGCAACACGATCTTCCTCTGTAGCCACGGAGACAGTGACGTCCTGGTCCAGGCCGCCGCAAGCGTCTTTTCTTGCTATAAAGCCTATATAAGCCCTAAACCCCTAAACCCCAAACCCTATAATCCCTATTAACCCTAAACGGAAGGGTAGAAGATGTTGTGGACCCAACATGCTGTCAGACCAAAAACTCACTGTGGTCAGGCCATGCCTTGCTCGGCTCTGTGGGGAATGGCAAGCGTGGATCCACCGAGAAGATGGCAACCGGATAGCGTTTCTGGGCACAGGGAAGTTGCAGATGCTACTACTTCTCAGGGTCGCCAGATGAAGCACGACGGCCCAGAAATGACACACCCTTCGAAAGGTAGGTGGCACACTGCGCCAACAGGGTCAGGTCCAGCAGCGTGCAGGACCAGCCTGATGAGCCTCTTCGAATTATCAACCGCATCAACCACGCAGCATGAAGGAGCCATGGCCTCCAATGTGGATTCTTCCTTCTCAACTCCTCTGAGAGATCAGGCAGCGCGACCTGTGAATGTGAGGGGCAGAAGTTAAGGAGCACCGTGGACGATGAAATGGACAATCTGACGGGCCTCATGTTCTGCAGATTCCGGCTGGTCTTTGTCGGCACTCTTCGCCAGACGCGCCTCGACCCAGCCGGCCGCCACACCTGAACTAACTGCAACAACACGATGATGACAGCAGCTGAGAGCCAGTAGGGTTTGGTTTAATTAGGGATTTTTGCCCCCCCCCCCCCCCCCCCACGGCAGGGCTTAAAAAGGTTACAGGGTTTTTTGAGTGGCCTTGCCTCGCGCAGTGTGATGCCAACCGCAGACCGCAGCAGTCCAGGATGATCCCGTGAGGAGCTCCATCGGCAAGCTCGCAACCAGCGGCAACTAGGGTTTAGGGTTTAGGGTTTAGGGTTTAGGGTTTAGGGTTTCGGGTTTAGGGCTTCAGCTCTCACACTCGCACGAAGCAGGGTTCAGGGTTTCGGGTTTAGGTTTTGGGGTTGAGGGTTGAACACATGGCAAATGAATGTGCGTGGACTTGAAAATTATTGACGCCATGCCCTGAATCAACCCTAACCCCTTTTTTAAACCTAAACCCTAAACCCTAAACGCATGGGTTGAAGAACATGCGGGGCTCGCCCGAGAGCTGATACCAAAAAGTGTGGTCAGAACAAGTGCATTGCTAAATCAAAAAATCCAGAGAAGTCCCAGAAGACGTCGGTCCTCAGTTTGCCTACTGAGCATTGAGAGCATCACCCACGCAGCCTTGCACCTCAGTTGATCTGAAATGCCAAACGACAAGTTAACATTACAGCCTTTTCCTACAGCTTGTAAAGGCGCCGAAATGTCACAGAATCATAGGACCAGCCCTTTGACCAGTCCTTTGAGTCGTTTTGGCCCATGAGACTCGTCTTGAGGCCCGTGGCTTCTGAATCTGAGATGGTCGGCTTCATGCTGTGCAAGAACTGACCCCTACTACCATACACACTGCCGACTGCGAACTTCAAACGCCCATCTCTCGCTATGCGTCCACCGCTGATCGGGCCTGCCAAGTTTCAGCGGCCCTCACTCCTCTTTGAGGAGGTCTTGAATAAGGGCATCCGCCGACTCCGCATCACCTGGATTCGGCTTCTCCACAATGTCGTGTGGGTCTGCACGGGAATGCAACAGAAGTTTCACACACTTGGCACTCTTGGTGAGCATCAAAGCGGTCTCGCCCGAGTGATTGGCATGGTTTACATGTGCTCGGTGGTCGAGCAACACTTTGATACACATACTCGAACGCCCTTCGATCTTGGCAGAGACCTTCTGGCGCGCCTCTTCCACTTGAGCTTCTGCTTGCTCTTGCACTTGCACTTCCTCTTCGCCCTCTTCGCCTTCGGCGTACTCTTCGTCTGCTTTGCCCTCTTCGACCTCTTCTTCTCCTCCTGCGTTCTCGTCTTCTTCGCCTTGTTCGCCCTGTTCACCTTCGGCGTTCTTTTCGCCTTCGCCCTCTTCACCTCCCTGCTCTTGACGCAGCAGAGCTTCTGCTTCTTCTTCCAGCTCTTGCAGCTGTGCGTCGAGTTCCGCTTCTGCTTCCAACTCTCGTAGCTGCCCGTCGCCTTCCGCGTTCCCAGCTCCTTCCTCTCTTTCTGCGTCTCCTCCCTCTCCCTCGTCTTCCCGCCCTCCTTCTCCCTCTTCTTGTTCCAGTCCTTCTTCCTCCTCCTCACCTTCTGCTTTATCACCCTCTATTCCTCCGTCTTCTTCGCCTTCTGCTTCTTCACCTTCTCCCTCTTCATCTTCGGAGTCTTCACATTCCTCCTCTTCCTCTTCCTGAGCGCGCTGGCCCACGAGATGCAAGGCTGTGTTGCCATCTTCGTCCACCGTCTCAACTGCAGCCCCGGAGCCTAACAAGAGACACAAGGCTTGGACATGATTGCCAGCAGCTGCATGCATCAAAGGGCTTCTGCCATGCTTGTTCTGCCGATTCACGTCGCATCGCTGTCGGATGCAATATTGGATGGCATCCTGGGCCCCCTCAATGGCTGCAAAGGCCAGGGCGGCGTCGCCGGCGTCATCCAGCGCCTCTATTTCAGCTCCAGCGTTCTGCAAGAGCTCCAGCATTGCAACATCATTGTCACCAGCTGCCCTTTGCAGGGCAGTGATGCCGTCATTGTCCCTGGCATGAACGTCACTCAGAGGCAACAGCATCTCGACGCATTTACGATTCCGGGCTGCCCTGGAAAGTGCGGTGGCGCCATTGCCATCAACCAGCGAAGCATCTGCACGGCACCTCAATAGCTCTTTCAAGCATTCACTGGCCCCACGGTCTGCTGCCAAGTGAAGGGCTCGGTCATTCCCTGAAAGTGGGCACTGGGCGTTGATGTCGGCCTTCTGGGAGATGAAGAGCCTCAGCATCTCCACATCATCGGTGAAGGCGGCGGCCCGTGCTGCGGCGGGCCCGTGCATCGACACGTCCGTGCGTGCCGCCAGGAGCAAGCGCACCGCTTTGTGACAGCTTGATTGAGCTGCAATTTCCAAGGGCGATGAGTCTTCGAACACCGAGTTCACATCTGCTCGATGTCTCAGAAGCACCTGAATGATGCTCGTGGCATCGTTGCATGCTGCTTCATTCAAGGCGCCCTCGGCAACATCGGCTCCAGCAGCAAGCAGGAGCGATAGCGTCTTGTGACAGGAGCTGTGCTTGCACAGCTGCAGCACCCAATCTTCGCTAAGGGAAATCTTCCTCTTCAGGAGTTGTTCTCTGGCATTCTTCCAATTGCCTGTCAAGAGAATGGGTAAAATCTCAACGTCCTCGGTCCGCTCCGCCTTACATTGTCGCTCCACCTGACATCTTTCCCCATTGATAAACAACTCCTCAAAAGCTGGGGCTGCCAGGATGTTATTCTGCACGTTCTGCACCAAGCAGACGTGCCGTTCCTCTGCGACCCTCTGCAAGGAAATGGTTTGAAGATGTTCCGCCAACAGGAGTTCCACCATCCAACTGTTTATCTCCTCATCCCCTCCCTCTGCATGCATGGCATCCAAGAATCGGCAGTCCAAGAAACAGAGCTTCTGCAAGGTGATAGATCTTCTGGCCACTTGGGCAATCCGAAAAAGTTCGGGCAAAGACGCGTTGGAGAGGTTGAAGTGAACGTCTACAACTCGACTCTTTCTGAGGGCTTCGTAGATGCTGCTGGGGGCTAAGCCTTTTCCCAGCTGGCTCATTTTCAATAGGAAGGTACCGACCCGACCGTTGCACTGCAACTTCGCGAATCTTCTGAGAAAGCTGAGCTGATCATACAGGTTATACACAGAGAAGAATAAGGACACAGCCAGCGTGCGGGGATTTAACCCGTCGAAGACGACCGGAGGCAGGTTGCCAAATGGATTCCACAAGCGTATGGCAATGTAGGATTGCAACGCAACCTGTAAAGCAGCCTCAATGCTTTCCACCAGACCACGCAGCTTCATGTAGTGGAACATCTCGACATCCATGGGGTCTCGCAGCGCATAGATCACAGCGCAACATATGTCCTGAGCCATTTTGCTTTGAAAGTTGTCTTGTTGTATCTTATATATCGATGTTGAATTGGTATAACTGCATTACAGTACAACTATTGCAATGTCTCCTGCGGCAAATCAGAACTGTCTATTAATGAAGCAAAAAAAAGTGCCATGATATCTCATTCCACTTGACATTTCAATTGTTTGGGATGTCTCAAAGGGACATGGACGTTGCCAGACTGCAAGCACAACTTCCGCCTAAACGGAGCGCTTGCAGAAACATCGCAGCCACGTCTCGAGCGCCAGTAGCGCTGGCACGCCCAAGAAAGACCACAGCACGGCAATCAGCCTTGGCGACGTGGTCGAACATGTCGTCGACTTGGACAACTTCTCGACGGCTTTAGGGCCCAAAGCCGCAGCCATGATCACATATGTCATGGACACAATAACCCAACCTTGGTAGTCAAGCGATGGGAACCAATTCGCGCAAGCAACACTAACACTGCGCAAAACGAATCTATGTTCAGGGACTCTTGTGTGAACCAAAATCGAATACAAAACAACAAACACGAAAACACACAATTCCCAGCGGTCTTACATACGGTTGTCTACCAAGAGTCCCTGGAATTTCGCTTTGGTGTATTGCTTTTTGCTTTCTTTGGTATTATTTTGCTTGTTTTTGGGCATTTTTGGTCTTGGTTGTATCAGCTCTCCCAAGAGTGCCTGAAGTTTTTGTGTTTGGAAATAAAGTTTGGTATGCTTGTTACCATTGTTTTTTGTTCTTGTCGCTGGCTTTGCCTTTTTGAATTTTGTGCTTGTCTACTATTGTGTTTGTACTTGTCCTTCTTCTTCATACCAGTACAGTTTATTTAAAAAAAAAAAAAAAAAAAAAAAAAAAAAAAAACGAGTACGCGTCTTTCTATACCTGTGCCGACGGACGGATTCCAGCCGGGGGTCGGACCCTTCCTTCCGGCTTGAGTTGTCGTGCCAGGCCTTTATGGTGGTCTGTGGTCGACCCGAGAAAGGTTTGGCATGCTGTGGGCTGGAACGAGTGGACTCCACAACCCTCTGCACTCCACTCCACACTCCACTCCGTGGAGTCTGCACATCGCACTCCACGCCACTCAACGTAAGGGAGAAGGGTTGAGAAGTCGGCCAGGAACTGGCCGGCACCGCTGGCCAAAAAGTTAGTTTTCGTGGCCCTGCAGCCCCGTGGTGCCACAAGAAAGCAGCCTTCGGTAGTTTGCAACTTTCCGGGGACCGCAAGGAAAATTCGGTGGATCTGTCATGCGTTTAGAACTGCACGGTGACGTCTCACGCCGTGACTGATCTACGGCATCACCTCGCCTCACAATGCCTTGTGAAGAACACGTCTGGCCCATAACAAGGGGCAGGGTACGGCGGGTAACTTCAAAACATGTCAGGGGGGTTTGGGGGTTTAGTCACCTCCTTCTACCGGATAGTGATGTAGATGCACTAGTCACTAGTCTTCGCCAAAGGACACACCACAGCCCAGTCCGGATGCCCCGATTCCAGAAGCTGCTTGCCCACCAGCACATCCAGAACGATGTCTGCCACGAAGAGCACGCGGCGCACGAGAATCGCCATGGGCTGCAGCAAAGGGTGCGACAGCACATCCGCCTTCAGGAGCAGCAGCCGCCGATGAGCATCCTCAGTGCTCACTCGTTAATTCGAAACGTGTTCATACATGTATCAGGCGGGGTAGGTGGAGGCCCGACCTGAAAGTTGCGCCCCATCTGGCTAAGCGGAATGCTCGAGGGCACATGCCAAGCGTCCTCAGCCCAATCCACAACACGCTCCCGGCGTGAGCTGCGAAACTGCAACAGTCGTTGGCGCCACTCCTCGTCGTCGACGGTGGTTACCACCGACTCCAGGGGAAGAACTTCTCGGCTCTGGCGGCAGCCCATGTCACGCACAACGGCTTCTGTTGCTGGGCACCGTGACTGTCACCTTCAAGCCCACTTTTCCCTTTGTTCCTAGCTGGAATGTGTTCATGTGTCGCATGTTCCGACCTTTCGGATGAAGGGCAGCTTCGGTACTGTCCACGAACCATAAAAAAGCAGAGACTGTGCAGAGGCTGCCACAAGCGACTCATGCCAGTCAAGAGGTTGGAAATGCCAAGCACTTGAATACGAGTGACGTGACATAACATGACAGAGTGACGTGTCGAACAAGACGGCGACACACATGCGCATCTGAGAAAGGGGCTCACTGAGACCTTTTTTTCCATCGGTTTATGTAACAAGTTTTCGGTTTACATGCTTGCTCATCGAAAGGCTCTTGGCAGCCCACAAACTGTGCAAGCAGCTGTACACGGTTTTTCAGCAGCACTTGATTTCTTGTCATGTGGCGGATGTCAAGATGCCAACAATTAACACATGGCCAGTGTTCGGGTTCGACACGATTCTGTAGGACATAACCGCCTGACTTCGAAGCCGGGCAAAGAGCGGCTGAAAATTCTGTCGTACGTCCGACGACGGCGTCGGCCTCTTCTGATGTCAACACTTCAAAAGACTCCTGGTCAAGGATGGGCCAGAATGCCAATACATCCCGAAAATAAATCCCTAAAAAACGACAAATCATGATTGATCATGATTGACTTGTTGACCAGGACCATGTGTGGGTTGCCTAAGATGGGCCGTGTCAGGCACGGCGAGAACTGTCGCGACATCTTTAATGTCAAGGGAAAGCGTTGCGACTGTGACAACTGCTTGGCTGGGGCAAGGTAAGTACGCTGCCTTCAGGCTGTGGTAACTGTGGTACTAACAGTAACAGTCACATCAAAAGTGTGACGCCAAGCGAAAACAGGACCTCAAGGTTAAGGTTGTTGCAATCGACCGCAAGGCTTGAAACCTGGCAAGAGAATCGAAAAAACGGAAACGGGGCTCTACAGGCTACTGGTAGAACTGGTGGACCGCACTGCATGGCAGCCGCTGACAAAATCTGCAACCACAGTACACGAATACCCCTCCCTGCTTGTTAGCGTGTTTCGCTCTCAGCTGGTGCGGCGCGGACAGTCAGCACAGGCAAACATCATGGGCTTGTCCGGGTGGAGGCACTGGGTTTTCCTGGCACAAGCGGTGCTGGCAACCTCCTCTCCAACAAAGGCGGCCACAGCCATGGGCTCAGAGTCCAACTCGTTGGCTTCGTTCGCTGCTTTGCTGTTGCGACGCGGACAATCAGCACAGGCAAACATCATGGGCTTGTCCGGATGGAGGCACTGGGTCTTCCTGGCGCACCCACAAGCAGTGCTGGCAACCTCCTCCCCAACAAGGGCGGCCACAGCCATGGGCTCAGAGTCCAACTCGTTGGCTTCGGTCGCTGCTTTGCTGTTGCGACGCGGACAGTCAGCACAGGCAAACATCATGGGCTTGTCCGGATGGAGGCACTGGGTCTTCCTGGCGCACCCACAAGCAGTGCTGGCAACCTCCTCCCCAACAAAGGCGGCCACAGCCATGGGCTCAGAGTCCAACTCGTTGGCTTCTGTTGCCGCTTTGCTGTTGCGGCGTGGACAGTCAGCACAGGCAAACATCATGGGCTTGTCCGGATGGAGGCACTGGGTCTTCCTGGCACAAGCGGTGCTGGCAACCTCCTCTCCAACAAGCGCGGCCACAGCCATGGGCTCAGAGTCCAACTCGTTGGCTTCGGTCGCTGCTTTGCTGTTGCGACGCGGACAGTCAGCACAGGCAAACATCATGGGCTTGTCCGGATGGAGGCACTGGGTCTTCCTGGCGCACCCACAAGCAGTGCTGGCAACCTCCTCCCCAACAAAGGCGGCCACAGCCATGGGCTCAGAGTCCAACTCGTTGGCTTCGGTCGCTGCTTTGCTGTTGCGACGCGGACAGTCAGCACAGGCAAACATCATGGGCTTGTCCGGATGGAGGCACTGGGTCTTCCTGGCGCACCCACAAGCAGTGCTGGCAACCTCCTCCCCAACAAAGGCGGCCACAGCCATGGGCTCAGAGTCCAACTCGTTGGCTTCTGTTGCCGCTTTGCTGTTGCGGCGTGGACAGTCAGCACAGGCAAACATCATGGGCTTGTCCGGATGGAGGCACTGGGTCTTCCTGGCACAAGCGGTGCTGGCAACCTCCTCCCCAACAAACGCGGCCACAGCCATGGGCTCGGAGTCCAACTCGCTCGCTTCGGTCGCTGCTTTGCTGTTGCGACGCGGACAGTCAGCACAGGCAAACATCATGGGCTTGTCCGGGTGGAGGCACTGGGTCTTCCTGGCGCACCCACAAGCAGTGCTGGCAACCTCCTCTCCGACAAAGGCGGCCACAGCCATGGGCTCAGATTCCAACTCGTTGGCTTCTGTTGCCGCTTTGCTGTTGCGGCGTGGACAGTCAGCGCAGGCAAACATCATGGGCTTGTCCGGATGGAGGCACTGGGTCTTTCTTGCACCAGTCGTCGGCGCAATGTCCTGCTGCACCGCTCTAGCTTGCACACGTGCCTTGCAAGTGCGTCTGGCTTGCGGGGCTTAACAAAAACACTACTAAGCTCACAGTACCTGCCCTCGATTGGACGTCGAATGTCGGATAGAGGCAACCGTAAACCCTAAACCCTAAACACGTCATTTACCGCAACTAGGGTCCATTTGCTGACAGGTTGCACCACGTGCTCGGACTCGTCGAGATCCAGCCCTGTTCTGATAAGTCTGGTGCATTGCAGCTTTAAGGCCAATATGAGGGATCGCGAAATTAAGGGTACGTTCTTTGGATCCTTCAAAAAGGAGGTCTATAGTAGGGGTCCCTTACTATCGTAAACCCCCATGTGAAGTCAGCAAAAGGTGCTGCAGCGTATTGGGCAGGCCCGCGGGAACTTGCCACGTCGCACGACTGTGCAAAAGAAGTCTTGTCAAACAGCAAAACCGCGGGACCGACGAAGCTCTGGGAGTATATGACAGAAGAAGCGATCCCAAAGAGCCCAATATTGCTTAATTAAGGAATATACCTTAAATCATATTAAGGATCCCTATATGATTTATATGATTTAAGTAATATTCCTTAATTAAGCAATATTGGGCTCTTTGGGATAGTCTGGCCTCCGTGCACCAACTGCGAAGACGGCCGCTGCGCCGAGCGCCACCGATGCTGAGGCCTGGCAGAATGGGTTTAGGGTTTAGGGTTTAGGGTTTAGGGCTTAGGGTTTAGGGTTTAGGGTTTAGGGTTTAGGGTTTAGGGTTTAGGGGCCCCTGATGATCATCCAATGCCATGTTCCCCAGTAAAGGTCTCCGGCTTCGTTAGCTTGACTCACCAGCACCAGACCTTTCTCTAAGTTTAAGCCTTTAAAGCTTTTCGAAGGCCAATTCTGCGACGATGCTCTCTAATGCCATGTTGCTTGCCGCTGCAGTGCTCGAAGACACATGATTAGTTACGGCATTCTCATGTTCTCATCGATTGTCTGCTAGGACTAGTTTCGAATTATCAACCTTTTGAAAGCTCCAACTCCAACCTAACAGCGGTACTTGTGGAGAAGCTCTCTTACAAGAACAATGAAACGAAACAAAGTACATGTGAAGCAAGCACCGACTTGTGATGCTGGCGAAAACAGTTGGTATGTCCTGTGTTTCTAGCTGCGTTCCTATTTGTGGTCTGAGTATACTCGGCATATCTGTCGGGCCATTCATGTACTGCGAATATTGCTTAAGAATCAGCGTATCGCACGTGTCTGCTACTTGCAAAGCTGGCACGGGCTTAGCGGGGATATTTTCGAGGAAATTGCACGGAGCTTGTCGGTTGTGTTGGCGGGCTTGTTAGGCCGATTTAGGGTTTAGGGTTCAAGGGTGCCCCCCCAACCTAAAAATGCCACCTTAGAGGTCCAAGGCAAAGTCCCTTGACTCCTCCAAGCCCTAAACTCCTAAACTCTGAGCAAAGAATTACGCCTAGCACGTTCCGGCCAAGATGCCGACTACAAATGCAGTGGACCGGAGCCAGTACATTCCCCATCATGGGTTTCCCTACTGCCCCCCTCTCTACTACCCCTCCCCCCTAGGTTCCCCCTTAAATAATCCCTAAGTAGCCTTTTTTGCATCCAGGTCTGACGCCGGAAAACCCTAAACCCTAAACCCTAAACCCTAAACCCTAAACCCTAAACCCTAAACCCTAACCCTGGGGGAACCTAGGAATCCATGATCCCATGTACGAAGTGGTAATCAAGGTCAGCTACTGGGACAAGGGTGTTGGGAATATTTACAGCCGAGATACTCCTGATTACTCGGCATGGTGCGGCCGCGCGACCCAAATATGGTGCTTCTGTGGGTTTAGGGACTCGGGTTTAGGGTTTAGGGTATATTTTCCTACGAAGTTATGGAATCGAAGGAGTCAACTCAGGACATCTTGAATCTTGGATCCCAGACCCTAAACCCTAAACCCCAAACCCCAAACCCTAAACCCTAAACCCTAAACGCATTATCTACCTCAGTTTTGAAGCAAGCCTCGGGAGATTGTCATGAAGGCTTGCGATAGAAGCCAGCAGCTGGCATTTCCTATACCCCCCTGAGAACCGTAATGAAAACAGGCATCTTTAATATCCTCTTGGGCTTTATTTAAACAAAGCATTCCCAAGGGGAACTAAAAAGAGCATCTTTAATATCCTCTTGGGTTTTATATGAACGGAGAATTTCCTTTTCGGAAGACTGGAGACCGAAGAAAAGACTCTCGAGAATGCTCGGTCTTCAATATTCGGTGTGGAGCTTTGAGGTAAATCCCCTAAACCCTAAACCCTAAACCCTAAACCCCAAACCGATTCACAGAAACTTTGTGCAGCAGCATACTCCGGGGGCAAAATCTGGTGTACTTCGCGCACCTCTCCAGTCTGCAAATGTCACCAAATTCTGTGCTCATCGTCGTAGCAATAGATGTAGTAAGTCAGTTCACAATCCTAGTCACATATACGTGCACACACCTTTCCAATACATTTATCAATATACATGTATACCACACACAGTTGAGCTCTATAAACGAGAACTTATTACCTTGCTCTTCCGCCTGGTCCTGCTTTACACCAAAATTCCAAGCACCAAAGACTTCGTGGAATGGTCAAGAAGAGCTTGCGGTCAAAGTGCGGAGAACAGTGCGGAACTCGACGGGAGTTCCGGGCGCTGAGTTGCAAGCGGAGCAGCGCGTCCTACGGCATTCTGGGTTCACCAGGGTGTGGCTGGTGCGTTGTTTCAGGCCTGACATGGGGGTTTCGGAAGATAGGGGTACCCTTTTTGGGGTTCCAATCAAGGGGATTCTATTCCGTCTAGGGTATAATTAAGAGGCACCCCTATTTTGGGAAGTACCCATACAGTCCTCCTCCAACATTGGCAGCCGGCACATGTGGCTGCACGAAAGCCAGTCCTGGTGGGCACAAAGCCAAGCGAGCTACAGCCTCAACATTTTTTCCATGCCCACAAAGGCCACGGATGAAGTTATCAACATGTAAATGCAGAGAATAGAAGCAAAGGCTATGGCCCAGCAAGGCCGGCAAGAATGGACAGAACTGGCCTGATGAAGCCATGACCAATGACGACCAGCAGCCTGAAAGAGACCACGAAAGGCAGGTATCAAAAAGAGAGTTAAATGCCACATGTCAAATCGACATGTAGCACAGGGCCACAAGCCTTCCACAACGAGGTCGCAGTAGAAAGATGAGTTCTGAGCCCCAACAGCTGCAGGGAAGCAAGGCAGCAGTAGCAGCACCACCGCCAGCAGTCTCCATCATCATTACACAGCATCACGCAAGGCTGCCAGGCCTTGTTTTTCCACTGACAGTCGCAGGCCATCTGGAGCTTGCCGCGCCCTTCAACTGTAGACTGCTTGATGCTATCCCAGCGCCACAGCTTCTGGAACCACCGCTGCTTATGCACCAACTTTCGGGCACAGTACTTGCTGTTCAAGTGCAGCGACTTTTCATGGAGTGACACAGAAGATGCAGCAGTCCCATATGGGGAGACCTGCATTGACACTAGAATTCTCCCGGCTCTTCGTCGGCAAGCTGCTGGCGGTACTTTTTGTGCCTTGGGCAGAACAGGCACCGGTAGGATTTTCATAGGATTTGCGGACCCTAAACCCCTGCCCGCGTATCACAACACGAGCGCAGCCTCTGGCGGGCATTGAAGAAGAGCCGAGACCGATAATCTTCTCCGGGAGGAATCTCGGCACATGCGCGCACGGGATTATGGATTCAAGGCTTATAGTCTTATATTGGGATGTTCCCCCTTGCACTAACAGTCCTTAAGAGGGGATTCTAAAAGGGGGTACTCTAATCCCTATTGAGGACTGGTAGTAGAAGGGGGAACATGCCAAAGTCAAGGATAGTCTTCTAGATGAAATGGACTACGGGGCTCGCGATTCTAGATTCCTTGCATGTGCACGCATCCTCAGGGACCCCTTGAATCAACCCCATTGGAGTGGACGCCATGTGGCCCCTTGCAATCATGTTTGGTGGATGGACATGCTTGTGATCTTTCGCCCCCCCCCCCCCCCAACCCCCGTCGCAATCATTCTGTAGGAAGTAGTGGTTAAGGCCGTGCAGTCGAACTCTTTGTGTATGCCTGCTCTCCTTCTTTTTGCTGTATGCTCAGCGTCAACTTAAACCTTCGGACTTTGGACGGGCGAATCACGAGCCCGTAATTGAAATTCAGCACGTTGCAAGTTAGCTATGTTCGCTCGCCACCCGCGTAGCCACGCACGCCGGGATAGCCTATGATTCTGCAGGAGTCCATACTCCCCTTAGGACCGTAATAAAACTATTATTTTTCAATATCCTCTTGGGTTTTATATAAACAAAATTAAAGAATGATTCCCAAGGGGGACATAGGAGTTGGGTGCTTACTTGCAAACTGCCCTACCCTTGACATTGAGCGAGGCCCGCACCACGAACTCAGGATTTGCCGGCGATGCGTGCCAGATCTCTTCAAGCCTTGCTTTTGGCGTGTTGTGGTAAGGCTCACACGCACAAAGCGCATCTTTGCACGAAGCTGCTGCAAAGGTGTTCCGCTGTGCTTTGCAGGCCTGTCAATCTCAATGTACATGACATTGTCGACCTCTCCTTTGGCCAGCGACAGGCTCCTTAGCTGCTGCCGATTCTGATGGCTCTCACCCGAGAAGCCCAGCATCAAATCAAGGGGCCCAATGTCCGGTACGTCGGGGCAACTTCCCTTGCAAAGGGCGTGCTCACGCTTGCTCGTGTTTTGCGGCGCAGAAGGAGCGCGCAAAGTTGATCACGCGCGCCTCATTGGGGACCCTGAACCTCAGCAAGGCTTTGGGTCATGGAATTGACACTTTCCCTGTAGAAAGCATGGCAACCTGCACTGTGTATCTTCAGGCCACGAAGCAAGTACACATCCACCACCTGCTTCAGAAAACATCCACCGCCCGTGTCCATTTCGACCAACGCCTGTCAAGGTTTGGCAGTATTTGACTGACAGTTCGAAAATGTACAAGCGTGCAGCTTTGCATCTGCCGCCAGAAAGGGGTCCTTCCTGCAAAGCCCACGCAAGCGTTGCTCACTGTTTTCCTCCGCGCGGCATCGCCTTCTCCCTTTCATCGCATGTTCAGATCCGAGCCGCAGGTCGGGCGCTTCGGGATGGCGGCTGTGAGGCGAAGAAGCCGTGGGCTGCTGCTCTCCGAAGAAGCAACTTGCGCACCAAGCATCGTTGGTCGTATAGGACGTCAGCCCGGCCCAGGTGCGAGCAGAGGACGATGTACGAAAGCGCGACCTTGTGGATCTACGCGCAAGACTGTTTCCAGCCCAAACCTTTGAAAGACAATTCCGGGCACAGGAGAAAACTCTAGCTGATTGCTGGCGCAGCGTCGGCTCCCAGTCAACCTTTTCCTCCCACCAGATGTCCATATCTAGCGCCGATGTCTCTGCGACCCTCTTCGCGAATCGCGAAATGTGCTGGTGTGCCTCGGACACGGACCACCGCGAAACACCAGCACAATCGTTCCGGTGGTTCGGGGCGGGGGGCGAAAGCATGAAGCCTTGCACACCCCCTCCCCCTCATTGGATTCGGCTAGCTGGACGAACCGCGCCGCCAATGGAGTGCTCTACAGTTTTCTCAAAAGGGGCTATGGTAGGGTTTAGGGCCTTTAGAAGCTACAGGATTCTTGACCCTCAGCCCTGAAGGCACTCTGAACCCTAAACCCTAAACCCTAAACCCCAAACCCTTGGTATCGGAGGGTTTCAGTCAAGCGGCTGCCTTCGATGCCGTGTGTGCCGGTGGCGTCTTTCGTACCGATCTTCCCTGCAGGTGCTCGGGTTGGGTTTAGGGCTTAGGGTTTATTTAGGGTTTAGGGTTTGGGGTCGGGGGTTGAGGGTCGGGGGTTGAGGGTTGGTAGTGTACTACAGGACCTTGTAAGGCAAATTGTCTGCAATCCCCAAAAGCCTTCTGTGCACAGTTTTGCGCCCAAATGGCCGAATGGCACACTCTCCCCGCAGGGATGATCTACAAAAGGAATTGTGACAAAAGGTTCAAAAGGTTCGGTCCTGTCGCCATTGTAGTCGTCATCTTCATAGTCGTCTTCGTATTCAGTGTAGTCGCCAAAGTCACTTGCATAATCTTCTCTTCGGCGTCTTCCCTTTCGTTGCGCCGAGACAAAGACAATAATCATCGGTTCATGCCAACACCCTTCCGGAAGATGTTGCACGGACACGTGGACACACACACAAACACAGAAGCACAGCAAGAGAGAGAGAGAGAGAGCCAGAAGGACACAAGCACACACACACACAAACAAACTGCGAAATTGCGAGGTAGCCAAAGTCTACACAAACAACCCTAAAGTGATCGTGCAACCTCAGCCATCCTCAACACTCAAAGTTCCTAAGTGCCTCGGCCTTTCTGCTGCAGGTGGGCAAAGTTGCTTGAGCCACATGTTGTGGCAAAGTCTGTGTCTGAACTCTATATGGAGGAAAAGCGATCATATCTTCACACGCCTCCTTGAATTGAAAGTTTCGGAGAAAGTTTCCATTCACACAAAACACACAAGCTTAAACACGTGGTGATACATGTCGTGTTGAGACACTCACATGTTGTCTCCAAAAGTCGCCACAGGGATTAGGAATCGGTACAGTGAAGTACAGCGATTCGGGCCATGCCATGCCCTCCGAAGTGCACTGCCTCAAAGTCGTGACCGCCAGAAGCGAGAGATAAACTCCGCTGAGATCAAAGTTTCTTCTGGGGCCTGGGCATATCGTTGATAAAAGTCGGGCCTCAACGGTAAGTGCATCATTCGCCAGTGATGGGCATTGGGATGCTGAAAGTAGTAGTTGAGAAAGTCTGTGAGATAATAAGGGGCCATTCTGTGAAATATGGCCACTGAGTAAAGTAAGCATTCGGTAGGCAACGAAAAACTTCGGAACTTGAAGAAGTAGTCGATGAATCTTCTGTTCCAAAGTGTGAGGTCTCCTGCCTCAACCTTTCCGAAAAACTCACCTGAGAGAACGTGAAGTCCCAAAGTCAGTGTCGCTGTCGACGGCGGAAAAGTGAAGCGAGTACCTTGTATTTCGCTGGCCGATAGTTGGAAAGCATACATCAACATGGCACTCCTCGGCGAAAGCGAAGAGTTGGCATAGTCCGGAGTGCCCTGAATGCCACTGGCTTGCAAAGTGAAAATGCCAGTCTGTCATGCTCCATTCATGGCCTGCCTAAAGTACTCGGCATCCAAAGGAATCCACACCATAACATTCGACAGGCGCAACGTTCATGCTGGCCTGGCAGTGGCAACCGTCTCATCGGCCAGAAAGTGAACGAATATTGCGACAACAAGTCCACTTCACCAACTGTGTTAAAGTCCTAAATCGGACCTAAGAACCATGGGGTAAAGCTGAAGGCGATGCGTGGCAAAGTGAGCTCGTCGGAAAGTCTCGCTCGAAAAGTCAGCTGGGCGAAAGCGCTCCAATTGCCTTCCTTCACGCAACGTGGAAAGCACCACTTCAGGGCTCATCCAGCGTCTGAAAGTAGAAAAATCTACCTCATCCTCAACTTGTTGAAAGTATGCCGCCATTTCACTCTCTCCTCCGAAAAGTCTGCCAAAGGACCTTCACGACAGAAAGTGCCATGGGGCGCGGGTGCACAAGACCACCAAAGTGTTTCGAGAGAAGCACCACAGGCGCGAGGCAAAGTAAACCACAAACACCAAAGAAACCCCGAACACCCCGCAAGGTCAAAGTTGGCTGGGGTCGAATTGTCATCTTCAACAACAGGTCTTTCTGCAAATCCGCAACCGAAAGTTCAACATCTGGCTTTGAACCAAAGAACATGAGGTCGTCAACATAAGCAAGCACGTAAAGTTGCTTGGTCTCATGCACATAAAGGTTTGGGTCTGACTTGACCCTGCGAAAGCCATTCTTCTTCATGACTGACGCAAAGTGCTCTTGCCAAAGCTTTGGCGAGCGCTTAAGACCATAAAGCGCCTTCTTCAACTTCCAAAGCGTGCAGCCATCAGGGTAAAACTCGAGCGGGGGTATGACATAAAAGTCATCATCCACAGCAGCGTGCAAGAAAGCTGTGGAAATGTCACCCACTGCTATGTGTCACCCCCTGGCTACAGCCAAAGTGAGCAAAAGCCTTAAAGTGGTGAGCGAAGGCGTCGAGGCGAAAGTCTCGTCCTTGTCGTTGACTTCTTGCGTGTAGCCTCGAACTACAAGTCGACAGCGCACAGTGCCATCAGACTTGCGCACCTTAACCCACCTTGTTGAAATGACCTTGTCCAAAAGTTCTTGAGGGATGTCTTTGTAGTGGATCTCTTCGAAAACGTCAAAAGTTGTCATAGACTTCATCTCTTTTTTCATCCCTTCAACTTCTTCAACGAGAGGAAACTCGGTTTCATACCACAAGTACGGGTTTTCCAGGGTCTTCATCAGCAGAAGTTCTTTTTCATCCTGGTTTATTGCTACAGGAACTTCAAGGTCGTTCTTGGTTGTGACCGCAGCAACACGAAGGTAACAAAGTGGCTTGGGTATGCGCTTCCTACCGCTGTAGAAAGTCACCGCGTTGATCCTCTGCACCTTAGTCGTTCCAACTTCAAAAGTCTCTGTGCTGCGCTTGGTCGGTGACGCGGGCGACTCGTCAGAAAGTCGCGGCCTCGAACCAGGGGGCTGAGGCAAAGCTGCGTCTGTACTCGACCTTGCTTGCGCTGCGTTTGCAGCTTGCTCATCCAAAGTCAAGCGTGGAGGCTTAAAGTCAGGCGGAGGCAAGGGCAAGTTCTTCCTCTACATCAGAAAAGTAATCTTCCGGAAGATCCGAAAGATCGTCACGAGCCGGAACAGGCTCTGTGCCATCTAAGCCCAAAGCTTCTTCCAACTCTGGGTCTGAAAGTTATCCAAGTTAGCTAACTGGCATGACGTAGTTATAACTGACACCGTCCAGTTATCCAAGTCGCTCGATTTATAACTCTGACAACATATCTTATAAATGATGTTATAAGTTATGTTGCGCAAGATATAACATGCCCTGTAACTATAAATTCATCATCCTATCATATTGAATTTTAATGCTAAGATACTTCCAACATCTGAAAATATGAGATCTTCCAGAGAATTGAAAATTCATCTCACCCCGAAGCAAAGCAAGCCGTCCTGCAGACATTGCGACGAAAATAGTGGACAGGTTCAATGCCAGGCCGCATGCATTAACTTGAGCAAACGCACCTCAAGAACAAACTCTGCGCTCTACAAACTGGGCTGCCGAAACAGAAGCACCTTCCTTCCTCAACCAACACTTCCTTGCTTTCCTGAGTTCGGCATGGGTGGATATTCCGCTGCGAGGCACCCATCAGCAGGCACTCACCTGGCGAGAGGAAACGTCAGACTTGAAACTCACAACATGTCACAACTTGTAACTTGTGAGTCACACCAATATTCGATGATGTCAATTTTGCACATTCACCTGCTCCTTTTGTTGCTGGACTGGCCGGATTTGGCCTCCTGCCACAAAAAAAACCCAGAGCACACTAGCACCCGCCCCCCCCCCCCCCAACCCAGCAACCCTTGCCTGGCGCAGACTTTGGTAGCTCCGGCTCCTCCGCACATGCACACAGATTTCTTTGCGTGGACCCCGATATCCGATCACACAAGGGTCTCCTTCGAAGGTTTGCGCTTTTTCTTCTTCTTCTTCTTCTTCTTCTTCTTCTTCTTCTTCTTCTTCTTCTTCTTGGTAGAGCCTGCCACAAAGAAAACCCAAAGCGCACTAGCACCCCCCCCCCCAACCCAGGAACTCTTGCCTGGCGCAGCCTTTGGCAGCCCCGGCTCCTCCGAAACATGCACACAGATTTCTTTGCGTGAACTCCGATTTCCGATCACACACAAGGGTCCTGTGGGGACCATGAGGGCAGCTCCAGCTCGCCATTTAGGATAAGGCGCTGCTGCTCGGTGACTGCAAACGCGTCAGCATCTTTCAGGTCGCACGCACCATCACGCACCTGATCATGGTTTAAGCGTAATACGGAATTACTTTTGTCTCCACGAAGCTGAGGGCACGGCGACTGCAGGAAGGATTTCAAGGCACGCCTCAGCCGCTGCCGGGCCTTCTTGACCTAAGAGCAAGGGCGCGCAGGGGGGGGGGGGGGCAGGTCTCTCGCCATGCACCAGGCCACGGACACGGTTCTGCAGTGCCGGTTCCAGCTCGAGGTGGCTGGGCGGTGCCACCGCCAGCCACCAAACGCTGCCACCCCCTCCACCCTCACCGACCTTAGAGGCAGTATCCCCCACTATTATGTGGGGGGGAGGTTGGGGGCTGACATATTGCAGTCGCGAACTCCCCCTCCCCCAGCGAAAAAATGAGGCAGTAGATCACTTGCTCAACATCTGGACCTCTGTCATATATGTCATAGGGCCTGGACGAGGGCAATGGCTCGATCCAAAAGAACCGCCGCATTCTCCTCAGTACCCTTCAGCATCCACAGCCTGGGCGAGTGCGCCTTTTTCAGGAGGACCAGAAAGTGGCCCAGACGGTGGCAAAGCCGGGTTGGTCGCCTCCTCGGACTTCTGCGTCGGAAAGATGAAGGAGTCCGTCTCCACCTTTGCACCGGTCGGGTCCCAAGGACGTGCGGTAACCGATTGCAAAAGTGCCACGTCCGACTGCTGGGTGGGGGGGAGGCGTTTCAAGGAACGCGTCTTGTAAACCCAACGAGAGCCAGCGACGTCTACCATGACAACAAAGCGAGATTCTCACTTCGGTGTATGCCAGATGCTCTTCGCTCCCGGGCACTCGGTCAGGACCTCTATCCGGTCTGGATCCATTGTGCCCAGGGTCACGCCCAAACGGCCCGGGACCGCTTCACCGACAACGACCTCGCAGCGTCCTGGCTTAGCCCTCAGAGTGCAGAGGAGATCGGGGATACCGCCACCTTCGCAGGTAGGCCGCTAATACCCATCGAAGAGAGTCCTCCTCGACTGTACCACAGGACTACCAGAGATGCTGCGTTGGCGATTGTTGAGGGGTCGATGAAACCTGGGTTCGGAGACTCGGGCAAGGCACACAACTATTTTGCCCCAGCAGCGCTCGAGGATCTCCAGGTCAAAAGCGGCGTGCGTGCCGACCTACCCATAGAAAGCGTTTATGAGACGAAGCTTGTTT